TGACTACCATCCTGGATCTGTGAAGTCTGGATGTGTTGATGTCTCGCAGCGTTTTGCTTTCTGGCTTTTGCTTTCGGTGTAGCCACGAGTCGGCGTGGAGGGCAGCGGTATCTTCCAGAATGGCAGAGCCGACTTTAGTCTCACTCCATCTATGGTCCAGCCGCCGACTTCATCACATGTATCCTCGCATATTTCAGAGAAGGCCAACATTCGTGCAAAGATTACGGCGATGATCCAGAACTCTAGCCTCACACCACATCCTTCTCGCCTACCCCTTCGACCGTCGCAGGCCGGCGACGATCATCAACCAGGCCCAAATCAAAATCCAGAGCGCCGGGATCTTTCGTCAATGCTGCTCGCGGAGATGCTCGTGAAATCGGTCCGAAGTGCTGCCAATGCAACGGCTTTGGCCTTCAAGGACCAGAAGTCCGATGCCGCAGAGCCCGATGCCGTGCTTGCCATCAACGGTCTTACTCAGGTCCGATGCCGGACGGTGCTCGTACAGCGAAACTTCAGAAGTGGTGCCAGAACAGGGACCCGCACCTCCCAGGACATCATCAAGTGGGAGCCAGAGTAAGCAACGTGCCAGGCACAGATGCCAAACGTATCTGCATAGCAGAGGAAGTCATGCCGGCCATGAACAGGGCACGCTTGGAAGGCAATGGCAGATTGATATATTGATGTGCTGAAATTGTGTGTCTTCCTTCACCAATCAGCATCAGCGCTAGCACCACCAGTAGCACCAGCAGCACCAGCAGCACCAGCAGCACCAGCAGCACCAGCAGCACCAGCAGCACCAGCAGCACCAGCAGCACCAGCAGCACCACCAGCACCAGCAGCACCAGCAGCACCAGCAGCACCACCAGCACCAGCAGCACCAGCAGCACCAGCGGCAGCAGCAGCACCAGCACCAGCAACAGCGACAGCAACAGCAACAGCTGGCAGCAGCAACAGCAACAGCAACAGCAGCAGCAGCACCACGAAGAGCAGCAGCTCCACCAGCAGCACCACCATCGTCACATTTGCCATCGTTCTTTTGTGCATTAAATTCAATTTAATTCCTCCACCGGACTCTTGCTATGCATCTGTCTCCTTTGCGATGCTTCCGTTGTTGCTAGCCCAAGTGTGTCTTCGTTAGCATAGAAACCATTTCCGATCATTGTCCGTGCAAATCATGGAACATGCGATCATTGCTGCCAGGATGAGTTACATCACATCACATGTCACAGTTTCTCATCCACAACATCGGTGACTCTGGAGAGTTCCGAATGAGGGACATTCCATTGATTGATGCACCGACAGCCAAGGGCAAGAAGTTCAAGGAATACTTCCACCTCGCAGAGGATGTGTCTCCAGAAGATTGTGTTGGAGCCGATGAATATGGACCCACCCAGTCTTAGCCAGTTACTGGTTCAGGTCGCCGTCGAGATGCCCTTGGAGACTCCTGCGTCCTGTACATGGCTTTGTCCCCCGATGAGAGCGTCACCTGCACAGTCATGAAGTACTTTGATTTTGCGGCATTCATCCCGTTGGGACTTGCCAAGGCCTTCTGCTCCCACCGCATCAACTATACCAGGTGACTAGCAGCAACGACAGGGCTATCAAGCATGGGATACTTGTGGCGTATTTTCTACATCGGATCGCAAAGGCGCCAGCACAGGCTCGGTTCCCATATTTATGGGTGGGCTTGGACCAGAGCGTGGGTGTGTTGCGAAAGGCAAGAAGTGTTTGATTTCTTCCAGCGACGTGAGGCTGCGTGATGTTTTTGATATATGGATGGATCCTGGGGCTACCTGGTGCGCCGATATATGAGGGACTTGGAGAGCCGACCTGGTGGCAACAGGCAACCAGTCCCAATCTTTTTCGAATGGTAGTCGTGCAGCATAGTTTTGTGGTTTCACGGTTTGCCGTGTTGTTTTAGAGGTGGTTTTGTTAGGAATTATTACACCATGATAAATCATACTAGAGCATGACATGTTTTAGTTCTGTAATTGCAATAAAATTCTGTATCATGTTATGCTATGTCATATCACGTTTTGTTTTATCATGCCATGCTATGTTGTAGTACATTACCGTATATTCGGTTTGTTGAAATGTGGCCAAATCCAAAACGCACATGGATAACATCTATGTGCGTTTTGCTCTTGTCCGCAAGAAACAGAGTTGGTTTGGCTTGCGATTTGTTGAAATCTGGCCAAGTCCAAAACGCACATCGGTGACTTCTATGTGCGTTTTGCTCCTGTCCGCAAGAAACAAGAGTTGGTCTGGCTTGCGATTTGTTGAAATGTGGCCAAATCCAAAACGCACATCGGGAACGTCTATGTGCGTTTTGCTCTTGTCCGCAAGAAACAGAGTTGGTTTGGCTTGCGATTTGTTGAAATCTGGCCAAGTCCAAAACGCACATCGGTGACTTCTATGTGCGTTTTGCTCCTGTCCGCAAGAAACAAGAGTTGGTCTGGCTTGCGATTTGTTGAAATGTGGCCAAATCCAAAACGCACATCGGGAACGTCTATGTGCGTTTTGCTCTTGTCCGCAAGAAACAGAGTTGGTTTGGCTTGCGATTTGTTGAAATCAGGCCCTAAGGGCCTAGATTAATGGCTGGGTCCGGCCCAACCTGCTCCCCCTCCTCGGTTAGACTATGGCTGTCCTCGGTAGATCCTGCTCCCCCTCCTTGGTTAGACTATGGCAGTTCTTGGTAGATCAAGACATACATTTCAAGGCTCGGAGCAAGAGCTCAAGTGAAGTGAAATGTTGATGAGCTGAAACGGTGTAGGTGAATTTGAATGCCTTTACAAACCTCCCATTTCGGCCCGAGAATGGGGGTTTGTCCAAGCCTGATTTTTAGCATTTTACCAACCCCCCAATTCGGCTCGAGAATGGAGGTTTGTCCAAGCCTGATTTTTTGCGGTTTCTAACCCCAGGCGGTGAAGTGAAATGTTGATGAGATGAAACGGTGTAAGTGAATTTGAAGGCCTTAGCTTTAAGCAAGGTTTGAGTTACTTGAAGACTAAGCCCCAAGCGGGATGTAAGTAAGTGGAGGCCTGAGCCCCAAGCGGGGTTGATGAGAATTGAAGGCTTGAGACCCAAGCAAGTTTAAGTCGTGTCCCCAAACGTCGGCGCTGGAAAGTTGGTCACAGCCACGGGCTTGCAACAGTAACGTAATCGTGTCCCCAAACCTTGTCGTCGGAAAGTTGCTCACGGCCACAGGCTTGCGATGGTAAGGTAATCGTGTCCCCAAACCTCGTCGCCGGAACCGATGTGCGTTTCGAATTCGGCCAGAGCTGTAAACCAAATCGTTGTTTCTTCGATAACAAAGCAACTCCGCGGGGATTACTTTCTGCTGTTGTTGCTGCCTTTCTTGTATATATGTGGACGAGATGTTCGCTTGGCATCCGCGTGAGAAGTTGTGCTCCTGCAGTGTATTTGGTCCGGTCACAAGCCGCGGTCTTGCAGAGATTCACCACTGCTAGGACTTACGGAATTCGTCGGCTCGTGTCTGAAGAAATCCATTGTTCTGTGACATTGACACAAACCATTTTTTGTAAAAGGCCTTTTAGCTTCGAGCGAGATTTGAGTGAATTGAGGGCGATTTCTTGCGTGGTTCAAGTGAGTTGAAACAAGGCCTTATTTGTTGGGTTATGATGCAACGCAAGTTCAGGTGAATTGACCTAGCCCCAAGCGGGATTTAAGTAAATCCAAGGCCTCAGTGCCAAGTGCGGGTATGAGTGAAGTCAAAACTCGAGACGACACAGGTTGGCAGATTAGTTGAATCAGTGTGATGCACGGTCGACCTGAGAGCATACTTTTTGCGGCTCAAGAGTGCAGTCGGACATCTCTAGGGTCACAATCTCCGCCGCACGCGTCTTGCTTCGTGCTGCACTCGACACCGTCCTGTTCCGGCAAGCAGCAATACACGGGGTGCGCAAAGGTTCGAGGATGTCGGCCTTCGCCAACAGACCCGCAGCCAATCACGGCCTCGAACCTACAGCTCCAACACGGCTCTGCGCACAACGTGACAATCGAATGTTACCGAGGTCCTCTGGCATACCACGTGCGAACCCAAGAGCCGTTCGACCTCAAGAGCAGTCCCGACAATAACGAGGTCGGATTTGCACAGATGCTGGACATCGAGCGCGAGGCGGGAGTTAGCTAGGGGTTAAACGGCATGTCCGACCCGAAGAAATGACTACATGCGCGTGCACATGAATGTACACAGGTGTATACAGAATGTAGAAAAATACATACACATATACATATAATGTTGATATATATATATATATATGCACATATGCACACATTTGCGAACATCCGCGCTGTACCGTGCTTAAAATGTTGTTTAGCCAGTGTTAGACTCGACCGCGCACAGCCAATTGTATCGTATCGATTGTGAGGCGAAGCTCCGGCACGGACCTTTCGAAACGTTACCCTTGTCCACAGCAGGTGTACCTTTTTAAATCTAGCTTCACATGAGTCGGACGACAGCACACGGTGTTGTCACGACGGCGAAGAATATACAGTTTATGCTGCTTCCTGGCATTACAAATGTTGCGAGGAGGTGAAGCAACTTTGGCTAGGGGCCATTACTACAACGTCCCGGCCTCGGCGGCCCGGGTACAATAGCAAGAGTGTGAATGACCGCTTAGGATGATGCAATCGGCCACGGACGCCGGCTTTCCGAACGAGTCCCACTTCGTGCCGGGCACTCATTAGCTCTATCGCTGTTTCGGTGGCTTATCCAAAAAAGGAAACGGGTTCGAACTAAGTTGTAAGCGCATCACGGGCTTGGTCATCGGCTCTGTGGGCCTTGTTTTAAGTGGCTCACCTAAGCAGGTGTGCGAAGGTTGTAGGCGCATTTGGGTTCAGTCCCGGGATATCTTCAGCGACTTAGCAAAACAAGCGTTGGAACGATATTTATGTTCATTCAGATTTGTCAGTTCCGTCGGTATCCTCGGTGGTGTGTCTCAAGTAGGCCAAGAAATGCCGCGGTGTGACGAAACCAAATGCATTTCTTCTCGACTAGGCTCTTCAACACGACGGACGACATCGAGAACTGGCCCGGCACCACTTGGTCCAGATCCTGAGCACTGCCGAATACAGCCCGAGGCTGGCACGAACGAGCTACTCCTTCTTTTACTGCGACGCGGACTTCGAAGAAAGCACGCAAGGACCTCGAACCTGCGCGAGACTCTTAACTTTGCTGCGCCAGCTGAGGCACCTGGCTCGAATGATGAGGTCGTGGCTGTTCGGAGATTGCAGGCCGAAGCGTATTTTCATATGGTCTGCTTCGTCCTTGTGCACGTGCACGCATGTGTGTGTGTAAGCACAATGCGCTCTTAAAACGATGCAGTAATCCTTCGCTCGAGTACGTTCTGACGGAGCCAGCGCTGGATCGGAGTGCATCAGATTATACGAAATTACATTTGATTATGTTATAAGATACTGTTAGGTTGGATGAAATGATATTGTATGATATTGGATTATGTAATCTGTAGAGTGTGATTATCGGGCGGTGCCAGGCTAGGCTAGGGTTCGGGTCTTGGGAGGGCCCGATGCTATGGAGCTGAAGGTAGTAGTGTCTAGGGTTTAAGGAATGTAGGGGTGTGCGGTTTCGGGGGTTCAGGGGTTTGCGGTTTTAAGGTTCGAAGTTTGGAGTTCTGTGTTGGGCAGGCCGCTACCTTGGTGCGAAAGCTCCGCGGCATGAAAGCAACCTTAAAACTCCAAAAAGTTTTCCCCAAACTCTTAATCCCTGGAATCCAAAACACCCTGAGCGCCCAAAGTCCCGACGCCCTAAGTTAGTTACCACTGGAATCTAGTAACTCGAGTTGAAAGTAAAGTGGGAAGAAGTTTAGGGCTTTGAGCCTCCCCCGGTCTTTGGGGCATAAGGCTCGGGGTTTCTCGTGCATCCTTACAGCTTCAGGTCAAGGGTAATTTTGGTTGATGCAAGTGTGGGGTGTCACATTGAACCCCTCTGCTTCCAAGATCTCGAGGTCCGCTTCCCGAGAAGTTTGGTGAGAAGCCCGGAGCATTCTATCGCCAAGCCCTTGAACCCTAAACTTAAACATCCCGTCAAACCTGCAACCCCAAAATCCGGTTGTCTCTAGTCTCCCTGAAGACTGAACCTAGAATAGGTTAGGGCTTTAGGGTAGGGTTTGGGTTTTTGCCGTGCCGGTTCTTCAAGCCCTCTTTTGGCTTCTGAACCCTAAACCCCAAGACCCCCGATGGGGCTTCAGAGGGTTTTATAGTGTGTTTATACGGTTTAGGGTTTAGTCTAGCGGCGCTCACAAGCGAAACGCGGTTTTGCAGGGTTTCGGTACGTTAGATTAGATAGTGACTATACGAAAAGTTCAGGCTTCTCTAGTCCAACCACAAGCCCAGGTGTGCCGAGGAAATCGGCCAGTTGGATGCCATTATGGGCCAGGTGTGCATACCTTGTGGTAGTCCTTCAAAGGGTAGCACCCGAGATCTTCAAGCAAATGGTTATCACGGAGTGTGATTGTGCGAAGTAGCATCTGCCATTGTCAGTGCATCGATCATATGCCATTCTCCGGCACCCGAAACCAAATCCCAAATTTTAAACACACAAGCAGTCTTAAACCTTAAAGTCCAAGCCATAGACTCCGCAAACCTTCGCTTGCGCCCCTACGGAGAGTTGTCTCGCTTGATTGGTAGAGCATTCCTTCTCACCCCCTCCTTTCCCAGGGTAAGGGTTTAGCGGTCTAGGGGCTTAGTGTGAAGCGCTTTAGGGTACCCATCCTCCATATCTTTTACACGACATTGTCATGGCTGTTGTGATGTTGTAAAATGTTTTCAAAGGGTTTCGACAGCGATTTGGCAGGGTTTATGCGAAGTAGGTTTTGTCTTAGGGTTTTGGGAAGTCTATAGGGTGCTCTTGGGGAATATTGGCCAGTACATGTATGGGCTGTCCGAGCTGGGATGCTAGTCATAAAGACATCATTTCCAAAAGGTTTAGAGCGGTTCTGAGGGTTTGGGGTTCAGGGTTTCTGGGAGGCCGAGACAACGCTCGGCCGTGATCGCTGGGGATTGAGGCTATTCCAGAGCTTCCCGGAAAACTCACCGCCTCGACGGATTGCGGACCAGATTCCGATGGGAGAACTGCTAAAGCCCTCGGGACACTCTATATGGTCCTCAACGCGATCATCAATCAGCAAGTACAAACCCTACCTGGAGATCGAAGGTCCCGCCTCCGTCGATAAGTATTTTTACTCCGGCGAGAGGGTCAAAGGCGAGAGTTTCTCAAGCTTCATTGCCGGGAAGGAGGTGGCTAAGCAGGAGTTAGAGTCCAACCTGGGGGAGCGGCACGACAAAGTAGCAGGCCGCATCCTTCTCCGACAGGCAAACTTGACGGAGTTTTAGAGGGAAATGGTTTCATTGAATGACACGGCCAATCTGATGGGCTTCGACCAAGTGGCAGCTATTTTGAGGCCACTGCCGACATCAGGCCTCATGTGGCTGGGGCTGGGCGGTTCACCCAAGAGTCCCCTAAAGCCTGAACTCGATCTAAAACCTTAAACCCTTAAACCCTAAACCTTCAAGCCCCAAAAGCCTTAAACCCTAAACCCCTAAGCCCTAAACCCTTAAACCCCAACCCTATACTAAAAGACCTATACCAGCTTGGGTGTTTTCTTAAAGGGGTCTACAAGGGATCTATAGTAGGGTTTGGAGGGTTCCTTAAAGGGGTCGATAAGGGATTTATCGTAGGGTTCGCAGGTGGAGTCTGAGTGGCTCGAAACCTTTGCAGCTTTCTTCAAGCAGCTGCAGCAGGAGCCAGCCCTCAGTTGTGATATAGGTCCTTGCATCGAATAGCGGGGTTTTGTGAGGCTTTTTGTTGTTTATGCGATTTCAAGAGGGTTTTGTAGGATGCTTTTAGGGTTTTACCGGGGTTAGCGTAGGGGCCTTTCTTCTTTTGAACTGGGTTTGGGTTTTTGTGATATCGCTATTTATGGATTTATGGATTTACAGGTGATTCGGACACATATACTAAACTCTTAATCCTGAACCCGAAACTTTGAACCCCTCATAAAGTTTGTGAAGCCTTGTTGCTTGAGGCCCCGCGGCTGAAGTGCATCCGTGTGTTTATGAATGTGTACATATGTGTATGTATGGATGTATGTATGTATGTATGTATGTATGTATGTATGTATGTGTATACTCACAACGGTATGTATGCAGGCATCTAGCACATACATGCATACATACATACGTACATACATATATACAGACGTACATACGTACATGCGTACACACGTACATGCGTACATACGTACATGCAGACACGCGTGCAGAGGCCTCCCGCGTACATACGTACATGCACACACGCGTGCAGATGCCTCCCTGCCTCCCTGGCTCCCTGCCTGCCCCGAAGCCAGAACCCCAAACTCGTAAACACTCACATCCCTTAAACCCTGCATCTTAAAAGCGCAACTTACCCCAGAAACCGAAATCACAGAGCTACGACGCCCTGGCTAGCGAGCGAGGACGTGCGTGAGCAGCTCTTTAAGACGCTGATGGGGAAGGTGGCCGTCTCACATTGACGGTTTTGGATAGAGGGTTCAATATGGAGGTCTGAGTATCGAGGAACAGTGGGCTCCGATAAACCGTTTCTAATCACACTGAAAGTTTTGGGCCACCTATCAAGGGCAACGCAAGACGGAATAACGGTAGGTGAGGTCAGGGAGCCCTTAGGTAAGCCCTGTACTATAGGGGCGTAATTAATTGCCAAAACTATTTGGGGGGTTCCGTTTTAGAATTTTTGTATAATTTTCATCAAGACCATATTCTGATTATTATGGCTCCTATGTTAAAGCCTCCGAAATCCGCGTGCTGTTTGGGAGTCTCCCACCTTCTTGAGTCGTTTGACTCGGACCAGGGCGGTGGCATGTCATGGTCTTATGTAGTATCTGAGTGGATACACTTTACACTTTTTGGGATAATATTACCCCCTATAGAACTAAAAGTGCACACCTTTTGGGGCTTATGAACTCAGCACAATAAAGGCCCAAGGTTTCTTAGTCAGGTTCCTACATTAGCAAGAGTCTTGGGGTTGCAGGCGCACATGCTGACCCCCCGGCACCTAAACTTAAACCATAACGGTTTAGGGGTTTAGGGTTTAGGGATAACACAACCTGATGTAAACTCGATTGCCGCCTCAGGCTTGGATTTCACACCTACTCAAGTAGGCCCAAAAACTTAAATCCGAAATCCCACACAGCCCTTCCCTCGCTCCTTATCCTGATTGACCCCAATGCACTCTTTACAAAACTCGACAAGAAACTTGTAAAGCCCCTGAACCCTAAACCCTAAACCTGAACCCAAAACCTTAAACTCTTAAACTCCTAAAGCCGAAACCCTAAATCCCTTGCGCCAAGGCCGAAGAGCTTGTCAAGGCTTGGGAGTCCGAAATGGACGAGGTGGCGCCTGTTTTCTTACCTTTGGTTAGTTGGGAAAGGAAGAATGGTCCTAATAGTAGTTATAATTGTGCCCCATTCCTCCATTCCCTACTAACCAAAGGTAGTTTTTTGGGGGATTTGGGGTGTTTTTTGGGGTTTAGAGGTTGGGTTTGAGGGTTTAGGGTTCCGGGTTTTGCAGAGTTTAGGGTTTCGAGGTTGGATATTTAGGCTTTACAGTTTTCGGGTTCAGGGCTGCGGGTTTGGGAATGAGTTTTTTGACGTGTGTCTTTGTCGTGATGGATTCTTGATTTACTTCAAAATGATTGTTGCACTCTGCCCTAAACCCCAAACCCAAAAGCCTAAGCCTCCAACCCTAAACCCAAAACTCAAAAACTCTAAGCCCAAAACCCAAAACCCAAAACCCTAAGCCCAAAACCCTAAGCCCAAATCCCAAAACCCAAAACCCTAAGCCCTAAACCCTAAGCCCAAAACCCCAAGCCCAAAACCCTAAGCCCAAAACCCCAACTTCAAAACCCAAAACCCGGAATACCTCGAGCCCCCAACCTCAAACCCCGACCGCAAGCTCCAAACCCCGACCGCGAGCCTAAACCGCCCTTACTGGTAAACGACAGCACCTTCAAGCCCTTGAAACTAGGGTCCAAACAACAGTAATGATACCAACAACGATAATAACGGTAATGATAATAGCAACGATAATCATAGTAATGATGATGGTGATAGCAATAATATCAGCAAAGGAAAAACCTTGCGCCAGGTGAACCAGGAGATTGACAAGAAGGTGAAGCAGAAGAGGCATGCAGTCCGTTGCCAGATGATGGGTTTCTGTGAAAGGTTCTCCATAAGGTTTTACTAGGACCCAGAGTAGGCCCTTATTCCCTTTTTAAGGGTTTAGGTTCCCTTATAACCCCCTTTAAGCCAAAAAGGGCACCCTTTTTCTTCCTAGGTTACTCTTGGGTCTAGTTTATGGTAATGTTAAACAAAAATGTGTATGCGGTTTTGAAAAGCCTCATAAAAAGTGTGTTCTTTCAAGTCTGCGCAGCCGTTTAACAGACCCTCACAAGGGCTACGGCAGAGCTTTGTAGCTGGATTCCAGGTTTGCGGGGGACATGGGGGTGATGGAGTTTGCGGGTTAGAGCACACACGTCAACCCAACTCTATACGCCACTGCTTGAGCCCTGCACAGTAAACCCCAAAGCTGATCCCAGACAAGTTCTGAAGCTAAATATCCCAAGCCCCTACAGCTGAAACCTATAGCTTGGGCCCTAAGCTGGAAAGCCGAATTCTTAATACAGGGGCTTGAATAGTCAGCAAGACTTTTCGCCTGAAAGGTCCCTAGATTCTGATGCTATGCTTCACTCCCATTCCTCCGTTCTGATAAATACGGCTGCAGTCTCAAACCCCGTAAGCCCTACAGCAATCCAATAAAAACCCGTTAGAAACTTACCAACGTCTGTGAATAGCTCTTTATCCTAATTCTGGTTCACATCACTCCCTATACAAGCCCTGCCTGAGTGAAAATACATTTATTGTAAGCCACCTGTGCTCTAAATCCTGAGCACCCGGATTTAGGGTTTAGGGACCCCTAAACCCTAAACCCCAAGCAACCCTATGCTCCAAAATCCTGAGCACCCTCCGCCGCCACCAGGCGAGCTTGTCATTGTGATTATTTTAACTGTTATTCTTCTTTTCATCGCTGTTGTTACTATTGCGGTTATGATCAACATCATGATGATGATTACTATGATTATGACTATATTTGTTCTTACCTTTGTAGGAGCCCGTTAACATACCCTGTTACCCTCGAGCTTCCATGCATCTTAAACCGTTACCACCTTAAAGGTAACCCATATGCTAGTTATCCTTTATGGAACCGTTATATTAAGAGTAACCCGTATACCCCAAAACTCTACAGCCTAAACCCCTAAAGCCTGAACTCCCATATCCCTAAACCTCTAAACCCTAAACCCCTGAGCCCATAACCCCCAAATCCCTAAACCTCTAAGCCCTAAGCCCTGAACCCCCCCTAAACCCCCAAGCCTCTAAACCCTGAACCCCCCACATTCGTAAACCCCACTAGATCCCTTAAAACGAAGCCTTATAGCTCCCCTCAAAAGGAACTCTTATAGATCCCTTTTGAAGGAACCCTCAAACCCCAAACCCCCCCAAGCCCTCCACCAGGCACCGCTTGTCGGAGGCAGTGAGTCGGCGGCACGAGGTTCCCCAGCCGGCCATGGGATTCTTCTTCTGGGGGTTTAGGGTTTAGGGGATTTGGGATAGTCTTTAGGGTTTAGGGTTTAGGGATTTGGGGTAGTCTTTAATTTAGGGATGCGGGACAATATTTGATTTCCTTTATTGTGAAATGTAGAGCCCTTCAAAAACACATAATTCCGGGGACTGTTGAAATCGACACCTCGTTTGGGGTGTATATAGGCTTACTACAGGCTCACTGCGAGGGGTGTAGGGTTTAGGCTTAACATCGGGTCTAGAGTCAGAGGTTTTGGAGAGTAGGATTTGGGTCTTGAGGGTTTTAGAGTATCAGCAGTTTACTAGGTGGGACATTTTATATTCGCTCTTAAGAGGCTTAAGAGGATCTTACCTACTAAGATTTTTCAAATCCTGTCAAAGCACCTCCTAGGTAGGAGTTGGGCCTTGAGGGTTCTAGAGCTTCAGCAGTTTAGGGTTTAGGGTTTAGGGTTTAGGGTTTAGGGTTTAGGGTTTAGGGTTTAGGGTTTAGGGTTTAGGGTTTAGGGTTATTGGGGGACTTCAGGGGTTTAGGAGCCGGGGCTTAGGCTATCGCTTAGAAGGGGCTGTAATAGTGGTATAGTAGGGATATAATAGGGCCCTGATATAATCCTTATAGTCACTATTACAGGGTGGGGGCAGCTTCTAAGCTATCGCTCACATCTTCATTCCCGGCGCAGAGATGAAAAAGCTCTGAGCCGCCTTTGCGAAGGGTTTTGGTTTTGGGCCTGTGCTTGTTGTTTAGACAGGAGGCCGCCCGGTAGTGATTCTCAATTCTGCAATACCCAAGGAAATTTAACGGTCAAACCTTCAGGATCGAATCATTTAGTAAGAGCCCCGAGACTTGAATGGTGAGCATTGGGGAGCTAGCATGAATCTCAGACAACCAGGTTCCTCTGTTGTGCTGTCCTTAAGCATCCGAGTCTTTAGGGTTCCATAGATTTCAGGGTCTCCTTTCTTATCAATCGTCCCAGCATCGCTCTCAGACTCCCAAACCCTGGCAAATCTCTAATTCCAATGTCAATGCATCAAATCTCGCATCCCATCCGAGCGCGCAAAGCTCCCTTCAAACGCCCAAAAGGAAGCCCCTTTGCACATCCGTAATTCGTTTATCAACTCGTGAATATTCAATTTTGGGCCTTGCAGTAAGCCACGAAGCAAAGAGCCCCAAACTATAGGGCTCTTTGCTTCGACCCCGAACCCCTGAGCCCTAAACTCTAAGATTCTAAGACGAAGAACGGAGTAAATGACCATCGCTCAGTCCGCCCGCGAAGACTATTGGAGGTGCGCCCTATACTTAGGTTCGTGCTTCAGAGCTTAATGTTTGGGGTTTAGGGGTTTAGGGTTTGGGGTTTGAGGTTTGGGGTTTAGGAGGTCTAGGGTCAATGAGGGCCTGGTTCGGGGTTTAGGGCTTCGGGTGTAGGAATGTACGAAGAAGTGTCTTACCGTTAATGCACAGGACCCCTCACTAAAGAACATGTCCCGAAACTGTAAAAGCCTAACCCTTTATATATGTGTACACATTTGACATATATGCATCGTTGTCGTTTATGCACAGATACATAGGTACATATGTATGTATACGCACATATATATATGTATACACATGTACACCCGTCTTCTTTTTTTGTCTCTCTCTCTCTATTTCTATCTCTTGTTGTTTGTTTTTCTATCTCGCTCTCTCTCTCTCTCTCTTTCTCTCTCTTGTGGTTTGCCGCCAATTAATTGTTGTGGGGACGGTGTGGTTTGGTGCGAGTGTCCGGCTAAGCAGGGTTGCAGATGTAAGGAAGTAGGCGAAGGTTTGAGATGTGGGAGTTTCCGAAAATTAGGGGTACCTTATTTTGGGGTTCCTGTAATAAGGATCCTACTATTTAAGGTATTATATTAGGGTCCCCTATTTTCGGAAACTCCCATACCCTAAACCAACAAGCCAACCCAGTTTAAATATGGTCGCGGGTTTACAGTTCGAGGTTTACGATGAAAGCTTCGGGGTCGAGCCTTAGCGCGTAAGGTTTCGGCAGGACATGGTACATAGCGTTCCTGACGACGGGATCCTTAATACCAGGAGTTAGGCAACTAGGACCTAGAGTAGGCCCGTATTCCATGTTTTTAGGGTTCAGATTCCCTTATAAGCCCCTCTAAACCACAAAGGGCACCCTTGTTATTCCTACTTAAAGGCCCAGGGGCCTTAGTAAGTAGGTTATAACTACGTAGAGTTACAAGACCCTAAATGGAGTCACCCGTCACCCCAATTATAACTCTACTTATGGCAGACTTACTAAGTCCCCTGGGCCTCTCTTGGGTCGGCGCACGTCAATCCTGAGGGTTTGGAGTTTAGGATCGGCGGTTCAGTGTGTGTTTGGGCTTGGAAACCTAGGGTTTAGGGGTTAGGGAATAGAGGTTTGGGGTTTAGGGTTTAGGGTTTAGTGATGACAGGTATGTTGGCTTAGAAACCCATCTCTGGTGGGTTCTTGGTTCCCATCTCTGGTGGGTTCTTGGTTCCGGTGCCCTTGAGAAGCCCTAAACTCAAAACTCTAATCGTGGTGTGCCCCAAAACTGTGTTCCAGTTTTTACTAGCCAGGGCTCGTAGCATGCAGGTCAGGAAACTGTCTAAGATTCTCAGAAGGTTGACTGGTACATAGTTGAGAGTTCCATACATGGTATACGGGGCAAGGATGCCCGATTCCTATGAGCACTTAGCTAAATTCAGCGCTCACTCGAACCCTTAAACCACCAAGCCTGAACCCTACCGACGAGGTATCGAGAGCGGCACAGAAGCCCCCCAAACCAATGGTCGAACCAGCTAAAGGCCGGAAAGCACCTTATAATAAAACTTCAAAGAACGGCTTCAGAAACTGAGTAATATAAGGGCCCAAATAATTACCAATACTACTTTGGGGGTTCCTTATAGCAATCATGGCATAATACCCCTAAGCCCGATTCTAATTGATTATTAAGGCCGCTATATGAAGCTTCACGAAACCTTAGCCAGCTGCCCCGACAGGCAGCACGAAAAGCAGTGTGCCAAACAATTTGTCCACTGCCTTGCCGCGATCTCGGTATGCGGGTGAGGGTTCTTGGGTTTTAAAGGGGCAGTTCAGGCGGTTTTAGAGATTGGCAGCAAGTCGACAAAACAACAAGTTTGTGGTTCTGTCCTTTGGTGTCTCGGATGTCAGGGTCAATTTTCCTCAAGCCTTTTTGAACCCTTAGGTCTTAAACCCTCTGCCCCGAAGAGAAACCCGCGCCCCAACCACAAAACCCTCTTTGAAGATCCCGGACGTGATGCAACAGCAGAGACCCCCTGAGTTTGATGGTAATGGGTTTAGGGTTAGGGTCTAGCGGTCAGGGAAGCATTGCAGGTTGCTGGAGCTGAGGGCTGCGAACTGAAATTTTGACCAAGTCACCAATGATGTTACGCAATACCTGATCCGACGAAAAGTTGTAGGCAGTTCGTACTTACTGAAGCTGAGAGCTGCGATTTGTAGTGTTTACAAGGCAGCGCGATGGCAGCCGTGGTATCACGGCATGCTTGATGCGGCACGACGCGTTGGCGCCGTTCGTACTCCTACTTTGCGGTGATGGTCTGACCACCACGAAGTGGGCTAGATTTGAATACAATCAACCCTAAACCCTAGTTAAACCGCGGTTCAATAGCATCCGGTGCTTGGTGTTTAGGCGTGCAGCTTCGTCGCTAAACGGCCGTTCCTGGCGCCCCTTAGAACCTTGTAGCAACGCTATAGACCCACTGAAGGCCATCCTTACTGAAGGCCATCCTTACAGTATTGCTTAGAGTAACCCTACAGAAGCCTTGCAGTGACCCTAGCAGCATCCCCAAGCCTAAGCCCCTCGGAACCTCCCAAACAACTCTGTCCTACAGCCCAAAACGCAAAACTTGACCCTCTGAACTTCCAATGCATTAGGCCAGGGTCACCGGCATGGCCAACTGATCGTGTTACTGTCTTGCTCGACTGCCGTGCTGTCAATCAGACCTTCTTCGCTAGGGCTTTGCCTGCTACCATGCGTAGGGAGTCGCTGCTTTTGGCTGCTGGTTTTGCAGGAGGGGACATGCACCAGGTTTTTGTCCATGGGCTGCTGCAACCCTTGCTGCCGGATCAGATGATCAGCCTCTTCTCTGGCATGTCGATCGCTTCTGTTGCGGCAGGAAGGTTGGGACTCCCTGGTTCATTTGCCAGGACCAGGTTACTCCCCTGGTCAGCACTTCCACCTGCTAGCAGATGGCGGATGGCAAGAGTTGTTCTCTGTTGGCGAAGGACGCCGCAGGTACTTTAAGCAAGATATAGCGACTCAATTGCAATGCAGGCATGACGAGCTCTCTCTTCTGCGCACAAACCCTGCTGTCACTGACTCCTACTTTTGGGGACACATTTGTGGTGCGGTTACTGTAGCCACTACACAGCTTGCTACGGTTCCAGTTCCGCCTGCTCGTCAGACCAGCCGAAGCGTCGCAGTTGTAGTGGACTGTCGCCGGATTCACCGCGGCTTCAAATGGCTTCTCTCAGACTGTGGTGTCATCGCTCTCGCTCGTCTGGAGAACTTGTGTGGCGTGGAGCCGCCTGTCGGATACAGTCTGCACGTTCATGGCGCGCCGGTTGAACATCACTCTGGCGCCCCTTGTTTTCGGGTCAGTTCCGGCCAGCTGTTTGTTGCTGAGTTCGTTAAGGATGCCCTCCTGTCTGCTAGTGCTGACGTGAGCATGGGCCCTGAGGTCAATTTACCCTTGCCTGTTCACCATGATGCCGCTCGTGTGCCTGGAGCCAGCTCCGATGGTCGCAACCGCAGTCGATCCCCCCGATCTACTCCTCGTGAACACGTGCAACATGCTGGCCACACAGTGATGCTGTCCCCTGACCTTATGTCCGGCACTGCTCATGAGCCTGAATCCGAAGCTCCCCCGACTTCTGTTGCTTTGGATGATAGACAGCCAGACCGGACTAGGTATGCTTCGGATGATGCAGACCAGGCGAGCACTCCTACAGGTGCCGGGGCCTCGCCTGTTCTGGCCAGTTTCGGGGTCTTGTCCCCGGATTATGCAGTCGAGACTGTGACGGTCCTGTTGAGCTTCCCTTTGTCTGTGGCTGATGCCTTAGCTGCTGTCGCTCATGCGCGTTCTCCAACTTCGCAGGCTGCCTTTCCCGTCTTGGTGCCTGCATTTCTGCAGCCGGATGCCAGGTGGGGTACCCTTGTTGCGCTGCCTAGCTGGGCGCATCAAGGGAACTTCGTCTGTGCGGACGCATATGACTTACAGCAGAGGATATATTGCTTCCCCGCGCCCAGTGAGATGTCTGGCGCTGCGCTTTCAGAAGCCCTTGGGCTCACTGTTGAGGAGCCCGGCGATATTTTCGTCAATGGGCAAGGACCGATCCTATCTCACGAGGAAGCCTTCCTCGCCACGGGAGCCTGTATTCAAGTCGTTCGTCGCGGCACACGGCCCACTTCCCATGTCCTCCAGGATATGCTGCAACAGCCGTCCTCCTGGGCTGCCCCTCCTGCCTTTCCGGTTGAAGGGATCAGGGACCGCATCTGCCTGGTGACTGCCTCTGGCACCAGTGTCTACAGAATGAGCCCTGGCGGAATCGAGCGTCAACGTCGTGAGCTTGCCCAGGTTGTTGGATGCCCTCCTGCGGAGCTCTTCCTTCGTCCTGGCACAACTCGGGGTTGTGATGCTGCAGTCATAGGACACCCCTGTCATTCAGTCGTCGCGGCCCTGGCGATAGGCCAACTGCCTCTTGACGTCAATCCAGTTGTTTGCCTCATGGACTGTCGGCGGGTGCTCCAAGGGTGGACCCCTTTGCTTTCCAGAGATGGATGGATTGACACTTACCCGCTCCTTGAGTATCTTCGGCAGGATTTGCCTCAGACTGTCCATGTTGTTATCCAGGGGGTTCCCCGCGATCAGCAATGGATTCGCACACAATCCGGACAAGTCCTGGTTGTTGTTGCATTGTCAGATACGCAACTGGCGGCTGGTGCTGGCCCCTTGTTTGTCGCCACCCCCGAATCTTCTCCTCCTGACCCGGATCAGGATGATGATCGGCTCCACTGGCAGCGCTTCAACCCCTTGCGGGCTGCTCACGGTCTTACCAGTGATACTGGGGGAGCACCTGTACCTGATACGCGTCAATGCCATGCCCTCTCTATGGATCGGGTTTCTGTGCACGATGACGAGACGATGTGTATGTGGACTCAGGCCTTTGATGATACACGTGCCGATCTTGCTGGCAAGCCTCTGTGCACCTCTGCTTTCCGTCCCGCTTCTCCTCGGAGCCTGGCGCGTATCCTATCCCCCTCCGGTGTTCCTGATCGGCATGTCTCTCTTTCGCAGCCCGGTGCTCATCAACCAGTTTTTGCCACGGCTCCCCCGTCCGGCGCTGGATCTGGTTGCTTTCCTTCTGCCACGGCCTTTGGTCTTGTGTGTGCTGGCTTGGTTAGCCCAACACGTGCCTGTACTATCGGAGGCCTCTCGGCTGCGAATGCAGATACCACTTGGCTTCCCCCTGCACACGGTGTTGCCGTTGCAGCTTGGTGTGTTAGCTTCTTCGCTGTCTGCTGCCTCCTCTGGCGTTTTGTCGGGATCCTGCAATATAAGTTGCTGTGTGAGCCGACTTCTACTTCATTACATGCGGACGCTGCCCTCCGGGCTGCCCGGACTGGCACTCTTCGACTTGGGCTTCCCTGGCCTTTCACAATTCAGCGTCTGGAATCTGCAGATCCGGCAGACGATGCCAGCTCATCGTCCCAGGAGGAAAGCGAAGAGGTATGTCTTGACATCTCCTGTATTATACTTGCACCCTGCTACGAGCCGGAACGGGTTACCTTCGAGACTCCCATCCCTGCCACTGTTGCGCAGGTGGCACACATGGCGCAACAGTGTCGTGCTGGCCCAGCCTGCGTCCTTCTTCCTAGGTTGCTTCCCGTCTGGCCACAGCCTGATCCACGGTGGGCGGTTTTCCTAGCACTCCCGACTTGGCAACCACCGCAGCCTGTGGTTTGTTTCGACATGTATACCGTCGATGGCCGTATGTTTGCGCAGGTCACTCAGTCCCCTCTCTGCCGCCGTATTCTCCTGGAGCTTGCTGGGCTTCCCCTTCCCAGCTCGGTGAGAATCTACAAGGACAATCACCTCGAGCCTGTCGCCCCGGAGGATTGGTTTGAGGTACGCAGTGGGGCTTGTTTCTCTTTCGTGCCTTTGGGAGTTCGCCAAGACCCTCTTTTCTCTGCAGGCATGTTGGAATCTCACCTGTCGTGGGACGCACCTCCCGCCTTTCCGCGTGCCGCTGTCGAAGACTGTTACTGTTTGGTTGACGGTAATTCCAGCTGCCTTTTTACGCTCCACCCTGCGCGCGCCCCCTTTTATCGGGCGGACATTGGCAATCTTCTGGATATTTCACCCACTCGGTTGACTCTGGCCCCTGCTGACCCACGCCCTGGCGATGTGTGGCATTCCGGTTTCCCCTGCCGCACGGCCATTGCTGCATACCGGACCGCTGCCGAGCCCTCGTGCCCCTTCCTTCTGGACTGTCGTTCCTTTATGCGAGGATGGCAGTGTCATGCCGTTGCTGCAGGGATTTTAGGGGTGACCTGGGTTGAGGCTAATCTAGGACTACCCGCGCGAGGTTATGCTTATCACTATGCGCCGGCGCCCTCAAGTGCGCGAGTTTGGCACCTACGCCCTGGACAGGTGATCCAGATTTACCTTCTCCCGCTACGGGGCTCGGATGTCTCTCTCCACCCCACGCAGGCTACTGTGCCTGTCTCAGGGCCCCTCGTTGATGGAGCTGGTGATGCGCACCCCTCGAATGTCTCTGCTCATGTCCTCTCGGCCAATTCCAATGATCAAGATGACGGCCAGAGAAGGAGTTCGGACAATGGGGGTAATGATGATTCTGTACCAAGTGCTGCTGCTCCTGCAGCTTCTGGTAGCTTGCTGCTTACCGCTGTTCATGGCATTCAACCAGCAGACGGCCCTCCTTCCCGCAATGCTCACAAGCTTCGTGGCGGATGGGCGCAGTCTTCAGCATGGCTCTTCGCTAGCCTTGTCAGTATCCTCAGTACCCCTGGCACTGCCATGTTGACTTCCTCAGAGGCTGAACAGGTGCCCAGGCTTCCTGCTCCCAGTTCTGCAGGTGACACATTCATGCGGGAAGTTGGCTCCTCTGCCTGTGCTCTATGCCCCGTGTCAGTTGCACATAATGCCAACCCGGTCCAAGTCAATCCTATTCGCCTCCTTCCCACACCGTGTCGGGCTTCTGCTGGCCGACCAGCTGTGTCTGGTGCGTATGACTTTCTAACCCTGCTTGATGAAAGTGCTCGTGCTTCTGATCACTGGGCCTTTCTTGCGGCTACGTTGCTCGATACCCTTACTGAGCACTTCTGTCATGTTTCTCTTGACAAGGCTCAGACCGGCCTGGTGACAACGCCGAAGCCCACTCTGCAGCTCGATGTCCTGATCCCTGAGATGCATGCTCCGAATGTTTCGCCGGGGCCTTGTGCAACAGAGTACTTTGATCTCGATGCTCGCAATTGCCGCATCCCGTGTTCTCTGTCTATGTTTCAGGACCTGACACGGGCCTTCCCGTTCACTTGCTTAGCCGGTGCTCCGGCTACATTGCACAAACCCGAGCGGTTCTCGGACTGGGTTGCCGCCGGATGTGTAGGCCGGGCTCCGGCCCCTGACGAAATCGTCACAGTGACCACCGACGGCTCCTATAGTCCCACGACCGGTGCTGCCGGATGGGCCGTGCCGTAGTTTTGAGCCTCGTGTCATGTCACGACCTCTTGTTGCCAGGGCAATTCATCGGTTGTTTTTCGGGCTCTCTCAATGCCTTGAAGGACGCGATTGGGCCGTCTTTTGGGGACTCCAATGCGTACTTGGCAGAAGTTGCCGCTCTGTTCTGGGGAGGTGTCGTTGCCTTTCGCTTGGCCAGCAGTGCGATGTGGCTCTTCCGAGCTGATAACATTAGTGCTCTTCTCGGCGTCTCCGGGGCCAATGCACTGCAGCAACACCCTTTGTGCGCTGCTACTGCCGCTGTCCATGCTGGCCTTGGCGTGCTTAAACGTGACACCCGGTATCAGCATGTCCTTGGACACGCTGCTGATCCTGCTAATGAATTAGCTGATGCGCTTGCAGGACGGGCAGCAAGCACGGGTTGTTCTCCAGCTCCACTTCTCTTTTCCTTGGATGGCTGGTTCGACTCAAATGGGGCCGCTTTCGATTGGCTGCCTCACGTGTGTGCGACCACTGCACAGCCCCGTGCTCTTCCTGATCTTCGCCAGGATTGTCTGTCCTGGAGCCGCGATTTTACTATGTGTGCTGATCCCGATGCTTGCATGCGTCCTTTCCTGCGCAACATTCCTTCCACGCCAAGCGAACCCACTCGGCCTGTCCGTTCTGATATCTCCATTGAGTTGGCCACTTTCAATGTGTTATCTCTCCTTGATCCTGGCGCTTCTTCCCACGCTGCCGGTCTACATGGGGCCACGGGTCGGGTTCGCCTCCTCTGCGAGTCTCTGGATCATCACGGTATGCATCTGGTTGGTTTGCAGGAATGCCGTACTTTCCAAGGTACCGCACGTTGTTCCGGGTTCGTGCGGCTTGCCTCTGGGCGCGATGACAATGCCTGCTTTGGCGTGGAGCTTTGGATTAGGGACGGTTCCCCTTTCGACTCACGAAAGGCTGTTGTGTTACATGCGGAGCCTACGTTTCTGATCGCCAGCCTTTCGCTTGCCGGGGAGCCCGTTAAGGTTCTGGTGGCACACGCGCCCCATCGCGCCCACACCGAAGATTTCCGAAAGCAATGGTGGGAGCGTGTATCCAAGGCCTGCGCGACACATTCCCGTGCAGCACATTGGATTGTCTTAGCAGATGGTAACTGCCGTCTTGGGGAAATCACCTCTGCTGAGATTGGGGATCACCATCCTGACCAGGAGGATTTAAGTGGTTCCCTGATGCGTGATCTGGTGTCGAGTTTGCAGTGCTGGCTTCCCGCCACTTTCTCCCACTCTGCTCGGGGTTCTAGTGGTACTCTATACCAGAAAAGGAATGGGGCATTCGTACGATCTGACTATGTTGCCATACCCCTTGCCTGGAGCTTGTCCCAATGTGTTGCACAGGTGCAGCCAGAGATCAGCACTGGCCACTCCGTTTTGGACCACTTCGCAGCCACCGTTTCTCTTCGTTTGCGCCCCAGAGTCCCCGCTATCCGGCGGCCCCCTGTCGCCAGAATTGACCCGGAGGCGCTTGCTGAGCCCGAGAACCAGGATCGTATACGGGCCATTATTTCCTCCGCGCCGCATGTGTCATGGGATACGGATGCCAGTGAACATGCTGCTATCCTGGCCGAGCACTGGTATCAAGGTCTTGTCTCGGCTTTCCCTTTGCCTCGTCGACGTATGCGAGGCCGACACTTTTCTGAGGAAACATCTCGACTCCATGCGGCGGTCTCCCTGTTGCGCAGGTCGGTTCGAGGACGCAGCCGCGTACTCCTCCTTAGCAGACTCCGCTGTGCTCTGCTTGCCTGGAAGAGTCATAAGGATTTCATGGATTTCTTCACCGGTCGATGGCTCTGGCGGCTTCAGGTTAGCCGCGCCCTTGACTACGTTCTTCTGCATAGGCATGGCCCAGCCCTGCGTCGGAGCTGCAGGCGTGACCGCAGTGATCACTTTGCAACCCTTGCTGAGCGTATTGCTTCTGCCCCCTGTGCCGAAGTTCACCAGGAGGTTCGTCGCGTTCTTCGGCCTCAGAAATTTCGTAAGGGAGGTCCTGAGCCCCTACCGATGCTCCATAAGGCTGATGGTCACCCCTGTGCTTCCCATGAAGAAATCGCGACTGTATGTCGAGATCATTTTCGCAGTCTCGAAGCAGGCCAGGAGGTTGCCGCCAGCCAGCTTGCCACTGCGTGTTCCCAGCGGCAACAAGCAGTGGATGGAGCGGACGTGGTTCCATCCGCTTTGGTCCCCACATGGGCCCACTTGCATGCTGCTTTTCGGGCGACGGCTCCGCACAAGGCGCAAGGCCCCGATCTCCTTCCCCCAATGCTGTGCACCCTCTTCAGTACCACGCTTACTGAAGCATTCTGGCCAGTACTTCTCCAGACAGTGCTGCGTTCTAACGAACCGGTAGGCCTCAAAGGAGGCGTCATGCATCGGATCTCGAAGCCGCCAGCGGCTGCTCATACCACGGCAGGATATCGAGGGATCCTAGTGCAATCCTGTCTTTCGAAGGTCCTCCATCGAGCCACCCGGCACTTAGCTGTTGCTCACTGGAACAAGCACATATTGCCCCTCCAACTTGGAGGGCGTAAGGGATGCCCGGCCGCATTCGGTCACTTTTGTTCTCGTGCCTTCCTAGCATATGCCCGTGCCACTGGCCAGACAGCTGCCATTCTCTTTGTTGATATTGCTGCTGCCTACTATGGCGTTATCCGCGAGGCTATCTTCGGAGCCCGTGAGGACCAACCCATAGAGGTTCTGGCTGCTTCGCTTGGCCTCTCCCGCGCGGATCTTCAGCAGGTGCATGTTTACATCACGGAGGAACCCGTCCTCCGAGAGCAAGGTGCGCACGAGCTGTTCTGTGAGCTCGCCTCAGAACTGCACGCCAATACGTGGTTCGTATTGGCAGGTGACTCCTCTCTTATTGAGACCAAGCGTGGTACTCGTCCCGGCGGCTCACTCGCTGATGTGATCTTCAGTATGCTCTTCTCGAAGGTTTTGCACCGCCGGGATCAGTGTTCTGAGCGGGGTAGCCTTGTGCCGCGCATTCCCTGGCATGGATGTCGAGCGCCGCGTGGCTCTCTAGCTCACCATGCAGCGATGCATGTTGATGCCAGCGATGTTGTCTATGCTGACGACTTGGCCAGTTTCCTTGTTTGTGCTTCCGCTGCTTCTCTCCCACGGGCTATCTCTGCCGCCGCTGCAGACACTATTGACGTTCTGCTTCCGCATGGGCTGAATGCCAACATAGGCCCTACTAAGACTGCTGCTATTGCCGCCCCTGTTGGCCGCGGCTCCAGAGCGGTTCGTGGCCAGTTGTTTCATCAAAGCAAGGGCCGATTGGTAGTGCTTCCGGAGAACCGTGGCGCTTTCCGGCTTGATTTGGTCGCCTCTTATAAGCACCTCGGTTCTATATGGTCACGCATTCTGGCTGCATGCTTCCTGAAATCCGCCACCGCCTTTCCCTTGGACGGGCTGCGATGAAGGAGGGTAAGCAGCGACTCTTCGCTTGCAAGTCCATTCCCCTAGCCCGCAGGGCTACCTTGTTCCGATCCCATGTCCTCGGGACCGTCCTAGCAGGGGTTGGAACCTGGCCTTTTCTCAACGGGCAAGAGTGGGCCGCATTCTCGGGAGGGATCACTAGCCTGGTTCGCCAGCTCTTGTGCTTGCGGACCGAGGGAGGATTTAGTTGCTCCCACAGCCAGATTTTCTGTCGTGCCGGGCTCCCTCTGCCTCAGGATTTGCTACACATGGAGCGTTTGCGTTTCCTTGGGCAGTTAGTCCGGCATGGACCGGACTCTGCCTGGGCCCTTCTGTCCTGGTATTGCGGGTTTAGGCAAGCCTTAACCGCCGCGTCGACATGGCTCCTACAGGCCGTTCGGTCTACATGCCCCCTTGGCAACATTGACGAGGACTGGATTTCCTGGGAGAAGCTGATTCGCGACTCGCCAGGCCGCTGGAAATCCCTCATCAAAAGGGCCGGTCAATGGCATCTGGTCGCAACTTGCCAGGCTGCCGCTTTGGAGACCTTTGCGCGTGCTTCGTGGCCTGCTGCTGTTCCCACGCAGCGGCCTGATGTGGCGACATGTGTTCATGCATGTTTGCGGTGTAGGGTCGCCTTTCACACCCGGCAACAGTGGGGTGCTCATGCACACCGAACGCATGGATATCACTCTCGGGCGCATACAGTAGCACAGGGGCGGCGATGCCAGGCTTGTGGCCTCCTGGTTGCCTCAGAGGCTCGTCTTCGTACGCACCTCCGGCTTAGTCTCTCCTGTGTTCAGCGCTTGGATGCCAGTGGTGGCATAGCGTCCTTTCCTCCCGAAGGCTCTTCTTCACACCCGCAAGCGCCGGCCCAGCCTGGTATTGGGAAGCGCGCTCTTGGGCCAGCGAGTGTTGAAACCCTTCCCCCTCTTGCGGCTGCGCTTGATGAACTGGCCAATGCTGGTGGTGTGACGGACCAACGTATCTTCGATACCATTGTGTCCTTTATGGCGCCTCTTCCAGTCCTGCGGAGCACGCTTACCCTATGGCTCGACTCTGTCCATGACCCAGACATTGTTGCTGCAGCCAGGGATGTGTTGCTTGTCTTGCACCCAGAACACCTGTGCGACACCGTTGCCGGTGGGCTGCCACCTACGGCCGTTTCTGAGGAAGTCTACCATCCGTCGGTTGTCCCTCTGTCTCTGGCCTTGCCACTTTCTGCAGGTTCCTTGACCTTTGTTGGTCGCAAACCTTCTGCCGTGGCTTGGGCCAGCAGCTTCTCTGCGCTGTCGGCTGCACCTGTGGAGTGGTCCTTTGAGCAATTACATGCGGGCTTACCAGCTGGTACCGCTGGGGTCTTCGTGGAATTCCCTGCACTCCCTGCCGATTGTACGTCCATCTTCTTCCCCCCTGCTTGCCCTCTCAAGGTGTTCCGGCAACTTCGGGAATGGACCGACTCGGCGCTTTCCGCGCTCGGTGCTTTGCTGGCCTTTGCGCGAACGGGTCGCCCTGTGGGCCTCGTCTTCCCCATGCCCCGATACACTCTGGAGCCACTGGCCACTTGGCTCCTTGGTCTTAAGGGGGATACCGAAGACCTTGAGCCCTTTCACTGTTTCACTGCTGAATTCATTGATGTACAGATGCTTTAGGCACGTCCTTCGGACCTTCAGCCTGCCCGAAAGAAAGAAAGGCCAGGGTCAAAAACCACCACGCCCTAAACTCTAAACTCTTTAACTCGAAGCCAGCGACAAGAGGTTCAAAACGCTCGCAATCTTCACACGGGGCGGGCCCACCATGCCTGCTCGGTGGGGGGCCCAAGGTCTTAGGGTTTAGGGTTTAAGTTGAGGCTATTCTACTTTTTCAGTCTTTTGCAGTTTCGAAACCCTCAGCGCATGACAGTGACAAGCTTAAGTCCCCTCAGACATAGCCCTGTTAACACTCTTGAACCCTCCACAGTAAACTTGCAAGGGGTTAGTTGCCTTGAGGGCTCTAAGTTGGGGACGTCGGGCCTTTGAGGAGGTCATTTTGCTTCTGGGTTTTGCAAAGTCTAGTCTTTTGTGCCAGAACTTAAAAAGGCCTCGAATTTTCGATGGGACGAGAATTAGGGTTGAGGCAATTCTCCTATACCCTACCTGTAGCCGAAACGACCTACCTTTTTAGGGCTCCTTATTATGGTTTCTATATATAGTTCCTTAAAAAGGTATAGGTCTTTTCGGCTACAGGTAAACGCTAGAAGACCGCACCCTAAGCCTCAAAATCCATGCATATCCGAGATCCCCTTCGAGACCAAGACGCCGCAAGCATAGGATAAAAATCCCCGTCTCGGAGGAGGGAAGCCTCTCTCGGGCTGTCGGGAGGGAGGATTGAGGGTCGTGGGTTTAATATAGGAGCCTCAAGAATCACCAATACTATTTTGGGGTTCCTTCTTATGAGTATAGTATAATGGGATCGCGACATGGCCACCGATCTCTCCGCCTGGTATCGGTGTCCCAACGAGATGGCCTCTTGCCCTTGTATGCTCCAAAACCCTGTTCCAACTATCTAGGCCCCTATAGTACGGCATAGGCCCCCTCAAAACTGAAGTTCCGAAAAGTCGCCCTCTAGGTGGCAATTTGGGAAACTTTTTAATTTCCCTTACGGTTCCTATAGAGGTACCTATTAGCCCCAAAACTACAACCCAGCCCTGGTCTTGCAGCCTCGCGAGACTTCGCTTCGGCCTTGTAGAAAGGGAGCTCAGCCAGAACACCGTCTCTTAAGCCCCGGCAACCCCAAAACCCAAGGTCAAGGTATAGCGTTTAGGGCTGCCCTAAGCCTTAAACCTAAGACCCTAAACCCTAAAACCCTAAATCCTAAAACCCTAAAACCCTAAACCCTAAACCCTAAAACCCTAAATCCTAAAACCCTAAAGCCCTAAACCCTAAACCCTAAAACCCTAAACCCTAAAACCCTAAAACCCTAAACCCTACAGCCTAAGACCCCCAACCAACAAAGAATCGAAACCCTTGTGCCGTCTGGCAAATGCCCCAGGCCTTCAAGGACTTGGAGATTGAGCAGAAGGCACTTTAGGTTTAGGGTTTAGGGTTTAGGGTTTAGGGTTTAGGGTTTAGGGTTTAGGGTTGGGTAGTTTTCAAAATCAGGGTCCTTTTTTGGGGGCACCCTAAATGACAGGTGCCGTATTGTAATAGGAACCCCAGAAAGGGACCATTAATATTGACAACCACCCACTTGTTTAGAACGACCTTCTGTTTTCGGGGCGGGGTAGGTATAGCATAGATGGGGGTTTTCGAAAATGGGCGACCCTAATATAGTACCCTAAATAATAATATTATTGTTATTATACGGACCCCCAAAAATGAGGTACCCCTAATCTTCGGAAACACCCATTTTGCACAAATAGTTGCAGCCCCTCCAGCCTCGGATCACGGGACCAGCCCCAGACCTTGAGCTTAGTACGGTTGATGATATGGGAGTTTCCGAAAACTAGGGGTACCTTATTTGGGGGTCCTTATAATAAGGATCCTATTATTTAAGGTACTATATTAGGGTCCCCTATTTTCGGAAACTCCCATATAAATCCTGCATTACCCATAATAAGGAATATACCACAATTCCCATAGTTTAGGGTCCTTAAGGTAATGCAGGATTTCTATCATCAACAGTAGATTCCCTATTCTATAGTCTCCTTAGAATTATTTTATTTTTGTTTATATAGAACGCAAGAGAATATCAAACATACTGCTTTTATTATGGTTCTAAGGGGGGTATACTATTTACTCTGACTGATCTATAGGACAATGAGCACCGTGTTCCATAAAGGTGACACTGGCAAAGCCGCCCGTAGCTCCATCGTCCAATCTGGTATACTATAAAGGTGCCATTACCTACTATAACCTAGTGTAATCTACTATAACATACTATAACCGACTACAATGTACCACAATCTATGATATCTACTATAACATACTGCAACCTACTACAATGTACCACAGTCTATGATATCTACTGTAACATACTATAACGTACTACAACGTACCACATTCTATGATATCTACTATAACATACTATCACCTACTATAGTCTATGATAATAAACTATGGTACACTTTTCTTTGTCCAAGCCGCAGGCGCGGCGGCCTTTTGCTGAGCGCCACGTGGAGAGCCGTGCCAGCTGCCGGGCCGAGGCATCTTTCTTAAGGGCTCTGCCAGGGTGGGAAGGGTTTAGGGTTTAGGTGTTTGGGAGTTTAGGGGTTTAGGGGTTTGGGGGTTTGGGGTTTAGGGGTAACCCCGAAATAAGAGTCCTTATATAAGGGATCCCTGATCCCACCTAGCTTCAAGGCCTGAGGCCTTTTCCATGTAAAGGTTCGAGGGATATCTAAGGATTCTGTATTCATACGAGGGTTTAGGGGTTTACATCTCAGGTCCAACAAAAGGCCAGCAATGATGACCACAACGATTATTGCAGTGCCTACAAACGGAATTGCAGTACTGAACCACACTCGCACCATTCTGGAGACTGGTTGGTATTCGTGGCGGCGTGTGCCTTCAAGCAATCCAGTACGGTTTCTCGAGTTTTCAGACACCCCACAAATGCACGTCGCGAGGGTGTACCATAAAGTAAAGAAATGGTGGCGGCGGTGGCGGTGGCTTCGGCGGTGGGCCGTGGATGCTAGCTGTGGTGATGTAGGTTGTGGTGATCGTCGTGGGTGTTGCTATCCTCGCAAAGCCTTCAACCTTGAACCCGAAACCCTGAATCTTGGGTTCTCAACCAGGTAGGCCACTGGCGTGTTCTTACGTGCATCCTTCCTTGTGCTGAGAGATCCTACTTTCAATCAGTTTTCAACGGGTTTCAAGCCGCTTCATATCCAATCTTTTGTATTCTGTCCCGACTCAGGGTATGAGGATCTTTTCAACATGCGGGTACCTCACACAGAGGTCGTGACAACAGGGATCCTGCCCCTTGTAGGCTCCTTCACATCTTGAAAGTCTCTCAATGCGAGGCTCTTGAGGGTTTTGAAAGATCCGTGTTGCAGCGTAGTGTAGATGTCTGAATACTCGATTTTACCCCTTTGTAGTGGCCCAGACACGCTATCAAAAACTCCACGTAAGGGTGGCTGAGCTCAGGCTTCAGGGGTTTGGGGTTGGCAGATGCAATGCTTTCGCACCACGAGTTCCTCCTTCGGGCTAAACCCTGAACCCCTAAACCCTACACCCTACATCCTAGACCCCCAAACCCGATTATCCCCATTTCGAAGCCTTAACTTAAATCCCCAGTCCGAAACACCAGAATCCAACGCCTGCGTAAGGGGAATCAAAAACTCACCCGATATCCCTGCCACTTGGACAAGGCAGAAAGAGCAAAACGGTCCTGCCTGCTAGTGTCTTGAGGGAGGATGCTCGGGGTGTTCTTAGGTTTTTCATAGAGTGTATCGGCTGTTCAAGACTTTGCAGTACATGGCTTTTACAGGCTTACTAGACTTCAAGATTCATCCCCGAAAGGAATACTCCGGAATGGAGAGATTTTGGAGCCTTTTCGTAAAGGGATTCGCCACGCTGAAAGGTACTATAGGGGCCTTGATAATTAGAATGGGGTTTTGGGGCAAATTTTACTATAACTATAAGAAGGGCCCCCGTAATAGTATAGGTCCTAGTATAGGTAATTATTGCCCCTATCGTAGTTCTAATTCTCGTGCAGGCTTCGCAAAACGGTTTTATTTCCGAGACAGTCGGGTTTTGGGGGTTGGGAGAGACGGCTCAGGGTTTTGGGGGTTTTGGGGTTTTGGGGGCCTCACTTCGCGAGCTCAGGCTTGAAAGGTTGATTTGTGCGCGTTGGAGGCCGCGGCGTAACGCAGCCATCGTGTGAATTCGCTGCCCCCTCGAAATGCCGAAGTAGTGAAGCCCCAAGCCCTCCGAGGTGCAGAAGTAGACCCGACTGTTCTGGCCTGAATGATTCCGGACAGTTTCACATACCCTGAGACCTCATTCTATTTATTCAAGTCCAGCAAACACTACAACTGACTTCCACGCCCCAAACTCCCTCCGTGGCTGCCGATTTGGACGCCAACGACACCTGTGCGTGATCCGCCCGGTTCTTGGAACGCGAACTTCTTTCTTGATTTAGGGTTTAGGGTTAGATCTAGAGTTGCCGTGGTGGTGGTGGTGGCGGTGGTTGTGGTGCTGGTGCTGGCAGCAACTAGCTGCAGTGATGCTGGCAGCAATGGTGGTAGTGATGGTGGCAGTGAGATCGTAGCGCTGGTAGCGACGGCGGCGGCACTATGAGTAGTAGCAGGAGTAGTAGTACAGTAGTAGTAGTAGTAGTAGTAGTAGTAGTAGTAGTAGTAGTAGTAGTAGTAGTAGTAGTAGTAGAAGTAGTAGTAGTAGTAGTAGTAGTAGTAGTAGTAGTAGTAGTAGTAGTAGTAGTAGTAGTAGTAGTAGTAATTATTAGTACTAGTTGCTGTTGTGGTATTTGGAGTAATAGTAGGTCTCGGAATCGTCCGCAATGGCTTTCTGCACATGTTCCGTAACCCCGACGTCAGGCGCCCGGGTTTCCCCGAACCCAGCCCGGCCCAGCCCCGACCTTAAACCTCAAACTCAAAAAGCTCCAAACTCTCCACCCAAGCTCGACTAGAACCCTGACTAAAAACACGCCCGTAACAAACAAACTCATAAGCACCTCTGAGGTTCTTGCGACCCGTCAAAGTTTTCGATCTCTACACCCTGAAACCTCTTAACCCACCTTGCTAAGAAATCTTATGAAACGGAATCTCGACGAACTCTTGCAAAGCCCCTCTCGAGCCCCGTGTCCGCAGCCGTTTTGGTGCAAAAGCTCCTGAGCTTCCAAAGACCAGAGACCCTCAGCAAAGAGCATCCTCAAGGCCGTCTCATATGGGCCAAAGGGCTCTGGGGTTCCCTTTAAAGGGATCCTTAAAAGGGTTCTATATGAGGGATACAGGGCTCTATAAGGATACGAAAGGGTTCTATAAAAGTTAAAAGGGCTGCTATAAGGATACAATGGTATAGGGGCCCCAATAATAACCTATCCTATTTTGGGGGTTCCGGATTATAATCATAGTAGAATGGACCCCAAAACCCTATTCAAACATCAAGGTCCCAAGATAAAGGGCTCTGGGGGTTGAAGGGCAGAGAGCATTGTTCTGATTTTGGGAGAACTTCTAAGGAGGATTGTTTCGACGCTTTAGAAGGCTTTCAGAGCAGACTTATTAGGTGCTTGATCATGTTGTATCCTTTGATTTGAGTACAACGTGAATGCCAAATATCCTCCAGCCCTGCACACGGCGAAACCCAAAGCGCTAAACCCAGACCTTTGGCTGCTCATTCAGCACAGGACTCCTCCATCACAAAACTGGCAAAACATCCAACCCCAACCCCCAAACCCTACAGTAACCTTTATAGTATCCCCTCGAGACCCTTATAAAGGAACCCCAAGACCCAACTAGAATCGTAAGAACTCCATCCCCCGGAAGGCATCAAACCCCTATAGACCCTTGTAAGGAACCCAAGACCCAACCCGAATCATAAGAACTCCATCCACCAAAAAAAGGCATCATGGCTGTCGATGCCTTGTCTGGAAATCAGCAGTTCCGCCTCTCTGAGGCGTGGCCGGGTTTAGGGTTTACAGTAGAAGCCCAAAAATTGGAAACCCAATAGCCTCAATTCTTAAGAGTAATGTAAAAAGGGAATCCCAGCACTATTTGGCCTTAATCCGGTTTCCAACTTTATAGAGTTTACTTTAGGTTTTGGATGAGGGTAGTTTAGGTTTAGGGTTTGGGGTTCAGGGTTTAGGGTTCAGTGTTCAGGGTTTAGGGTAGTAAAGGGCTCCGGGGTTGAGGGTTTAATTTTGTTTGCTTAGTTCCTTCCTGGGTGTCCCTAAGCCTTAATTCATGTTTGAAAGGGTTTAGGGTTTGGGATCCCACCTTGCCGGTAAGTCCCTCAACCTAAACCCTTAAAGCCAGCCATTGTAAAACCCTTGTGAATACAAGCCTTATGAAATTCTCGAAAGCATTCTACAACCTGCATATACACACCCTTATATAATCGTCTCAAACACCGTTGTGAAACTCCATCAACAGTCCAAAAATTTCACAGCCGGAGGCCGTTTCCACCATCCAGGAGGTTGCCTATGACTTGAACCGCCGTAGCCTGGCAGAGTTCAAAGATATGTGTAATACATGTGTGTATGTATGTATCCGTCTATCTATCTTTATATATATATGTATATGTATAAGTGTATGTACGTGCATGTAAGCGTGTAGGTATGCATATACGTATGTATGTGCATAAGACATACACATACTATGAGGATACACACACAAAAACTGTCTGCATATGTGTATATGAATGACTAATTAGTCTACGATTCAGGGTTTAGGGTTTAGGATGTATTCTTCCGCGCATATGTATGTGTGTATGTATGTATGTGTTTGCGTAGATGTGTGCATATATATATATATGTATGTGCATGTGCATGTGTATGTGTATGTTCATGTGTATGTACATGTATTCTGTATCTGTATTTGTATCTGTATGTATATGTGTACGTGTATGTGCATCGGTCTATACTATTTATGTCTGATGTGTATATGTGTCTACGCGTATACGTATACGTGCATATATACGTGTGCCTGTATAAAAAGGGTATATATGTATGTGTATATGTGTATATGTTTGTATGTGTATAGGTATACATGGTTAGATGTATATATGTATGCGTGTATATATGCATATAAGTATACATGTCGATATGTGTATATACGTATATACATATATACGTGCATATGTAGATGTATGTTTGCAGATATTTATATGTCTATGGGCTTGTGTATACATGCAACGTTACACCAAACTACATACTTACACACGCATACACGTACATACACGTTTACACGCACCCATACACGTACACACACGTATAAACATGGGCATGCACGTGCCTGCATACATGCATACATACATACATACAGCAGGCAGGCAGGCATGCATACGTGCATGCATTCATACATACATCCTTGCACATACATACATACATACATACATACATCCACGCATGTATGCATGCATGTAAACATTTGTACTTGCATACAGGTTGTTCTTCAAAAGCTTTTGGCAAGGTTTTCCAAAGGACTTCTTGATACAGGCATCTGCATAAGTTTTAGCTGAAGTGACTAAAGTTCAGACCAGTTTAGTCCTTTGTATTGGGGTGCCCAGAGACTTCGATCAGGGGGCGGCAGGTTGTTCTTTTAATGAGGGCCTTAGGTGTGAGGGCTTGGGGATGCAGGGTTTAGGGTCTAGGGTTTAGGGCTTAGGGGCCCGCAGAAAATAACCCAGGCTACTTGGAGGCCCCAGTTATACATAGTAACTTACTACGCAAATGCTTGCGCCTTTGTTGAGATTTCCTGGGTTGTCCTTTGGGATCTGTTTCAATTTCCCTTACTTTTTTGTAGAGAACCATACTAGTAAATACCTTTCAAAGGGCTTAAAGGACAACTCATTTCGGCCCCTCATGTTCTGCAACTCCCCCGTGGCCTCAAATCTTTCAGGCCCTAAACCCAGAACAATAGCGACATAACCCGAACTCCACGCCCCTTGATTGGGGATCCATTCTTATGGTGAAGGCGGTACAGCTCCGGAAGTAGCACCTTTTCTAGAACCCCATACCGGAATCCCCTAACCCTAAACCTCTAAGCCCCTAAACCCCTAACCCTGAGCCCCTAAACCCGTAAGCCCCCAATCCCCTAAACCCCTAAACCCTAAATCCTAAACCTTAAACCCTAAACAGTGCCATCTTTGCTGAGGCCTCCAAACAGAATGCGACCCAGACTCGGCCCAGCACTCAGAGGGCTTTTGGGCTTTGGGTTTAGGGTTGTAGGGGTTAAGGGGTTAGGGATTAGGGTTTGGGTTTCGGGGTTTAAGGTTTAGGGTTTAGGGCTTTGGGTTTAGGGTTTAGGGTTGACTTGTTGGGAGGATATAGGACTGTGTAGGGGTTTCTGCGGGTTTCGCAGTTATGTGCTGGTTTAGGGTTGTTACTTTCCTATTTTTCGGGTTCCGATCTATGTCAGGATGCTTCGCTGTTTTCCATTTTTCTGGTGTTGAGAGTATAGAGTTTAAGTTTCAAGGATCAGGGTCAGGGTTCCAGGGGTGTGGGTTTAAGGGTTCTGGGCTTTTGTTCGTAAACAGGCACTACTTGGAGGGTCGGGGGACTTAGTAAGTAGGTAGTAAGTAGACTTATAAGTACCCTAAACGGGACCCTAATTGGGGTTATGGTACTTATAGGTCCCTAAAAAACAAGTTACTAAGTCCCCCGACCCTCCAAGTAGGAAGTCCAGCCAGGCCACTGCATGGAGAAAGAGAAGCCCCCGCCCCACCCCCCCCCCCCCCCCCCCGCGTTTGGAAGCAACCGCATTGCGCTCTTAAGCTTGAAACCCTCAAACCATGTCGAAATCATGAAGCTAAACCCAAATCCAAAACCTTGCGCCCCCGCCCCATGCCTCAATCCTGAACACCACACCCAAAAACCCTAAGTCCTAAACCCTACACCCGCAAACCGTCAATGCTCAACTAAACCTGCAACCCCAAACCCAAGCCCTCAACCCTAAATCATAAATCCAAAACCGACACCCGATAAGCCCCGAAGCCGCCCGAACCCTTGCATCAATCCGGAGGTTGAACTCCGACATTAAACGGGCCTGAATATTTGGAATTTGGGTGTTCCTAATGTTTTTGTTCTATAAAAAGTCCATAGCTGCTTTGTATAAAGGATTCCTACAGTTAGTGTCCTCCCATTCAGTAAACTTACATAAGGAAACCTCAGTAATACCACCGCTTATTCAGGCCCCCTATATAGTACCCTAAACCTGAAAATCCTAAATCCTATATAGTACCCTGAAGCACTGGTCTGCAAGCCACGTCTATACGTCTATGCGTCCAGAACGCTGCAGTTTCCAAAAGCGCAAGTTCCAGGTCCTAAGTTCTGAAATTTGAACTTTCGGCGTTCGTGGTGATCCTGTTGTTGAGTGTTTTCTTGGGGTTCTTTTTGAAATGGGTTCGTCTCTTAAAAGAGGCAGGTACTGGAACGTGAGACTGGATTTCTAGTGGCCCCCGAGGTGGATCTCAGCGATGCCCACAATGTGACGCCCTCGGCGCGGAGAGGGGCATAGGGAGAACGATAAGTTCGAGAAGTTCTTGTGTGGTGGTTGTTGGGAAATAGCTCGGGGCGTAGTTCAGATTTTGGCGCCGGGCGGCGGAAGCTGTGTTTGCATTGCAGAGGGCGCGGACTGCAGGACTGAACACTTGGGAAGCTGGGTTCTGGAGTACCATACTTGAATTTTTTTTGGGGGACCTGTTCCCTTTAGGAGCCATTATGAAATAAACGTCTATACTTTTTTCTCCCTGGTTACTTCAAAGTCCAGGAAGGGTTGAGAGGAATGGCCGTGGCATTCAATCTTTCGAAACGCATCCATCGCTGCTGAATCGTTGGGTTTTACCTGATGTAAATGCTAAACCCCACAAAACATGCCAGTTCTACGTTACGGTCCTGGCCAGGTTATGAATTAAGTCGCAGCGCATGCAACTCCTTCGCATCCGACATCTGTTACGTACTTCTAGCAGGAAGAAGCCGAAAAGTGTCCTACCTTACTGGGGGTATTCATTTTGATTTTCCAGGCCTCCATCTTGGCTGTGATGATAACACTCGCTGCAAAGATCTTGGTCTGGATTTCTCACAAGCAAGTTCTGGGGGGTGTACTGCATTCCCTAAAGTCTGACCAGCCCAAGTGCAAACTGCCAATCTCTCCCGAACTCGAAACTTTGAGCCCAAAAAGCCCCAACCAGAAACCCTAAAGCCTTCCACCCAAAAACCCCAACCAGAAACCCTAAAGCCCTCAACTCAAAAAACACCAACCAGAAACCCTAAACCCTCAACTCGCAAAGGCCAGTCCTGAGCCTCGAACCTTAATCCCCTAAACCTTACCCAAAAAGCCGAGACCGGGAATAACGGGCCTCGGTCCCCGAAGCCTTATAGGGGTAGTTGGGTCATACGAGGCCAGAAGAGGTTTTAGCCTATTGGGGTTTAGTAGGGATTAGGGTTCCCATAATAGGGTTCATATTTAGGAGTGACCCCTACCCTATAATGGGCTATATACTGGGTATATAATAGCTATATTAAGGGTATATACCTAGGGGTCCTTATCAAGGGTCCCTCCTTTTACCCTTAGTAGGGTTCTTTTTATGGAATCCGTACCCCAAGACTCTTGATCCCCCTTTTGGCCTCCCATCATTGGGGCTTTCTGAAAATAGAAGGGGCCACCTCCTTCTCAGGGGTCCCTGAAAAGAAGGATCCTACTGTTCAGAGTTTAGAAGAGAGGGGCCGGTACTTGCTGAAATTCACGACAGCCACGAACTCTAGACACAAAGCCCAACCCTTAAACCTCAAAGCTTAAAGCCTAAACCCCAACTCGAAGCCTTAAGCCCTGAACCCCCAATCCTAAACCCTAAACCCTTAAACCTTCAAATCGTAAACTCTTAAACCCTAAACCACTAAACCCCTAAACTCTAAACCCTAAGCCCTTCCTGCAAAAAAAACGTCTCCCTTCCGCCCGCCGCCCGGCCAAGATTGCGCAGATCTGCCAAGGCGTGGGGTTCATCTCGCAGCCCGGCCGCAAGCACATCCCCTCATCCCCTCTAGGGATCCCGCGAAAGGGTTCTTAACTTAGTAGCTGAGTGGATACACTTTACACGTTTAGGGATAATATTACCCACGACTGAGACGGAAAGTGTACATTTTGGGGCTTATGAACTCAGCAGCTAAGTTAAAAAAAGGTCCTCTAAAGGTTGCTATAAGGGGTATTGTGGGGGGGGGGGGGGGTTTAATGGAGGGTCTCCAGGTCTTGTAATTGCCGAAACTGGGGTTTAGGGTTCCTTTAAGTAAAGGGTATATAAGGGCTACTGTCACTACAAGGGATCCATAGGGGCACTATACTATAGGGACCTAAAGAATTAGAATAGGGTTCCCTTTAAAGAGATTCTTAAAACGGGTTCTTTGTAAGGGTTGCTATAAGGATATAATATAGTAATGGGACCTAAGTAATTACCTTTACAATTTTGAGGGTTCCCTATTTTAAGAGTAGTATGATGGGCCCCAAAACCTTATTCTAATTATGAAGGCCCCTATATTAGGTCTTAGGTGGGGCTTCCTACAGTTTAGGTGGTCTGCGGGTTTAGGATGGTTTAGGGTTTAGGGCACAGGGCAAGCTTTGACGTTGGGGTTGTAGAGCGTCAGGCTTTGTTTTGTGTTTGGGGCTTTGAGTTAGGAGTTTAAGGTGTTGGGTTCGAGGTGTTGTTTTTCTGCACACTGCTTGGCACCGCAATCTTGATTCACAAAACCTCCTTCATTAACATGGTTTTCTGGTATAAAGGCAGCTCTTCCCTGTCGATGTATGATATGATATGACTCCGAAACCCTGCTCTAACTATTAAAGCTCCATGTTTTGGATTCCTCATAACACCCTAGGAAAAGCTCCACACAACCCTAAAAAGAACTAGAACACCTTTGACAACTTCATCGAACCCCAAACACAGTGATCAGCAGCTGGACCCAGCTCTCGGCTGTTCGGAGCAAAATCCCCTGGAGGGCCTGTGTAGAATGGACCCCCAACAAGGCTCCAATCCTCAACCCAAAACCTCAATTGGCCCTAAATCGCAAGGCCTAGGTGTTGGAGTTTACCGTTTAGGGTTTTCCTGGCCCGGCGAAGACCGACCCCTACAGCGAGGCAGTGTTCAAATTGAGCCCGACAGAACAAATATTGCAAGCCTTAGATTTTGGCCTAGAAATTGGGATTTCGGGCTTAGGGTCTGTAAGCAATGCTCAAGCTCTAAAGACCCAGAAAACTGCTTAGGCCTCGGAAAAACTTATACAACCCCTCTTATGGTAACCAAGCCTTGACAAGTTTTCAAAGCGGGGATATACAGTAAACGGTATGCTGGCCGATTGAATCTTTCAGAAGAGCCCGTAGCAGGCTTGCCATGTGGCTCATCTTCGCGAACAACTCGAAGGCTGGGATTGGGTAGTTGAAACAAGTCGTGGTTCCTTTGTCATAGTTGGACATTATTTTACATTTTTATGGGTACCTAAAAGTGTACATTTTTAATCCTATCCCAACAATGAAATAGGTTCATTTGACCAGGTATCAGGGTCTTTGAGTTTTGCAGTGTCTTGTGGGGCTTTGAAATAAGTGGCATCAGTGTCCAGAGTTTGGGCTCTAGGATGTAGGGTTGGGGTTTGGGGGTTTTGGCGTCTATTCCTGATACTTTCCTGTGGCGCTGGTGTCCACGTTGAACACAGCGTTAGAACCTCTTGCTGTCAGAACCCGGCAAAGAGATGATAGCGGAAAGTGTCAATATGGAATTGCCACTCTAAGAAAAGCCCGCCTCCACGGAGTGGGGTTTAGGGCTTACGAGGTTCCCAGAGACTCCAGTATCCCTTAATTAAGGAATATTCCTTGAATCATATTCGGGCTCCTACTCTCATTTAAGGTCTCTTCCTTTTTTCAAGGATATTGGGGTCTCTGGCAGGTTCAACAAGGCAGGCAGCAGAGAGGAGAGACAGCTCCTCAAGCATCCTATGCCCTGTACCATACCTCTACACCCCGACCCCCTACTGTAGGGGCTTACCTATACTAATATTTTGGGGGGCTCCTTATTATGCATGATTATAGTATAAAAGCCCTATGATTATGATTAAGGCCCCTACATTAACACCCTAACCCGTCTCCCCTTTCATCGAGGCTCCAAATTTACCGCTTAGAGCTCAGGGGACTTTTGGGGGGCTTTTTGGTTCTCAGGGTCCTTTAAGGAGGATGTTTAGGGTTTAGGGTTTAGGGTTCACCGTTGTACCCTACATCTTGAAGCTTGTTTCTAGTCTTTGCAATGCTCCAGGGTTGCAGAATGAAGGCAGGCATTGCGCGCCGGGAAGTGTGTTTTCGTACGACCATGGCTTAGACCAGCTGCCAGGTGTTCCTCAACCCAGACCCCCGGGAGGATCCAAAAAGTAGATCCCTTAATGGGGGTTCCTATAAAGTACCCTTCGTAGTATCGGGCCCCAAATTGCGGGGATCCCATAAAAGATCTGACCAATATTTATTGGGTACGGGCCCCACTCAGTAATAGTTGATTAATATCCATAATATATATATATATATATATATATCAGGACCTTAATGGTAGCCCTATTATAGACACTTCTTACTGTTTTGGGGGCAGTACCTAGCATATTGATCCATATTGGGTGTGGAGGACTGAAGCACCAACCGCCATTCTCGGCCAACCCCACGGCCAAACCCCAAAACAAGCCAAGCCCGGCGAGGCCCTGAACTCTAAATGGGTGGTTGTCAAAATTGTGGTCCCTTTTTTGGGTTCTTTGAATAATAGATGCCGTACTATATTAGGGACCCAGAAAGGGACCATAATTTTGACAACCACCCAAATGCGGAACTCTGAAACCCTAAAAGCCTAAACCCTGAACTCTGACTGCCAAAAGCCCTCAAACGAGGAACTCCCCAAAACCAAAGAACCCAAACCCAGAACTTTGAGCCCCCAAATCCTTTAGGCCCTACGGAAAGGGAGTGCATTTTATTCAACTGATAAACAAACCCAACTCCCATCTCCAAATCCTAAGCCCAAAGCCCAAACCTGAAGCCTTACCACCCAAAGGGGAGTTTCCGAAAATGGGGGACCCTAACATAGTACCCTAAATAGCAGGATCCTGATTATAAGGATCCCAAAATCAGGTACCCCTAGTTTTCGGAAGCTCCCAAATCGGAGGTGGCCGTGGCTCAGATGCTCGCCCTCATCTGGGCTTTGTAGGGGCTAAGGATTTTTTTAGTGGATTTGATTCATGATTAGGATAGGTTTTCCGAAGGGCTTTACATGGGTTTAGGGATTTCTGTAGGGGTTTAGGGTTTTCTTTAGCGGATTAGAGTTGTCGGGGTCTGTAGGGGAGTTTGTTTATAGTTCTCTGTTTTAATGGGTTCTCTGGGGTTGGTAGGCAGCTGCGAAGCTCAGAATCAAGCGTCAGAAACCCCTACTTTATCCTCATACAAACCACCCTGCTGTCTTTCTGTCTTGTGAAATATGTCAAACCTTCGCTGATTATGCGCCACGCGGAATGGTGCACACACCCGAATTCATGCAACCCTGCTCTAATTCCAATGGCCCCCTATGTAAGGCAATGTAAGGCCCTATCATTATCCTCACGGAAACCCTTTAAAGGTTAAAGGAGCCCTATTCTCATCATGAAGGCGCACGTACTGTACCATACTATACCATGCAATGCAACATGTATTACTACACTATACCACGATATCCCATAATTTGCTATTGTATACTAGAGTATACCACAGCAGACTATAATGTGTCATAATATAATGTAATTTATTTAAATACTACTTTATAGTATACTATATTATACTCTAATATCCTATAATATCTTACATAGACTACATTTCACTTAGTATACTACAATGTACCATAATGTATTATCCTATATATATATACTCTAATATAACATACTATATTATCCGAGCCCCCCGGCTTCCTAGGAAGGCGCCACTCGAGCAGCGCCATGCAATCTGCGCCTCCTCTGCCTGTGGTTCTGGCGGTTGGGTTGGGTACTGCCGCCCATACAGTAACACAACAGTGTATAAGAAGGCTACTATTGAGGTCTTAATATATCTATACTACGAATATTGTTCAATTGTTACTGAGTGGGGGCAGTATCCCAGTTCTAGGGTTTGGGGCTTGCGGTTTGGGCTTCAGGGTTTAGGGTGCGGTGTGGGGTTCAGGGTTTGGGGCTTGGGTTTTTAGGTATTAGGTTTTTGGGTTAGTTTGGGGTTCAGGGTTTACGGTTTCGGGCGAGGGAATGTTTGGTGGTTACCGTCTTTATGAAGTCACTATTTTGAGATTGACCGGGAGCCCAAGTCAGAAGACGTGCTAGATGTTGTTCATGCGCTTTGCGTCCAAGATACCTAAGTTTAGGGTTTGAGGTGGGTGCCTGGTTGGGGGAGTAGAGTATTTTAGGATTAATATGCTCCCCTCATAGTGGGGATCCTAATTTGCACTGCTGTTGCTCGGGTTGGTTGGTTCAACGCCTGCTGCCCCTGTCGCGTATGGTGTCCGGGATGATGGTGACCCCGACGATTGTGCCGTTTGCTGCCGCATTGTGCGACCGGGCGAGACGTCCGCTTTGATACACATAAACTGTAGAAGCTTGAGCATTTTTTCCATTATACTCTACGGTTCCGATCATAATCATACCACAACATTGCCAGAGACTTTTTCTATTTCTTCTAAACGCCCTTATATTGCAATGCGCAAGAACTGCATGACCTCGATACCTTTCTCGAAGGAACCCTTAACCCCCAACCCCATACCCTCAACCCTACATGGGAGTTTTCGAGAATAGGAGTACCCAAAATACTAGCATCCTTATTGTAAGGACCCCAAGATAAGGTAATTACCCTAAGTTTTTGGAAATACCCGTTTAGAACGACTGCGGGCTAAGCACTGAAAGGGGTCGGCTTCCATGGGGCATAGCGGCTGGGTTTAGGACGTCGGGTCGGACCCAGAGACTCCAATATCCCTTAATTAAGGAATATACCGTAAATCATGTTGGGGATCCTACTATAATGTCAGGTATATTCCTTAACTAAGGAATATTGGAGTCTCTGGGGATTCGGGGCTTAAGGATATAGGGTTTCGGCTTTAGGGTGGTCGCATTTGGGGATGAGGGACTCAGGGATTCTGTGACTTTCTCATGGGGAATTTTAGGGGGGGGGGTAGGGGGGAGGGGGGTAGGGGACTATAATTCCTTAAATAGGCATTATGGGGTCCTTATTATGGGCATTGAGGCCTGACTTTGCGGTTCAGGAAGACAAGATGGGTTTGGCATATGAAGAACTGTTGGAAGCCCAGGTGCGACGATCAGTACGGCAGGCCACGCCGTGCGATTGTTCATGGGGTTTAGTGTTCACGGGCTCAGGGCCCGTAGTCCTTTTAGGGCCCTTAATAGGGCCTTTAGAGCTTTCGGCTTTTAGGTCGGTTTAGGGTTTAGGGTTTAGGGTTTAGGGTTTGAAAAGTTGACAGTCGTCATTCGCATTCCAGCTTTTCTCAAGCACCTGGTTTTGGGAATCCACGTTCTCATACTTCACAGTGACCGTGTTGCCTTGAGCTACAGTGTAAAGTCGGGCCCCAAAAAAGCACATAAGCAAAACTTAGGATAGGGATGTCCCATATAAATCCCCTTTAAAAGGAAGCCCATAAGGTAGGGATATCCCCACAAAATGCTTATGCTTATGTGCCTTTTTGGGTCCTTATAAAGGGCTCAGATTGTGTTCTGCAGCTGTCACGGCGCTCGGAATTTCACAGCCCACATTGCTGCAGTGAGATGTTATGGCATCCCCCAAGCAGTTCCCGTATATCCTAGGTAGTATCAGAGAGACCCCTTAAAAGGGGCGCTTCTTAACCCTACTTCTAACTCTTAGAAAACTAAAGCCGCCATAAGCCCCTATGCACCCATTAACCCCTGTGCACCATATGGGTTCGTACAACCAGACTTATGAACCATGCAAAACTGATGCCAGTATGAAGCCACTTACAGCCTTATTGCACAGGCCTCAATATTTAGTAGTAATATCACCTTCGAGGCCCCGGCAGTAGTACCCAAAACCACTGCATCACAACCCTATTCTGATTAATCTAAGGCGATATATGAGAGTTTCCGAAAAGAGGGTACCCTTGTATGGTACCCCAAAAAGTAGGATCCTTATTATAAGGACCCCATAATACGGTACCCCTAGTTTTCGGAAACTCCCATATTAAGCCCTGCCAGTCTTCTTGACTTCTGTTGATGGAAGTGCCAGGTTCTGTTGGGAGCCCTAAACCCTAAACCCTAAACCCTAAACCCCACTGTGCTCGGTAGAAAAATTTATCAAACCCTGAGGGCCCAGGTCTGTCAGTCCTTCTGCGCCTGTCTGGTGCTTCGTAGGGAATGGGGGAATGGATCCTTACAGTAGTCCCTATCCATCTATCTATCTATCTATATATATATATATTAATTATAGTGTGTATATGTATATATATATATATATATATATCATCCCCAATACTAGTCCCCATTTCCCATTCCTCCATTCCCGGGTTGAGGGGTTAAGGTATGTCTTGAAACGAAAACCCGAAAGAATCTTATCGAGTTTCGAGTTTAGGGTCTAAAATTCAAGAAACGCATAATTAGAGTATAATGGGCCCCCAAACCCTAGTCTAATTATGAAGGCCCTTGTATTATGTTTCGTCATAACTCAAGCAAACTACCGAAGCTATTTTTGGGGGGGGTTCCTGATAGTATTTTGAGTATAATGAGCCTCTCAACCCTTATCTAATTCTTAAGGCCCCTATATTGCTAATGTTTCGTCAGTCGCGCTGTTCTCCGGCTTCTTCAACATCCTGCAGCTCACGGCGATGCACGGCTTTATTTGGACCTCCTTTTTCGAGGCTCAAAATAGGGTTTAGGGTATAGGGTTATAGGGTTACAGGGTTTAGGGTTTAGGGTTTGGGGTTAAGGGTTAAGGGTTTTAGGGTTTAGGGTTTAGGGTTTAGGGTTATAGGGTTATAGGGTTATAGGGTTTAGGGTATAGGGTCTAGGAGTCTAGGGTTATAGGGAACATGAGTATCTGAATGCCTAGCGGTATATAATGTTCCGTAGCATTCCTTCATATGAGTATACTATAACTACAATATCCCTCAGCTATATTGGAGCTAGGGGTGTAGGGTGTGGAAAACTGTCCCCAGGCGAAACGGGAACGTGGTAAATCTTCAAGTCATGCTCTCACGAGGTTGTTCCGGGATATAGCCGTTACACGTTTCTGCTTCTGAGTGTCGATTATAATGCGCTTGAGCATATGTATGTACATATGTATACATACTGTTTCACCCTAAACCCTAAACCCTATACTGAACCGGCTCGATGAACACTCAACCCCACACCCCTGACGATTTAACACAAAAGCACTCGCCACATCAGTTCTGAAGACGCTGGCCGATCTTTTCTGAGTTTGAGAACTTTAGGGCTCCTTTGTCATAGTTGGGTAATGTTTTCATTTTAGGTGTACTTTGAACCCAAGAAGGACGAGAAATTCTAATTTTTCGCACTCTCCCCACCATGGACTAGCTTCAAGGTTCATCGCATCAGGGTGTAGGGCTCATGGATTGGAGGTGGGTGGATTCGAGGCAGAAGAGGGTTTCAGGGCGTCCGGGTGTGTCGACAGTTTGGGACGCTGTGGCGATCCTGCGATGTAGGGTTGGCTAGCAACCTGGAAAACTGTAGGAGCTCATCTATGGTTCATAGCTGTCTTTTATTCTTTAACACCAGCACATGCTAAGAGGGGTGGGGTGGGGGCGGTAAGCTCCCGACATTGAAAAGACCCTAAACTCTAAACTCCAACCCTAAAGCCCCGAAAGCCTACAGTTTACACTCAGGACTCTTAACCCGATTTTTTTGCAACCTCCAGACCCTATCAAGACCCTGTGAATATACAACCCTTTAAACCTCTAAAGATAGGCATAGGCCAAAAGCCCTCAGACCAAAAAGAGATCTAAACCAACAAACACCAAGACAACAAAAACACCGAAACAAAACCAGCTTCCCACAAAGAAAGCAGGAACTACACCCCACGCCATCACCTTCAAGACCGTTTTAGATTCTTGAGACCTTAAGCCCCAAACCCTGAACCCCTAAACCCCAAACCCTAAACCCTAAACCCCTAAACCCTCAAACCCTAAACCCCCAAGCCCTAAAAGCCAAGGATTGACGACTTCGACCTCCCCGGGCGTGCAAACAACTTCACGCTCAACTTGCTGCTTGGCGGAGGAGGTCTTCAGAGGGTAGAGCCTGCCTATTGAATGCTCGTACATGCACACATACGTATATCTGTCTATATATATATATATATACACATACACTTATGTATGTATGTATGTATGTATGTATGCATGTATGTATGTATGTATATATATATATATATATATATATATACATGTTCATATGTGGGTGCAAGCGCGTGTTTTCGGTTGTAGGGTTCCGTATACGATTTTTTGACGATGCTTACATAGGATTGATTATTTGCGGCTGTGGGTGCTTTGCGTGTTTCAACTTTTTGTTTGATATTAGTCTTTTGGGGCACATCACTTGTGCTTAGGGTTCAAGTTCAGGACCGCTACGTACGCTCTAGGGGAGTGCATGTCAGAGAGGTTTGTGAGATGGGGTTGAGCAGGGAGGTTGGGAGGATTTTGATGTTTAGAAGTTTCGGGTTCGGGGTGTATGGTGCAATGTTTGACGAACCTGGAAGGGAGTTTATGACGGTTTTGGGGTTGCCGGAAACTCGTGGCTGCAGGCCTATCGGGCGCCGTTGTATTCTTTGAACGCGAACCCACCTTAAACTCCAAAAGCACTCAAACACCCTTCGCCTTGATCCCTGAAGTCTAAACCTCAAACCCCGAACCCTGGGGTTTAGGGCTTAGGGTTTAAACCTCAATCCCCAAACCCTATAAGGTCGCGCCCCATCGAGTGGATTGCGACGTGCCCGATCATGCAGCTGAAGCTGGTTGTCCTCGCAGGTGAGGTTCTAGGTTGTTCATCGGCTTCTTATAATTCATGTACCCGAAAAGGCAAACAGGTCTAGAGCTGAGGGGTTGGTTTAGACGCCTGAATAACTACCCATACTAGTCCTTAAGGCTCCGGTATGTACCTATTCCAACAAAAAGTAAACACTTCAATCCCTATTCTATCTAATCAGGCTCCACACTTGGGATTCTCAAAATCTGGGCTTTTGCCCTGCAGGTCATAGATTGCAACGCCTAAAGTCCTGAACCCTAAGCCTCTCTGACCCGCTTCGCCAGCCCCCAGCTTCATGCTGCTCCGCGGTAGACCCTCTTGCCCATTTTTAAGGACTTAGCAAGTAGGGTGATAGCTAGGGTACCTGCACATATAACTACAGTAGTTATGCTGGAGCTCACCGGAGATCGTCTCACAGAAGCCGGAAGTGAAAGCATCAGGAGGGGTGCCGAGCACATCGACGAAGTGTTCGCTCTCAACAAAGACTTTCCTCAGCTGCACCGCTTCACGAAGTACCGTTGCCTTCGCGAGCACAGAGACGCCTGCATTGACAGCCTGGGCCTGCAGGTAGCAGTCTCCATGATTAGGGTTTAGGGCTTGGGGTTTAGGGTTTAGTTGCGGAAAGAAAGCCCGGGAGGCCGCCGCAGCAAAAAAGAGTCCAAACGTCGCCGCAGTGACAAGCGCGAGCCAAAGCGAAAGCCAAAGCTGATTCAAAAGCAACAGGAGAGGGCGGCAAGCGTTGGCGAACTTGTTTGGATCCCTGGTCGTTGGATAATATCTAATATAGGGCGCCTAATTGTATTTATAGTATAATAGGCCTAGTTATTAAGGCCCCTATGTTAGGGGCGGCAGCCGTTGGAACAGAGGTCAGAGGGTTTCGGGTTTACTAGGGTCTCGCATGGGGTGAAGAGTTGCAAGATACAAGTCCTCCTAAATGTCTAGCACCGAGTGCAACAGTGAACAGATTTCCAGTTTGCCTACAGTGCAGAGGCTACCCTAGATCTCAAGATGAGTACAAAATAGTGTGGACAAGAAAGCTTGCAGCTGTCGACTAGCCGCCTAGCCGCAAACTCATGCCACCAACATAGAGAAAAGACGCACGAGTGCCGCCAGGCCGCCCCCATCAATAAAGCTGAACACGTCCGACGCCTCAAGCCTATGATCAGCAAAGAGTCTCCCGAAGCCGAAAGTGTAATACAGGGGCCACAATAATCACCAATACTCCTTTTGTTTTTTTAACAATTGCAGCATCGTACATCACAAAGCCCAATTGCAGCATCGTATATCACAAAGCCCTGTTCTACTTGTTAAAGCCGCTATATTACCCCCGATATCGACATTTCTTGAGCTCGAGCAAGGGAGCCCCTCCCCCCCCCCGTCACCCCAATGCCTCGGATTCCCAGTGGTACCCTTATTCCCTTCTTGTAGTCCTAGGTTCCTGATAAAGGTACCCAATACCAAAAAGGGAGCCCTTGTTATTCCTAGGTTACTGGGCATCCTAGATGCTCAAAAAACCCTGAAGTTTAAACCCAACCCCTAACCCCAATGCTCAAAAACCCTAAAGCTTGGGGATTCTTGCTGCGCTTGCAGTCGGAAAAGGGCCCATTAAAAGAAAACAAGAATTGCAACAGTGTGGACTAAAGATCTGGAAGTTTTCCACCTCAGTAGCAGAGAAGTGCCGAGGCAGCCCAAATTCAAAGTCAATGCAGTACTGTCAGTACCGCCGCCGACATGATATTATTCCTACTATTATTACTTTGGTTCATTACTATTATTGTTTTATTGTTATCACTTACTATTGCCATTATTACATTCATGTATTGTTATTATTATTAGTCGTCGTCGTCAGTCCCTATGTTTTATTATGTATCAACCCTTGAAGTTTGGACGGCTTCAGAGTTTGGCGCTTCGGTTTAGGCCCTGTTTAGGCTCGTGGGCTTGTATGCATCAGGGTGTGAGGCTTCTTCGGACTGCAGAATCCGAAAGAACCACTTGAAGCTTCATGCTTACCTGAACTAAAATTCCTAGATAATTCGATTTGGGCTATCATTCATGGGGCCTGATATCTAGTGTAAGAAGCGCATGCTCATGCAAATTCGTGCGCTTTAGGGCTCAAAGTAGCCTCGCACAGGTGGTCAACACCATGCAGAGAAGGTCAAACTCTTAACCCTAACCTCTAATCCCTAAACCCTAAACCCTAATCCCTAAACCCTAAACCCTAATCACGTCCCAAACCCCAAACCCAAAGCTCTCGTAGTCTTACACCGAAACAGCACACACTTCATCTCCATCGTCTCGAAACTTGATCTTAAAACATTCCAACTTAGGGTTTAGGGTTTAGGGTTAGGACCCCAGGTTATGTTATATTATATGGGTGGTTGTCAAAATTGTGGTCCGTACCCACGCTGGGCCCGTCGAGGTCGTTTTGGTCACTTGTGATTTTCATAGCGCCCGGGCAGCTTACCTCTCTCAGTGCGTGCTTTATGGTGATGGAGGCTGCCCGAAGCTCCACTGTTGTGCATCGGGAGCTGCAGCGGCTCAACTTGATTGATGTCTGGAGCCACAACCTAGTCCTTGAGGTGAGAAGGATGGGGCGGTGCGCGGAGACCGGCTGCCACTCCGTCACCATCCAGACCTGCAGGGTACCTGGCCCAGTAATCGAACCGACGACTCCGTTCGAAGAGTGGTACCACTGGCATCGTCTGAAGTACCACGTGGACTTGGTAAAGGTGGTCCAACTTGTGCTCACCCTGAACTACGACTCGGGCCGCAAGCAAAGTTGGAGGTTCAATTTTTCCGTGCACCCTCATGACGTCTACTCCACTGATGCCCTGCTCCACATGGAGGCGGCGCGCTTGCAGGGAATCGAACACTTCGCCTTCGCCGAAGAGTTTGTGGTTTCTGGTTTGGTGCTGAACCAGGACCTCGCCTGGCTATCAACGAAGACCTCCTGCGAGGATATCGGTGGCATTCCGGCTGAAGGGCCTTGGGCGCAGATCGCTGAGTTGTACGATTTCGCTTTCCTTCTCAACATCCTCACAGGCGAGTCGGCACTCCCTGAAGAGTTCTCGGCATTTGAAGAGCTGGTCCAGCTCTACTTCCCCTGCCGCCCGGTACCTCCAGCGCTTGAGGTACCTCATGTGGTGGAGGGGCACAGCAGCTGTGTTCCCGAGCGGCACAGCAGTTGGAGCGGCTCCACTCGCGGTTATGCACACCGTGCTCCGGCCCAGCGCAACACCACCTGGTCGTCGTCAGCAACGCTGCTGCAGCGTGGGAGGTCTACAGACCTGGCCAGCGGCAGATGCGCCGTGGCAATGCTCCTTGGCTTCGCTCCCTGGCTTTGCTCCTTTTACATTTTCTTTGCTCGGCGACTTGGCTATGTGCCTTGGATTGGCTTCCTCGTGCCTTTTTGGTTTAGTTGTGTAGTCACGCGCCTTGGCTTCGTCACGTGACTTCCCCCCCGGAGTGGCTCCTAGAGAAGCCGTACGGAGCTGCGGCGGTACCGCAAAGGCCATAGGCCAGTAAGACCGGACCGGCTTAGTGACCGGGCATAAATTTTTGATCAAACGGCCATCTGCGTCTTTAACCTGCGTCCTTTCCCGTGTCCTTTGTCTTCCTGTTGTTACTTTTCCTCTCTCTCTTTCTCTTCTCTTTCTTTCTGTCTTCCTCCGCGCTCACACGTTGACTGCTAGTACACTTCCCTCGGTTGTCGTGGCTAAAAGACGCCGACATAGCTGTGGCCTTAAAGCCTGCATGCCTGCCTCGGCGTATGCTCACACCGTGCTTCCCTGATACGCGATTGTCCGGGTGTGGCATTGCCGCGCTGCAGGGCAGCGGCCTCTTAGTGACCCAGTCTCTTGAGCTTCCCCCATTTGCGCGAGTGGCCAGACAAGTTCGATGGATGCGTGCATCATTCATACTTCCGGGCAATGACGTTTTACGGAGCCCGGGGGCGCCCTGCCAGTTTGAACTCCAAGCGGAGGGGCGATGACGTTTCCGGAGCCCCTGCGATGCCGGGAGGGATAGCGCCTTAGGCATGGCCCCGTATGTAACGGGTGCCGCTACTCACTCACTCACTCACTCACTCACTCAAAATTGTGGTCCCTTTTTGGGTACCCTAAAAATTAAGTGCCGTATTAGAATAAGGATCCAGAAAGGGACCCTAATTTTGACAACCACGCACATTTTGCTACATAATATAATATGAGATACCCGACGCACCTGACCCGACTGAGCCTGCAAGAGGCGCTCGTGTCCCAAGCTACCGGCGCTTCATGCGCCCTGGCTGTGATAGCATAACATATACTTTCATATGTAATATGTATATATATATATATATATATATATAGATAGCAAGCACAATATCTATCTCTATATCTATATCTATATCTATATATGTATATATATATATATATGTACAGTATAGAATATCAGGGAGCTTTCAGAGAGCCGCCTTCGGAGGGAATGCGGGAACGGATCCCTGTGAGAGTTTGAGGTCCCTTGTAGTAGTCCCTGGGTTCAGGGCACATTGTGTCTAGCGACCTGTGGCAGTTTGGGCAGAGGGATGCGAAGGCTATGTTCGACTTTACACCTTGAAGGCTTAGGTTGTCGAGGGTAGATTATGCTTGGATTGTTGCATGTTTAGGGATATACGAAGCAATACCAAGACATATTTGAGGCTCCTGTATTCGACCTGAGATGTTAAGTTCCTCTGATCGTGGCCAAATACGGCAATGCATGCGCAACCTGTTCCCGGAACCTAAAGGCCAATGCGAGCGCGTAAACCCTAAGCGCTAGAACTTAAACCCTGAACCTTTGCTGATCCGCTTACTCAGCAAGAGAGGGTGTTGTTAGGGGCAACTGTATACCTGAACACGTGTACCTACTCATGAAGTCATCCCCGATTCTCCGCAGTCGAACCCTACAGTCCTGAATAAGCAAAGACCCCAACCCTTAACGCGAAACCCCAAGCTCTGAAGCCTCAGCCCTAACTCCAAACCCCTGAACCTCCAGAAACTTCAACCGTAAACCCTCAGCCTAAACCCTACACTCTCTGGGTTCGGGAGTACCATACTTGAGTACTTTTTTGTTGGGTACTTGTTCCGTTAAGGAGCCATTATGAAATGAAAGTCTATACTTTTTTTTTTTTTTTTTACTTCAAAGTCCAGCTCTACTTCTGTAAAAGCCATGAACTAGGACTTTTCAGCTGCTCTATAGTCGAGTACCAAGGGCCTTAGACTTAGGGATAAGGGTTTGTTTCGGGTTCAGGGGTTAGGGTTTCGGTGTGGGTCAGGGTTTAGATGTAGGATTTAAGAACTAGCGTTTCGGGAGTAGGGCTTACGGTTTAGGGTTCAGGGTTCAGGGGTTTGGGTTTACGGCTTCGGGTTTTCTGGAAATCATGGATGCCTTGACTTAGGCTCCCCGTCAGGCACCTGAACATGATAAAACCACAACAAGCCCAGCAGAAATTCATCGAAGACTCCTTTGGGGTCCGTCATTTTCTGAAGCACTCAGGCCAACACCGTTTTAAATCCTGCAACCTGAACCCTTCACGGCCTAAACCCCTCCCAAACCCTGAATTTTCATCGAAAACCCAAGCCTTGAGCTCTATAGAACCCCTGCAAACCCTACATCATAAACCTTAAACCCTCAACTCTAAGCCTTAAACCCCACACCCTGAACCCTACACGCAACAAAGCCTTTACAAAGTCCCCCTGTTGGAGACCCGAGGATGCCCTTGATCTGTGTGTCGGTGCTCCTCTGCGGAACGGCCTCCATGTTCACAGGCACCTGGTGTTGATATTGCTCCTTTGCTTGGAGCTTCATGGGTAGTCCTACGTGGAGTTGTAAGTCCTTGAATATGGGTTGTAGCTATACATACCCTACTTATAAGCCCACTTGTAACTACCCATGAACCTCCAAGTGGGGTTTAGGGTTTAGGGATGTTAGGGGTCTGACGAGTATTTAAAAATACGAGTCCTGAGAGATCCTTATTGCAGCGATACGAGAATTCACACCAGAACCCTACTTGTTGGTTTAGGGTAGTTCTTAAGGTCCTTGTTTTGGTTTAGGGTTTAGGGTCCTTGTTTTGGTTCTTTACTCAAAGGCCCCTAAAAAGGGGAAGTTTAAGGCCAGCCCGTTGACCTCGACACAGGGTAGGTTTTTGGTGACAACGCCTGGTGTGCGTCCTGTACGTCCTCTCACTTTTCTGGGGTGGGGGGGGTGGGGGGGGTGGGGGGGGGGTGCGGGGGGGTGTGGGGGGGCTAATTTTGGCCAGTCCCGACCCTTAAGTCCCAGAACTGCGGACTTTTGTCGCAGGCAGGCACAAGCTCTAGTTCTGATCGAAGCCATGTTTCCTTAGGGTCATATGCCGAACACACCGGTAATTCCGGTGTGTTCGGCACTTGCTACAACCCACGTCGCCCAAACCATCCATGGGTGGTCAATGTTATTGACGCAGAGCATCCATAGGTCAACCATGTTAACGTCCACTCAGACCAGATCTCTTTGACGCAGAGCATCCACGGGTCAACCATATTAACGTCCACTCAGACCAAGTTTGCGCAGCGCGGTGCTCGCAAAAGTGGCTTTTACTACAGCGCCATCACCTTTTTCGCTAAAACGATCGACCTGTCACAGGGATTCTCCGCCTTTCCTAGCACAACTTTTAAGTCATAATACACGTTTTCCCTAGGTTTTAGCACATTGCCTGTTTCAGCTACGCCACAAAACGCCGGTCACGTACCAGGCGCTGTTACCAAGGTTTTTATGCCTCGGATCTAAGCCACTGGCTTCCTAATATAGGGGCCGAAATAATTACCAAGGCTATTGTAATACTTTATCATGCTGCTCTCGCTGACAGGGGCCTTGATAGAGTAGGGCTTGAGGCTACATTGTAGCACAGTTCAACAGTGACTGAAAACAGGATACTCTTATTGGTTACTCAGACATCTATACTAAGGGAGGTTCGACATCGCTGTTAAGGAGGATCCTTATCAAAGCCCCCCCCTGCCGGCACCCGCACTCCGTGGCAGGAGATGCCCTGCGCTACGCTTGGTGCCACCGCCACAGTTGGAAGTTGTGGTGCACTATGGAAGCCTGAGGTACTAGCTATCGTGTTCCAAAGGGTTCCCCAGCATAATTCTATTAATTGTAGCCCAAAACCTACTCTAAATTATTAAGGCCACTTTATCGCCTGTGTTGCAAGGTCTGAGCCACGTGTAGCTTGAGGCTTTCCGAGTGGTGAGGGTGCAAAGCCCAGTGCATCATTGGGTGTCCCAAACGCCGCCTCTGTTTGGGGTTTTTGCGCTGGCAGAAGGCGCGTTTTATGGGGTTAAAGGTTCAATTGAGCCCCAGGTAAGCTGTCGAACTTGGGTGTCGGCAACTTATCCGACAACTTCAGCTCACGCCTCCTGCTTGGTTTAGCTCATGTGTTAGGTATTACGGAGTTTAAGCTTAAGGTTTCCGAACATTCCGACTCCTTCTTGACACGGAGGATGCTATTAGCCAGGGGACCTATAGCAAGAGTCAATGTTGGTGCTGGGGCTAGCAAGCGATGAGTCGTTCTTAGCTCGACTCGAAGCCCTACGCCTCAATCCCTGTTGCGATCCTCAATTCCCAAACCCTTCACGGTGAACCCTATACCCTAAACCCGAAGCAGTCCCACTTGGCTAGGTATGCATTCGGAATGTTCCTTGCCCTGGTCATGTTCTACCACAACGCTGCGACTCCCTCTGAATTGCAGGGTGGGCACTGCAGCAAGGTTGAGGGTTTAGGTGGTTCAGCAGTTGCAAGGACGGTAAAAATGTGCTGTACTCGTTCATACTCCATTTCGCCATCAGCAGCATGATCAATATCGCCTTCTTCTTTATGGCATCATGCCACGAAGTCGTGGAACTATGACACTACCATTGACAAGCTTGGCACAAGCAGACGAAGAATCGTGATGAATAGGTGTAGAAAGCAGACTGACGAACACGCGCAATCGTTATTATCATGAAGGTAGACGTCCCGAAGCCCTACAATCAACCTTTCAACCCCCGAACCCTAAACCCCAAATGGGTGGTTGTCAAAATGGTGGTCCCTTTTTGGATCCCTATTACAATACGGCACCTATTATTTAGGGTACCCAAAAAGGGAGCCGAATTTTGACAACCACCCATATAGCCATCTATTGTAGATAGCCATTTCCCAAATGCCAATCGTCTTAAAGCAGGTTTCGCAACCCCGATACCATGAACAGCTTCGGGCTTCCCGTGTTCCTTTGCGGTTTCTCTAAAGGGGTTTTTACAAAGTCCATGTTTCACAGTTCCATGAGATTTCGAGTTTAGGACTTGGGTTGGTTCCGTTTGGCTGAAGCATCTTAAATCCTGCAAAAACCGAGCCACTCCAGCCCAAGCCCCAAAGGCTTAAACCCTAAACCCTAAACTCCAACCCCCAAGCCCCAAAAGCCCTAAGCCCTCAACCCTAAACCCCAAGCCCCAAGCCCGAAAAGCCCGACGATATCTGCCGCCCCGAGTTGCAAATCCGAGAGAACAGCGAGGGGGAGGAGAGCATCCTACAAGGAGCCTTATGGTAGTTAGAATAATATAGACCCTCAACCCTGTTCTACTTATTAAGCTTCCCTCTATTTTCTCGAGGTTGAGGAGGTATACAAGGCTTCGGAGGTGTTTGAGACAGGGGGCCTGAGGAGACGCTCTTGTAGGGGTACCTGATACCAGAGATCGTATTCGTTGGGGTTCGGGGTTTAGGGACACCCTAAACCACTCAGACTGACTGTTTAAGCTTCGAAACTCAAAGACCCGAAACCCTACGGCCCGAGATCTGAAATCCTACAGAAACCCTGCAAACCTTTTTCTAGGATCCAGAGTAGGCCCTTATTCTCTTTTTAAGGGTTTAGGTTCCCTTATAACCCCCTTTATCCCAAAAAGGGCACCCTTTTTATTCCTAGGTTACTCTTGGGTCTAGTTTTTGAGAGCCCCCAACCCCGAGGCTCCCAAATAGGAAAACCTGCCTCCCCGAGTTGCAAATCCGAGAGAACAGCGAGGGGGAGGAGAGCCTCGTGCAAGGAGCCTTACTAGAGGGGATGAAAATTTGGTAATGCTTCCCCCTTATGGTTCCGAATGTAAGCCGAGTACAGCATCATATATGGGTAGTTGTCACAATTATGGCCCCTTTTGGTACCCTAAACAATAGGTGCCGTACTATATTGAGGACCCCAAAAGGGACCCTAATCTTGACAACCAACCATATACCAAACCCAGGTTCTAATCATGATGGTCCTACATGATCTCGGGCCTGATAGGTTTTGCAGGGGCTGCTTGGGGTTTTGTGGAGCGTCTAAAGGTGGCAACGGGTGTAATACAGGGTCGGGGAGTACTTGGTAGTACTTCTGCGATGCAGTTCTGGCAAAAAGACTGGGTCAATGGAGGAGCTGTGAGCTTCTTTGGTGTTTCTATTCTTAGTCTATGCAGAAGAGATAGGACTTTCTTTTTGGGACTGGTTATCGAACCCTCGGTTATAGAGATTTAGCAGCTAGTTTAGCATCTTCAGAATTGCCAAGGTGTTTTTATTGCTTACTAGTGATTTCTAAGCGCCTCGCGACTTGAACCGCAAGTAAGAGCGGAAGTAAGAGCGCAAGTGCCCAAGGCCCGAATCCCGAATCCCCATCAAGAGCCTTCAATATCGAGATTTAGACATTTAGTAACGCAGACCTCGGACGGGTGAAGCCCCTCTTTTAAAGCTCTTAACGTAAGGATTGCGGTTTCTATGCCATATGGGTAGCGGGGTGTAGTAACCAGGGGTCGCCTAGCAGTGCCTCCTTGCAGAACAATCCCTATTGCAATGTATGCGACACCATAACGGACTACATGATTGTACCCGACACTGACCCTAGCTTGTAAACCCCAAACCTGAAGAACTAGCCATCTACAAGTCCTCGGAAACCTCCATGAAACCCCTTAAGCTGCAGCCTTTCGCTCTGAGCTTCATAAACCGAAGCCCTCGCCCGACATCTCAGCCCAGAACCTTAAAACCTAAACCCCTAAACCCTAAACAAACCAGCACGATTCGAACATGGAGGAGACTCCGACTTCCGCAAGCTCTCCATTCTTCTGCTGCTGGGATCGGATGTGTCCTTTTTGCTTTTAGGATTTAGTGCCGAGGTCGGATGTGCTTTTTTTTTGGATGCTGGTGACGGGGGGGTGGGCGAGGGGTGGCGTGCAAGCAACAATGTCAGTACGGTAAGGGTTTTCGCGGTGCCGGGTTTGAGCAGCTAAGGCAGCTAAGCGTCAACGGATTCCGGATGAACCTGGTTTTGTAGGTGTTCGAAATTCGTGTTTGACGGTTTCGGCTCTTAAGCAGGTAAGTTAAAGCGTCCGAATCTTTCGAAGGGTGTTCTATCAAGTTCTTGGAGTAGGTTTTCCAGTACAATGTGGAGACCGGGTTTCGTGGTGTCTCTGTCATAAGTGTATGCGGCAGGGTTGCATAGCTACACTTCGACTTTCGGGCGATGTCCCAACCAAACTCGTTTGCATCTCTCATATATGAAATCGCAGCCTGAGCATCTACCTATATGACTCTGGAGGGTTCCCTTTTACAGTTACAGTATGATGTACCGCAAAGCCCTGTTCTAGATATACAGGCCCCTGTGGGACCGTTGGGAGTGCGCGGCAGCTTCAAAAAACATGTAGACCTTTAGCATGACGACAAGTATTAGTATTATTGTTATTACTATTATTATTACCAGCATTATTACCATTGCCTGTTTCTATTGCTCTTACTCTTACTGTCACTATCATTATGAATAATGTTGCTACTTTGGTGTCTGAGGGTCTAGGCTCTTCAGGGATGTAAAAATGGTAAAGCCCTGTTCTGATGATTCAGGCACTTATGCCATAAAACCCTACTATAGATCCGGTTCAGGAGCCATAAAAGGAACCCTATTCTAATAATGATGAAGGCACCTATCTTAGGAGGCAGGATGTGAAGAACGCCCTAGGGGCCTTTATAACCACTATGCCAAGGCTTTCGGGGCCCATAGCGTAACAGTATAGTCATAGATGGGCGATTGGGATATAGTGTCACCAATTCATAAGGATCCTACTATTTAGGGTACTATATTAGGGTCCCCTATTTTCGGAAACTCCCATACCCCAAATTTGTCGAACCTCCCCCACTTCCTCCCAGAAAGCCCAATACCCCCTAATTGAGGAATATACCTGAAATTAGAGGGGAATTCATATTATGATTTAGGCTATATTCCCTAATTAAGGCGTATTGGGCTCTCTGGGCTGACGATCATCCCGTCGTTTGCCTGCTCCCAGAGCTTAGGATTGTCACGTGGTTCCCGTTCCCGCTGTGGTTCTGCCTGAGCTCGGGCCTGAGCTGATTAGGGACCAAAGCAGCACATTAGCATAAGCGTTTGATGGGGATATCCCTACCTTATTGGGCTTCAGTTTAAGGATACTACCTTATTGGGCATCATTATAAGGATATCCCTACCTTATTGGGCTTCGTTATAAGGGGTTGTATATGGGATATCCCTATCCTAATTCTTGCTTATGTGTTTTTTGGGCCCTAGCTCAGCTCGGACGCCACTTGAACCCAGCTTTGCTCCCAGTAGCCGCAGTAGGAGGAGTAATATAAGGGCCGAAAGAATACCCATACTATTTTGGGAGTTCCTTATTATGATTATAGTATAATGGGCCCTAAAACCCTATTCTAATCACTAAGGCCTCTACATTAGAGGTGGGAGCAGGAAAGTAGGAATAGGGTTTTAAGCGCCCAGTATACTATACTCATAAAAAGGAACCCCAAAATAGTATTGCTATTGTTATCATGGTTGTTAGTGTTGTTGCTGTTATTTTTGTATTAGCCCCAGCGTATACTTTTGCTTCTTATGGTTAGCAGGTAGTATGCCGCAGGTAGAAGCTGGCCGTCGCGATGGAGTTCAGTACGGGCTTGGCAGGGTTTGGCTCTAAACCCTAAACCCTGAGTCCGAAGCCCTAAACCCTAGACAACTAAACCCTAAACCCAAAGCTCTATGCTGCATTGCATTTAGGGACTGAAGATGCGCTTCCTAAGCATCCCCTTCAGTTGTAGGTAACCTAGAAGCCTTAACGATTAGACTAGGGTTTCGGTGCATTTTGCTACTACATGTTAACCCTATAGGTATTGTTATTCAGACCCAAAACTACTCATTTTGATAAGAGTTTGATGTAAAAAGGGGCGAAGATGACAAGGGGCCATCGTGGAGAACAGCGCGTGAAGTCCTTTGCTTCCAGGTCTTAAGGCTCAGGGATGGTCAGGGCCCTGGAGATTCTTCCACCGTTAGCGTTTAGGGTTTAAGGTTCAGGGTTTTGGGGTTCATGGTTTAGTGTTTTGGAGTTTAGGGTTCAGGGTTTTGGGGTTCATGGTTTAGGGTTTTGGGCTTCATGGTTTAGGGTTTTGGGCTTCATGGTTTAGGGTTTTGGGGTTCAGGGTTTAGGGTTCAGGGTTTTGGGGTTCAGGGTTAAGGGTTTAGGGTTCAGCAGAGCGCCATAATAATTGAGCCCTCACAGGAACGTCCGTGGAATCTGCTACTTCGCCGAGGTCGGGCCAAAACCCGGACCCATAAGTAATGATCAAAGACTGGCAAACAAAGGGGAGTTTCCGAAAATAGGGGACCCTAATATAGCACCTTAAATAGTAGGATCCTTATTATAAGGACCCCCAAATAAGGTATCCCCTATTTTCGGAAACTCCCATATATCCTGACGTTTGATAAACATATATCCTGTCGGGCGATAAACATATATATGTTGAGAACAAAAGGATTCCTAAACTTCCGCAACTTCCACCCTTATCCCAGTCTCTCGAGGTGTGGAGGGCTGGGGTGTGATCACGGACTACCTGGTCATCGAAATGGGCTGGGTCGTCCTCAACATCGTATCCAAGCTCCGAAGCCGCGAAGGAGCATGCTTGCAGGTGTTATGCTGTGGGCCTCCCAAAACCTATTGTCTCGATCTTTGAGTAGGAGGACAAGAACAGTAGTATGGACATGCAATCGACGGCTCTATCACAAGAAGCAGGGAAACTGCTGACATAATGAAGGACTAGAGCGCTAGAAGAGCAGCACTTCGTCTTTGTCTGCACGCGAACAGAGATGTTGTACTACCAGCAGACGAACACAAACAGAACTGTGCCATGCTGCATGCCAGACATTCAATGAAACGCACGCCACTTGACAACACCTCAATCTGATGATATATCCAAGGCCCTACATCCACAGCAACAACAATTTTGACAGGTCTTGTTCAAACATGAGAAGTGGTATGGAGCTGCATGTCATAGCTCAACCGCTGATAACTGCGACAACTTACGAGTGCTGTTTTGAAAAGGTCATAACGGTTCAAGAAATCTTTCAAGATGGAGGAGCAACTATGATGATGGCTACGTGCTGTAGACGGCGATAGCTGCGGATGCGAGAACAGTAGTCAACGAAAGCGCTGATTGTGAGTTATGGCGTATGTAGCAGCAGCAGCAGCAGCAGCAGCAGCCGGAGAAGTACATTCTAGTCCAGGTCTAGTTGTAACTGTAGCACACCGAAGAACAGCATCGCAGCTCTAAGCCCTAAGCAATGTCAGAAATATGGGACCGTAATGCAGGCCCCAAATCGCAGGCTCCTCACATTAAGGACCCCAAACAACATAGACCCCCCCCTCCCCCTACCCCCCACCCCCACCAAGTTCAAGAACCCCTAGCTGAGGTTCACCTTCATCATCTGGATGCAGCGCATGAAGCTGCTTGCCTCGGGGGTCTTTTGCGGAGGTCCCAGACTTTCGGGGTTTCGGTTGGTTGATGGGCAGTGGTGAGTGAGGCTTCTAAGGGACAGGTATCGTCTTCTTACTGAGTAGCATCTTTCTTATGTACTTCTCAACAGGTTCTATGTGGTTGAGTGGATTCATGCCATGCAATTTCTGCTTGAAAGTGGGTTGCAATCTGTTTTAAGAACCTTGTGCAGGTGGTGTTTAAGGTTTGTGGTGTTTTGGTAATCAAAGGGGAAAAGGAGGGACCCTTAATAAGGACCCCTAGGTATATACCCTTTAATATAGCTATTATATACCCATTATATAGCCCATTATAGGGTAGGGGTCCCCATGAAGGGTCCCTCCTTTTCCCTTTTGAGGTAAGAAAGTGCCGTCTTCCCTGCACCGAGGATGGTCCATGGCAAGAAGCTGGAGGCGCTGCGGCCTTTTCAGTGCTGTCGGTGCCCAGAAACTCCAATATCCCTTAATTAAGGGATCTACCTTAAATTATAGTAGGATCCCTAATCTGATTCAAGGTAGATTTCTTAATTAAGGGATATTGGAGTCTGTGGGTGTTCATGCGTCATAAGCCTTCAGCTTTTGGTGACGGCTCTACAAGGGTTCCAGGGTTTTGGGTCTGGGGCTCTGGATTCTTGCAGTGGGGAGCCCGGGTCGTAGGGTCAGAGGTTTAGGGTTTAGGGTTTAGGGCTATAGTTTAGGGTTTAGGGTTTCCGGAAAGCAAGGCCGTTGCGAAGGGCTCAGGGTGTAAGCCTCGGCCCCAAACCCTGCTATAGGGGCCTAAACTATTACCAGTAATGCTGTTTCGGGGCTCCCTCTAATAATTACAGTATAATGGCCTAAACTATTACCAATACTACTGTTTTCGGTGCTCCTTATAATAACTACAGTATAATTTCCCCAAATCCTATTCTAATTGTTGAGGCTCCTACATTACGCCATGTTGCCACAAGCATAATTCAGGTCGCGATCCTAGCACCGAAACCTTGAAACAGAAAGTTAAGCCCAAAAACCGAAGCCCCAAAAGCCTAAAGTCCAAAAGTCTTCGCCCTTGACCTCGATTCCGAGCTCCAACCCTACGTGAAACTGTTGGCTTGCGATGCCGAAGCCTTGAACCCTGAACCCTTCAACTCTCCATAAACCCTAAACCAGAAGAAGATTTAAAGCATCCTGCGCAAAGACCTCAAAGCATGTGCACTTCCCATGTGGTTTCCCAAACGAAAGATGTGGCTGAGGCTTCGGAACCCTTTCCAATTTTTGAAGTGGCTTCGAGTCGTTGCGAAAGTTCGGGGAGAGAAACATGGAATGGAATTGCCGCTGCGGCTCTTGCAGGTTGAGGGGGCTAATTCCAAAGATTCTTAGGCAGGCTATACCCGTAAGCGACGCAAGAAGCTTGACATCATGGACCTGGGAAACACGACCAGGCCAACGAATCATGAAGGCACTCAGAATCCCAGGCCACTGAACCAACAAAAACCTGACGCAAAGGCTCGGAAGGGGGTCTGAGCCCCATATCGCAGACCCTAAACCTGCCCACCCGCGACCCCCAAGCCATGTCTCGTAGGTAAAGGCGGGTCTGAACAGTTAGCAATAGCACATTTACAGTTATGTAATAGTTATAAACAGAAATCTTTTTAATCTTTGAAGCCACTGTTTTTTCACGGGGCGGTTCCAGTTTTAGTCTCGTGTTCGTGTCAGACAGGTCTCAAAGCACTATCAAACCTCTCAAGCACCCTTGCTTTCATAAGAAGAAGAAGACACGCTAAGAAGGAGATCACTAAGTTTCAGAAATCTCCGCATAGCCCAGCCCTGGTATTCTTGGGGAGGCTGCGCGTGAGCTTTATGGGCTGTCGCCCAGTGACCACGTCGATGAGGCATGCGGTTTCAGAAGCTCCAATCCTGAATCGGGAGGGTTTAGGGGGTTTTGGGGTTTAGGGGGTTTAGGGTTCAGGGGTTTAGGGTTTAGGATTTAGCTTACACGCAGAGTCTAGGTAGTCTGGAGTTTCAGACTAGGGTTTGGGGGTTTAGGGTTTGGCTTTGGGGGTTTAGGGTGTAGTTTAGCAGCTGCCCCCACCCTGTAATAGTGACTATAAGGATTATAGTGGGGCCCTATTATATTCCTACTATACCACTATTACAGGGTGGGGGCCCCTTCTAAGTCATATAGCAGGATTTGTAAGCAGATCCTGTTCAAGACACGCATTTACGCCTCGAGCCTTCCACACCCCGGACTTCAAAGCAGCCTTTAGCCCTTGACCCTAAACCCCTGAAACCCCCAAACCCCTAAACGCTAAACCCTAAACTCCTGAACCGTTGCACCTTACTTGGAGGATCATGGGACTTAGCAAGCAAGGTGATAAGTACCTTAATTGGGGTTATAAGTAGCTATAAGTATAGTTACCCTAATTATAACCCTAGCTACTCAGTCCTATGATCCCTTAAGTAGGCCCTGAAGCCGAACTCCCCCCTCTAAACCCTAAACCCCTAAACCCTAAACCCTAAACCCTAAACCCCTAAACCCTAAACCCCTGAACCGTTGCACCTTAAACCATCCGACACCAAAGGAGGATCTGAAGAAGAAGGCCAAGGCGCAAGGTCGGGGCCGGTGGGGAGGTTCCTTTAAAGAGGTCCATAAGGGTTTAGGGGTTTAGGGGTTTAGGGTTTAGGGTTTAGGGTTTAGGGTTTAGGGTTTAGGGGTTAGGGTTTAGGGTTTAGGGTTTAGGGTTTAGGGTTTAGGGGTTTCAAGAGTCCTAAACCCTAAACCCTACTATAAGGATGTAGTAGAGGCCCAGGCCCTAAACCCTACAGCCCAAACCCTAGGCCCTAAACCAAACGGCCCCAAACCCTAGCCCACCCTAGGCCCTAAACCCTAAAGCTAGGGGCCTTAATTGCATGAATTGGGTCCGTTAAAGGGGCTTATGAGGGCTATTATACTTGGGGGTCGGGGGACTTAGTAACTGGTTACTTTAGGGACTTATAAGTACCATAACCCCCAATTAGGGTCCCTTTTAGGGTACTTATAAGTCTACTTACTACCTACTTACTAAGTCCCCCGACCCTCCAAGTAGTTTGGGGGGCTTGAACAAATAGGAACAGTATGCCTGAGGGCTCCCAGACATACCGATAGTACAACGGCCCACAAAACCCTAGACCAACTGTTCAAGCTCTGACATGACCATTGTCACTTTTTGTGCGTGCGTTTCTTGATTGATGAGTTTGCGTTTGAACTGGCTATCTTTGGTCCGGCCCGCGAAGCATCACAGAATGGAGCCTCATGTAAGGCTAGCTCCAACTGGTGCTTTCCTTGGGGTTGCGTGCTGTGAATGGCCCTTTCTGCTTAGTTGTTAGGTTTTCTGTTAGTCTTTGGGGCTTGTGCTGTTTTGAAGGCAGATTGGTGTCCAGAAAATTCACATTGCTGTTTGAGGAGTTGAGCTTCAAGTTGGAGTTTAGAGGCTCAAACTGTCGGTTTGGCAGACTGGCAAACCACATGGGAGTTTCCGAAGATAGGGGACCTTAATATGGACCGTAAATCATAGCATCCTTAATTGTACCCCTAGTTTGCGGAAACTCCCACATGCCTCATCCCCTAAACCCACGATATGCAGGTGGAGGAGCTGTTGGACTGGGTGGAGTGTGTGCAGACAAGTACGGTCTTGGTGCCGGCGAGGAGGCCCACGTCACTGTGGATGAGAACACTTCTGTACCGATAACAGTGTAGTTAGAAGACGCAGAGTGCTTTCATGATTAGAAGAACGACGGTAAAGGGTTTGCAGGTCTATTATACTACAAATGTATGAAGGAATCCCCAAAGCCCTGATGTAGGAACCTGATTAAGAAACCCTGGCCCTACAACACCCAACTAGTAGGATTCATATACGGAGCCCTAATAAGGACCCCGGGTTTCTTAATCAGGTTCCTAACATTAGGATAACTATTATGATTATGATTACTATGGTTATAAATGGTTACTAATAATACCAGTGGCTGTAGGGTTTCTTAATCAGGTTCCTACATGATTCAAATTTTGAAGGCTCCTACATTAGACCCAAAGCCCTTTTCAAGCCAAAGTCCGAGCTCTACTCGGGCTGTACCCCTCGAAAAAGAAGAATATATATATATATATATATATGTATATAGATAGATAGATAGGGGCCTTAATAGTCACCTGTACTGTTTTTTTTGGGGGGTCCTTTTTATGGTTATGTAGTACAATGGGTCCCAAGAAAGCAATTTTCTAATTATTAAGGCCCCTACCTTAGGGAGCACCCTAAACCCTACAGCCGAAACCCTATGTAATACCCTAAACCCTAAACCGACGTTTGGGGGTCCCTCTTTATGGTTGCAGTATAATGGGTTCCAAAACCCTCTTATAATTATGAAGGCCCCTACCTTTAAAGACCTTAAACCCTAAAGCCTAAGCCCTATGTAATACCCTAAAGGGACCCCCGCCCTGTGATAGTGGTCACTATTACAGAGTGGGGGCCCCTTCTAAACTAAACCCTAAAGTAAAAGCCAGAAAGTTGGAATATGATTATCCTAAACCCTTTATGGTAAATTATAAGGTATCCTACCCTGAAACCATATTCCAACTTTCTGGAGTTCCCTGTAAACCGAGCCGCCATGAAGGATCCTGAGGACTGAGCAGAGATCTGAGAGTTTCCGAAAATTGGGTGTACCTTATTGGGTTACTATGAGGGTATGATAAGGGTTCCTTTAAAGGGCTCCGTAAGGGTTTTAGAGTTTCCGAAGATTAGGGGTACCTTATTTTGGTGTCCTTATAAGAAGGATCCTACTAATTAGGGTACCATATTAGGGTCCCCTATTTTCGGAAACTCCCATCTGAACTGCGGAAGCCTCACTAAGACCTTCAGCCCTGAGCGATAGCTATTATTAACTATCTGTTATTCGCTTTTATTGCTGTTGTTACTATATTATTGCTATTATTACCATTGTTGCTAGTTTTACTATTGTTACTATTATTACTGTCATTACGAGTGTTACCATTTACCATTACTACTACATTATTGCTACGTTATTACTATATTATTACTATATTATTACTGTTTATCACTATATTATTACTGTTATTACTATTAATCACCCCTATTCTGAAGACCTTCCTTCAGCCCTGAGGCTCGGTCCTTCTTGAACCTATGTCTCCAGGATTCCGGTCTTGTTTTTTAGGTGTTCTTGTTTTGAAATAAAATAATAGTAATGCTACAGGGAAATAGCAAACATAGTGAATAGTCGACAATTAATAATAGCTATTATATAATTAATAATAATATCAATATGAATGATAATATTAATAATAAAAGAAGCAGCGCAGCATGATGTGTCAGTGGAAAGGAAGCCCTCCAAGAACTGCCCGGAAACACGCCTCCTTAAAGCCCTAAAGCCTCCTTAAAACCCGGAAGCTTCCTTTAAGCCCTCAAGCCTCCTTGAAGGCCTAAACCACGAGCCCTAAACCCTAAACCAAAGAGCATGGGGTCTGAGTCGGTATGTTTACAGTTCGGGTGGCATAGGGGCTACCAATACTACTTGGGGAGTTCCTCATTATATTTACAGTATAATATACCCACCCAAACCCTGTTCGAACTATTGAGGCCCCTCTATTAGCCACATTTTCCAAGACTCCCAAGCCTATATACTTCAGGGCACTAAAACACTTGCTGAATCACTGTCTGAATAGTCCCTGTATACGTGTCGTCTAGTGCAGCCCGAAACGTCGTTAAGGCACCCCTAAACTTTAAACCCTTGGAAAGGTTTTCCCTAGAGACACCCTAAACCCTGAACCCCCCTAAACCCTAAACCCACCTAAACCCTAAACCCTGGTTGAAAGGTTTCCTTACGGACACCCTAAACCCTAAACCGACGCGTAGTGCAGATTGAAAAGGGGCCCTCAAACAAAAACTTAAACCCCTAAACCCCTAAACCCTTAAACCCCCAAACCCCTAAACCCCTAAACCCTAAATCCTAAACCCTAAACCCCTAAACCCTTATCCCTAAACCCTTTTTGAAAGGTTGTCCTTAAAGAGAGACTTGACTCACAAGGCAGACAGCGAACAGAAGCTCGTGGAGGTCATCTCGGAGACCATGGTAACCTTGGGCGCTCCAGCTGGTTTGGTAGGGTAATATACCCGGAGACTTATTAAGGAATGTACCTTAAATTTAGTAGGATCCTTAATATGATTTAAGGTATATTCCTTAGTTAAGGGACATCTCGGAGACCATGGTAACCTTGGGCCCTCCAGCTATGATAACTATAACTTAGAAGCTGCCACCACCCTGTAATAGTGACTATAAGGACTATAGTAGGGCCCTAGTATATATTCCTATTATACCACGATTACAGGGTGGGGGAAGCTTCTAAATTATAACTGGGCTCCCTTTAAAGGGTTCTTCAAAAGCGTCCTATGAGATTAAAATAGGGGTCCCTTTATAGGGGTTGCTATAAGGGTTACTATACGGGATCTAGAAGGCGCTCCAGCTGGTTTGGAGGTAAAACAAGGGGGGGCCGGGGGTTCGTTTACAGGGCTCTGTAAAGGTTACTTGGAGGGTCGGGGGACTTAGTAACTGGTTATTTTAGGGACTTATAAGTACCATAACCCCAATTAGGGTCCCTTTTAGGGTACTTATAGGTCCACTTACTACCTACTTACTAAGTCCCCCGACCCTCCAAGTACTCCTTTAAAGGCCTCCTTCAAGGGTTCTATATAAGTGCTATTTTCAGAGCAATTATAAAGATTTCTTATAGGTGCCTCAAGACTTCCTTTAAAGGGGCTACTGTAAGGGATCTATATAAGGGTAGTATATTAATACAGGGGCCTTAATAATTAGAATAGGGTTCCTTTAAAGAGGGTTCTTAAAAAGGGTCCTATTAGGGTTACTACAAGGAGTATTATGGCCCATTATACTAAAATGATATATATATATATATTGATTGATAGTCCAGCTGATTTGGAGGGTATTGGGGTTCAGGGGTTTTGGCTTTTGCGGTTTTAGGATTTGGGGCTTAGGGTTTAGGGTTTTGGAGTTGTGGAGTTGTTGGGATTTCGAGTTTGGGTTTTAGGAGCGCAGAGGTTATTTTGTGCTCGCAGAGACCCCAAAACTTATTGCAGGCACATTTTTCTATACTTCGTAGTAGGTCCTAAACCTAAACCCAATAGTTATACGGAATCCTAAGCCCTGTACCCTAAGCCCCTCCAACCCCTAAACCCTTAAGCGCCTAAAGGCTCGGATTGTTTGCTGACTGCTTGCATAAACCCCCGAACCCTTAAATTCCTAGACCCTTAAACTCCTAAAGCCCTAGACCCCTTAACTCCGAAACCCCTAAACTCCTGAACCCTCAGACTCCTAAACCCCTAAATACGAAGCCCCGAACTCCTAAACTCCTAAACCCCTGCTTAAACCCCTAAACCCTTAAACTCCTAAATACTAAACCCTGAACCCATAAGACTCCTACACCCCTGAAGCCTAAACCCGCCTTGGGGCCTTCCGGGCGCCGGTTCACAGCTGCGGGGTCTCGTGGTTGAGCCTAGGTTCCTTTAAAGGGGTCTACAAGGGCTACTATAAGGGATCTATGAGGGTACTATAATAATGTAGGAACCTGATTAAGAAACCTAGGGATCTATGAGGGTACTATAATTATGTAGGAACCTGATTAAGAAACCTAGGGATCTATGAGGGTACTATAATTATGTAGGAACCTGATTAAGAAACCTTGGGCCTGTATTAGGGTTCTTTCTATGAATCCTACTATATCGGAGTTATAGGCCCAGGGTTTCTTAATCAGGTTCCTACATTATGCAGGCTCCGTTTTTTTGGTTCTTCGTAGGGGTTGAGGGTTCCCAGAGACTCCAATATCCCTTAATTAAGGAACATACCTTTAAATTAGAATAGGATCCTTAATATGATTTAAGGAATGTTCCTTAATTAGGGGACATTGGAGTCTCTGGGCTTCATTCAGTAGGGTTTTGGGTAGTCAGATGGATTACTTATCAGGGACCTAAAGGGACTACTCTAGGCATTCATTCCCCAATTCCCTAGTGAAGAACCAGGGAGCTGTTTTAAATAGGGGCCTTAACAGTTAGAATAGGGGTTTGAGGCGCATTATACTACAATTACAATAAGGAACCCTCCAGATAGTGTTGGTAATTATAAAGGCCCCTATACCATAGTATCCTTATAGTAGCCCTTATATAGAACCCTCTTGAAGATCGCTCTTGTAGACCCCTTCAAAGGAGCTGTTTTCAAGGAGCGTTTATAAAGTTCAAAACCAGGGACGGATGTTTTAATGATGCAGGGCTGCAGCTCCGGGGCGAGGGTGTAGGGGCCCCCGGAATCCGGGAGCATTTATTAGGGTGTACTGTAAGAGTAGGGTCCTTAAGGGCTTCTAGGGCTCTAAGGTAGAGGCTTTAATAGTTACCTATACTATTTTTGGGGCTCCTTATCACGATTACAGAAAAATATACCCCCAAACCCAAACCCTATTCTAGTTATTGAAGCTCATATGGTATACTGGGGCTCTTGGTGGGGCCTGGGATCTTGAGTCTACGGTGGGTCGTGTCGTATCTTGGAAGAGTCTACAGCCTCAACTTTGACTTCAAACGATCCTACTTTTCGCCCTAAACCCCATCTAGATCCTACATCCAAAGCCCTGCGACCCACGAAAGGCATCTCATCTCAGTCTTAAAGTTGCGAGGACTAGGCTTTAAGTTTCAGGTTCCAACTGGGCAGACGACACATGAAGCATCTTCAGTTCCAACAACACCTTGACATGCTAAGGCAAGGATACCTGAAAGCATCGTTGTACGTACCTTCGGGGGGTTAAAGTGTTAGGCAGATCGGTTCAGCTACCTTTGGACCACCCCGACGCAATCCGATACCGCGCTGACAAACCCTGAAACATGCTTGAAGTAAAGGACACCTGACGAAAGAAACCCTTCAAGGCATGAGCACTCACACGGATCGCCTGCTGAAGCTTTTGGTCGAGAGCTTCGGCATAACGACAGCTGTGGGTGTTTGAGGTGGTTTCAGGGTTTCAAGTTACTGCCCTACAGAAAGGACCTGCGCGGAAATTAGGGTAAGGTAACCTGGGTTTGAGGATCTAGGGCTTTCTTGAGCTTGAACCTTAAGGTTTACAGGGTTGAGGGTTCAGGGTAGTTCTCGAACTAGTCACTAGTCATTCCAACGGTTTAGGCTTTACTACTCGGCTGGTGGACAGAAACCCCTAAACCCTAAACCCCTAAACCCCTAAAACCCTAAACCCCTAAACCCCTAACCCCCTAAACCCCTAAACCCCTAAACCCCTAAACCCAAGAACCCCCAAACCCCTAAACCCCTAAACCCCTAAACCCCTAAACCCTAAACCCCCAAACCCCTAAATCCTAAACCCCTAAACCCTAAACTCTAAACCCTTCAGTCTCGACTTTCAACTGCAGGGTAGGGAATCTCCACGCGTTCGGGGTTGAAGGGTTTAGTAGGGTGTCACTGTTACGGTGGTTAAGGTACCTTAAATTACCATAACCTACTTTTTTAGGAACCCTACAACAAAGTAGGTTTTGGTGGGTTCAGGAAATGAATGATTGTGTCCGCCAGCGGCAGGGAACGTCTAGTGGCCTTGGTCATCATTTTTTTGCGTTGTTCATCTGACAGCGCCAAGAGGAAACTGCCAGGTCCATGATTTTGGTCATCAATGCTTGGGTTCATTACGGATTTATCGGGTTTTGCTGTTGGTGTAAATCTCTTGGGGTTTTTGGGTTCGGGCGTTGGGAATCGGGTTTGGAATTTGAGGTTCAGGGCTTGGGCTTTGGGGGGCTTTTTAGACATGAAGGTTGGGGATGGGGAATCTGGGTAAGTCAGCGGTTTCAGTGATTCCCCTTAGCAACATTGGACCAGTCGAGTTCCAATATCATGAAAGCTCCGATCCATGCAAGACCCTCGTCCTGAGAAGAAGCCCAAAACAAGGAGGCAAAGCTCTTCTACTATAAGATGATTACCACTACTTTTGGGGGTTCCTAATAATAGTACTGCACCCTGAACCGCCGAGCGCCCAGCCTCCCTGTCGCTGCGCCTGCCCTAGTCCTGTCTGGTGTGCCCTTTCCTGCCTTCCTTACCCTCCGCCGCTCTGGTTTAGGTTCTCGGTTCTAGTCCCCTTTTAGGGCTTGGTTGCCGCTTTCGTGCCAAGTATCCGCCATAAGTGCCGATACCGCCTGAGTAGTCCGCTCGGCTAGTTTTGTGACGTTGCTCCTAAACCCAGCTCGTCGCTGTTGCGTCCGCCACACGAGCCGACGTTCTCGTCCGCCATACGCGCCGGCGCTATCCTCTTTTGTGTGTACAGTCATACATATAGCTCTGTTTATAGAGTCTAATAATAGTTAGAGTATAATGGGCCCCAAAACCCTATGTTAATTGTTAAGACCCCTACGTTACCGTCAGCATCACCATCGTCATCACGAGGTCGTTTCTTTGCGTGGAAGGGACCTGAACTTCGGGAATTGTACCAAATGCACCAATCGAACCTATGTTGGGGCTTCCTTTTTATAAGTCAAGTACAATGGGCCCCAAAACACCATCCTGATTGTTCAGGCCCCTATAGTAACCCTAACCGCCCTAACCAAAAACAACAACGCTTAGCCTAAGAAAGGCCTAAGCCAACCGACGTACCCGAGGAACGGCGTGACAAACACTGCTGTCCTCGAGCGCTTGAATGGGGTGACGCGGCCCTCTTCAGAGCTGCGAAATGGGAGTTTCCGAAAATTAGCGGTACCTTTTTTGGGGGTCCTTATAATAAGGATCCTACTATTTAGGGTACTAGATGGGGGTCCCCCCATTTTCGGAAACTCCAAATCAGTTTGTATACCTACAGCGCACTGAGATGAGTTAGGTCAGGGGTCTTGATGAGAAGGACTTAATTTAGGGGCCATAGGCGAACCCCTGAAAGAACCATTAAAGGAACCTTTACTGGGGGCCTATTTTGACGTGTACTGCTGTGTGAAGCTCCCCTAAGTGCTCTCAATCCTAAACCACCGAAGGCGAAACCCACATAAATTCCACATCCCAGCACCCTGGACCCTTGGCTCTAGAACAAAACTCCCAAAACCCAACGTCCAATTAAACCCTTCACTCCACACCCACCACACCCACCACACCCACCACACCCCACCCCAGAAAGAGCGCTTCGTTAAGAGCGACAGTTTTCATCAACACGACTTCTCTCTCTCTCTCTCTCTCTTCAAGCCTCAACCCTAAGTCCCTGTATAGTAGCCCTTATGCACAACCCTAAACCCTACACCCTTAAACCCCCAAAGCCCCTAAACCCGAAGCCCAAAGCCTCGGTATCGCCCCAGGAGCGATGCATGGAGCTGAACCTCCCCTGGGCCCTCATCGACGCAGCCCAGAAGCGCTGGATCGCCGAGAAGATGAACATGGGCCAGGTGAGGGGTTGAGGGGTTTAGGGTTTAGTCTAGGTTTTAGGGGTTTAGTTTAGGTTTTAGGGTTTAGTCTAGGTTTTAGGGTTTAGGGTTTAGTTTAGGTTTTAGGGGTTTAGGGTGTAAGGGTCTAGTGCTGTATGGGAACCACCATTCCTTGCGGAAGGGGGAGCAGCCATGGATTCTTGGTTCCCAGGTACGAAGTACCGCAGCAAAAGCAGCGGAACTCAGGGCCTGAAACTACCGGATCCGTACATCCTAGGGTTCCCTTTAAAGGGATCTATAAGGGTACCTTTAAGGGGCTCCTTTAAGGGATCTATAGGGGCTTTAGGGTTTTAGGGTTTAGGTGTTGCTTGGAGGGTCGGGGGACTTAGTAAGTAGGTAGTAAGTAGACTTATAAGTACCCTAAGCGGGTTCCTAATTGGGGTTATGGTACTTATAAGTCCCAAAAATAACCAGTTACTAAGTCCCCCGACCCTCCAAGTAATCACTATCGATTCTTTGCCGCACCACCGTCAACCAAAACAAACCGACCACAGCATTTTCCAACGCCCGCTGTACTAAATCACCCCTTATTCTGCAGCCCAACCTTAAGGTTAAATTAAAGCCCCACAAATTCGAATCGCACACTTGTTTAGGGTTTAGGATTTAGGTGCAAGACCCATACTGAACACTGAAAACAGATCCTAAACCCTCGCTCAGCCCTAAACCCCCAAGCTTAAATCCCAGTTCCCGTGCCAAAATCTTAAAAACCCAGAGCACACCCTACGACCTGAATCATGGCCCCAATTGTGGGCTTGTGTTGGATCATGTAGGCTTCGATAGTACACCTTATCGACTCTAGATGCTCCAAAGCAAAAACCCGTTTATAAGGCCTACCTCTTTGTAGGGCCCGAGTAAAAGCCCAAGTACAGAATTTAAAAGGGACCCTGCCAAGGAATGAAGTCTCTTAACCCTCCAAGCCCCAAAATCACGAGTAAGCTTAAGGTCACAAATCCCCTCCAAAGTTCAAAAAGACCCTGACTGAAGCCCTCACAGAAATTCACGAGACTTAGAAAGCCCTTTCAAGAATCCCATCACACAGACCCTAAAGCCTAAAGCCTAAACCCTAAACCCCCAACCCCTAAACACGCTAAACCCTAAACCCTTCCGAGCACAGCCAGGATCAGGGAGGCCAGATCGAAAAGGAGGATCCCTTCAAGAAGATCCTGGAGGTGTCGGGGCAGGGAGTGCCTTTTGTGTGGTTTTTAGGAGACAAATGTTAGGAACAGTTGGGTTTCAGGGTTTAGGGCTTGGGGCTTAGGCTTTCGGGGAGTTTGGGGTTAAGAGTTTGGGGTTCAGGGTTTTGGAGTTTTGTGTTCTTTCAAACGAGGTTTGGAGTTTAGTAGGATTTCAGGCTTTGTTAGGGCTTGGGGTTTGGAGTCGTAGGGTACTCGGGTTTACTAATCTCCGCCGAGCTCGAAGTATTCAAGTCCCCTCTTGTATGTCAGATCCCTGAACCCTTAACCGCATTCAGAGATCAGGAAGTTGAAAGACGGCGTCGTAGCTATGTCGCAGAGGGCACGTGGGAGTTTCCGAAAATAGGGGGCCCTAATCTAGTACCCTACATGGTAATATAGTACCCTACATGGTAGGATCTTCATTCATAATCCTAAGGACCCCAAAATAATAAGGCACCCCTCATTTTCGGAAAGCTCCCAAGTAGCTTCGGAGCAGATTCCCCTGCGTGCCGGGCACCGGCCAAACCCCAAAGCCAAAACACATCCCCTAAGCCCTAAACCCTAAGCCCGAAACCCTAAACCCTCAGCCCCAAGCCCAAAACCCTAAACCTTAAACCCGTAGCCTTAAGCAAATCCTAAACCCTAAATTAAAGATAGGGTTTTGGTTTAGGGTCTAGGGACCCCAACCCAGTAAACCCTAAATCAAAACCCCAAACCCTAGGCCCAAGATTGCCTGAAGCCCTAGACCGTGTGGCTTGAGGCCCGTACGTTTAGGGTATAGGGTTCAGGGTTTATCGGGAATGGATCTTCAGGCGAACAAAGAGCGCATGACGGGCAAGCAGTTGGTGCATGGACTGCCTGGTATGCTCCTGGGCAAGTCAGCGATTTACTAGGGTTCAGGGGTTCCCCAAACCCTAAACCCTTAAAACCCCTATACAAACCCTATGAAGACCCTAAACCCTTAAACCCCTAAGGACCCCCCGAACCCCTCAGAACCCTCAAAGCCCCAAGCCCTCAAACCTAAAGGATGAACTCCCTAGGTAAAGCATGACACCCTACTGTTGATGATATAAATCCTGCCTGACCCATACTTGAAGGATCATGGGGCTTAGTAACTACGGTTATAATTAGGGTACCTACACTTATACCTACTTATAACCCTAATTGAGGTACTCATAACCTTGCTTACTAAGTCCCAGGATCCTCCAAGTAATCACGAATATACCACAATTCCCATAGTCTAACATCCTTAAGGTAAAGCAGGGTTTATATCATCAACCGTGGGTCCAGGGCATGTGTTGTTGCTTTGGGGCTTCAGCGTTCAGGGCTCAGCATGTCGGGGTTGGGGCGTTTGGGGTTCTCTGGGTTTAGGCCTTACCCTACAGGGAACTCCAGAAAGTTGGAATATGGTTTCAGGGTAGGATCCCCTATAATTTACCTTAAAGGGGTTACGATAATGATATTCCAACTTTCTGGCTTCTACACGTACTGTAGGCCTTACCGGCCTTACCCTAGGCATCTAAGGACTCATATATTAGGGCTGTTGGGCCCAACGACCATACTATGTAAGGTTTCGGGGGCTATTTTGATACCCAGGGTTAAACCCTAAAGTCTAAAACCTAAATCCTAAGCCGGCGGTTTAGGGCTAAGGGGTTTTAAGGGCGCTCAGGGTCCATGACCCCCCATAGCTTGAAACCCCACGAAGACGTCCCCTAAACCCTAAGCCCCAATCCCATAAAGCCCTAAACCCTAAGCCCTGCGAGCCGCTAAATCTCCGCACCCAACTAAACCTGAAACCCCAAACCCCGAATCTCAACCCCATGCTATATTGGGGCTGCGTATTGTAGCTACAGTATAATCTACTCCCAAAACCTAGTCTAATTTTTAAGCCCCTTATATTCAGTCATCAGCCTCACCTAAACTCCATGCCTTAAGCCTGAAGCTCAACGCCTTAAATCCTCGATGTCAGACGTCTTAGCTTCTTGTACCCTAAACCCTGAACCCTAAACCCTAAGCCCTAAACCGACTACAGGCACTGGGGTCTTGAGGATGTTCCGGAATGAAAGGACCTGTGAAGGCAGGTTTGGGCTCCAGCGGGTGGTGAAGGGTTTAAGGCAGGGGCCTTAATAATTAGAGTAGGGTTCCTTTTAAAGGGGGTCTATAAGGGTCACTATAATATACTGGCTTAATAACTAGAATAGGGTGTGGGGGCCCATTATACTACAATAATATAACTTGTTAGGCCCCCAGAGAGCCCAATACCCCTTAATTAAGGAACATAGCTTAAATTATATAGGGCTTCATATTATGACTTAAGCTATATTCCTTAATTCCCTTATAGAACCCCTATACATCCCTTAAGGAGCCCTTTCAGGAACCCCTAGGCCTTAAGCTATATTCCTTAATTAAGGGGTATTGGGCTCTCTGGGCCCCTACAGTCGGCTTCGCGGTTGAGTATTTTTTTGCGAGGCTTACGGGGAGGAACCTGCAAAGTAAAAGCCAGAAAGTTGGAATATGATTATCCTAAACCCTTAATGGTAAATTATAAGGTATCCTAGCCTGAAACCATATTCCAACTTTCTGGAGTTCCCTGTAGGAGCATATAGTCCAAGGGTGAAAGGAGGGACCCTTAATCAGGACCCCAAGGTATATACCCTTAATATGGGTCTGTCTTTTTTCGGGGGGTTGAATTTGTAGTCTTGGAGGAGTGTTGTCCTTGCGCGAAACACACCCCGAAACATACCCCGAAACATACCCTGAAACATGCCCCGAAACATACCACTGAAACATGCCCCCGCGTTATCCAAATCGTTTGGATGAAATTAGCAGCGGGCGAAGGTTTAGAGTAGCTCAACACAGGTCAGGAAAGGCTTCCCGTAACATACCCGTAACATACCCGAAACATACTTGGATTTGCTCCAAGTGGCCCGTTGGCCTTTTCCGCCTCGAAGCGATACTAACCGCCTGACAAGTCGGGACCTCCAGACCTGTGCAGCCCACAACGATGCCTGTGCCACGACTGCAGCTATTGTCACTACTACTTCTACTACTACAACTACTACTACTATCACTACTACCAACTTCTACTACTACGACGACTGCTACTGCTACTGCTACTGCTACTGCTACTGCTACTGCTACTGCTACTGCTACTGCTGCTGCTGCTGCTGCTGCTACTACTTCTATTGCTACTACTAATAGTCTGCGCGAAACACACCCCCAAACATACCCCGAAACACACCCCGAAACATACCCTGAAACATACCCGCGAAACATACCCCGATCCCAACACTCCTGGTAGGGCGCCCCCTATTCGGACAGACCCATATAGCTATTATATACCCGTTATATAGCCCATTATAGGGTAGGGGTCCCCATTAAGGGTCCCTCCTTTCAAACTTTCCCCTTGGATAAAACCCTTTGAACAAGATCCCTTCAAAGATCCTTCTTGACGTGTAGCAGCGCTTGAAGCAACACCTGATAAGCCAAACTCGGAACCCAAGCCTTCAGCTCCTGTGGTATCCAAGAACCACCCACACTTCAAAGTGATATTCAGCATAACACGGATGTATACAGTCCCTTAAGTTAAGTTTAATGTTGGTGATGCTAAAGAGACAGTATAAAAAGTATGTAAATCGGCTTCAGGAACAAGCTCTGAACCTCGATCTCCTCAGTCCTAAACTCTGAACCCTTAAAGCCCAAAGCTTCAACTCGAAAGCCATAGCCCTAACATGGGGGGTTTAGTAAATCATTACCAGCACTGTTTCGGTGGTCTTTCTGAAAGCAGTTATACTACACTGAAATATGCACCAAAAGCTTGTTCTAACTAGTAAGGCCCTTATATTAGCCCCAATTATACTATAGTTCTATTAATTAAGGCCTTTCTTTTAGCCCAATCTTGCCAAGCTGAGGCCGGGAGGAGTCAACACCCCTCCTCTGTCGAACGGGTCACGCAGCCGCAGTGCTTGTGTGTGTTAGGATCCTACTATTTGGGGTGCTACATGAGGGTCCCCCTATTTTCGGAAACTCCCATATGTGTGTGCGTGTCAGCCTTTTTTTTGTGTTTTTGTGTGTTTGTCTGTGTGTGTGTGTGTGTCTCCCTGTATGTTTGGGATGTTGAGAAGATGCTTTATAACGGTTTCATGGCCGTGTAAGGTATACAGGGTTGAAAAAATACCCGTTACAGAAGTTGCAATACCCTAAACCTCAATCATAACAGGCCAAAAGGGGTTTTAGCCTATGGGGGTTTAGTAGGGATTAGGGTTCCCATGCCAGGGTTCATAATATGGAATCCCTACCCCAAGAATCTTAAACCCCCCTGTTGGCCTCCCATCACTCAAATCCAGCGCAGCATCGGGATCCCAAGATGCATTCAGAAATCTTACTCGAAGGGATCTTGGCGGCGTCGGGGGAGGGGTTGGGGGGTTGGGTTATCACATTTTTATATGCTATAGTCCTGTAGTAGTACATCCATATGTTAGTATGATAGTATGTTACTAGAGTGTGGCATACTAGTAGATTAGTATATTGCTACAGTTTACTGGTTGCTGTTCCCATCTGGAATGAGTCTCCGCCGCAGTGCTACACCTGCCAGGTTTCGCGTAACTATACACACGCACCTCCAAAATGTTGTCGTGATGCAACTTCCAAAACAGCCTACAGTGGAAGCCTAAAAGTTGGAAACTGCATAGCCGTAGCCTCAATCCTTAAGAGTAATGTGGAGGGAATCCCAGCACTATTTGGCCTTAACCCGGTTTCCAGTTTTTTTGGGATTTACTGTGCAACTGAGCTTGTCACGAGTTGGCTCGCTGACCTGCCCAGATCATTCAGGCATTGCACACAATAGCGATAGAGGGCCTATGTAATTATGGTTTAGGGTTCTTTAGGGCTTGGGGCTTAGGATTTAGGATGTTGTTTTAGAGGGTTTGTGGCTTAGGGCTCTGTAGGGCTGAGGGCTCAGGGTGTAATTAATGTAGGTACCAGATTAAGAAACCTTGGGTCTTTGTTAGGGTTGCTTATATGAATCCTCCTTTTTTGGGGGGTTATAGGCCCGGGGTTTCTCAATCAGGTTCCTACATTATATAGCTAAAATTCTATGTGAGGATCCTCATGAGCATTGCCGTATAATATACCCCAAAACCCGATTCTAATTGCAAAGGCCCCCATAAAGGCAAGTTCCAGATTCTAGCTGCACCCGAGGGCACTAATGATTGCAAGATTCTTGCACGACCGTCCTATGTCCGAGTTTGTAGAAGCTTGAATTACGAGCAATACTATGCTTTTGAGTTTCTTAGGAGCATTAAACTCTAACAGCCCCAAAGCCTGTCTAGACTAGCCCCAGCCCCAGTCCTACATCTAAAAACCTTACACTAAACCCCTAAACCCTTAACCTTAAAACCTTAAGTCCCAAACCTTACAAAACCCGTCTGAAATGAGGATGAGCGGTCTGATGGGGATGGGCGACGAAGAGGCACTGGCGGTCACTTGCCTGCAGTGTGAGGAGGTACTCGTATGTTGCCATGGGTTTAAGCTTCGGGAAATCAGCGCTTGGCGGGTATATAGTATGTAATTCCCCCTAAAGTGTGGTAACATTATGGAGTTCGTGCATTCTCATACTTTCCATTTTAAAACACAGACAAAAATGCGAGGCAATGTATAGAGTATCAAAAGATGTAATACAATACATCTCGTAGAACATGTACAAGTTCTACTGTATAACCTATAATATGTACTGTTCAGTGTTTGATATTGAGATTAAGTTTTCAATGCAATATGTCATAATTAATGTATCATAAATACGTACATACCTACATACATGCATACACACATACCTACATATGCATAGATGCATATTATGCTATACTTCAAGGACAGCATACAACGCAGATTATTATATAACATACCATGATATTTTACATGTAGTATATACGGCATAAAACCTTGTTTGAACTAGCCACGTGCAACATACTATAATATGTTTCGTGTAACATTTTTATTCAGTACATACGATGTAATACACAGTGTATAGCACACAATACACAATTTGTAGCATGTAGTTTGTACTTATACGGCTATCGCAGCCAAGATATGAGATAGCAGGGTACAATTTACAATAGAAAAGTTTGAACTATAAGAATGTGGCAGAGCAATAAAAGGGTATACCGCCTCAAAGTATCCTGGTTGACGATGAATTCTGGTCCTGGTATATTAAATATAGCACTTTATTTGTGATGCAAGCTGTATATTGCATCGTACATAATGTATAACGCACAGTATGCAATTTTAAAACCGTGCAGTTTGATAGTACTGAGGTATTCTTTATAGTACATATCACATAATGAAATATGTTATCTTTGATGATACACAGCACCGCATGTACTATACACAGCATACCTTTGCGTGTAAATGTATGTGTACTATAACGTCATAACATATCACATAACGTGATCTCACAAAGTATACCGAATATGCCATGACAGAATATTCTCTCAATGGCAAAAGAATACAGTTCTAATTTGTACATATAGTATAGTATGTAACATTGAGTATAAAGTATACAGTACCTTGTACATACAGCAAGATACTGAAGACATAGTATGTAGTATCTCATACATAGGTAACGCAATACACTGAGTAAATGTTTATGTGTGTTTGCGTATATTTAGGTAATATTAAAATGTGCAGATATATTGAATTTCATTAAAGTCTATATATATATATATATGTGATATGTACACGAAATCATGCAACAAATAAATATATATATATATATATGTATGTATGTATGTACAGAGTGCAGACACCTTGTGTATATATATATATATACAGATGAACATCTATGTATACCTAATGTAGTCTCTGGAAAACTCACTATATGCATATGTATGTGCTTGTAGCATGAACTTCCAAATATATATGGTTTGGTTTATGGTGCAACAGATATAGCTCAGTCTATAATGTATAATATTGCATATGCATTATCTTAGACCATGGGTAGTACGTATGTACTGTCGGATAAAGTACTAAACATGTATCATAGAATGTATTATATACATTACATGATATGAAATATCTTTCAGTTAATCATGAGTTTGTATTCTATAGCAAATGAAATGAAGTATGTAATGTATGTATGTATATATATATATATATATATATGTACATACGTGTATATATATATATATATATATATATATATATGTATATATATATATGTATATATATATATATATATTGCAATATAGAGTATAGTATATTATAATTTTCTGTAATTTGCGATGCAAAATACAAGCTCCTATCTTGGAACCTTCAAACCTCTCTGGATCTATAGAAAATCTTCTAGCACGCCATGTTGCTATGACGATTTGCGTTTTAAGTATGAGCACAATTCTGATTGCCTCTTACTCATTCTAGAAATTATTGTTCTTGCTGTTGTTCTTCTTCCTGCCACTTCCAGAAATGCACTCCTTCTTGTGCGGATCCATGCAAACGCCCATGCTGGTACCGGCCCTGGAGCTAAGCTGTGCCCGAGCCCGTTGAACCTTAGGGTGTATGGGGCCTCATTAAGGTAGATGCCTCGTGTTTCAAATGAAACCCTCAACCCTAAACCCTAGTTTCAAATTAAACCCTAAACCCTAGTTTCAAATTAAACCCTAAGCCCTAAACCCTAGTTTCAAGCCAAATCCTAAACCCTAGTTTCAAATTAAACCCTAAACCCCAGTTTTACACGAAACCCTAAGCCCTGGAGCCTCAGAAGATTCGGAGTTCAATCGCCCAGGCGGCCGTCAGCCGAGCGATGATGCCGTTCCAGGTTCCTTTCGGGAGTTTACAGTAGAAGCCAGAAATCAAGGCCCCTGTATTATACTACCCTCATAGTAGCCCTTATATGGAACCCTTTTAGGGGGACCCTAGTCTAATTATTACAGTATAGGCCAGAAAGTTGGAATATCATTATGGTATCCCCTTTAAGGTAAATTGCAGGGGATCCTACCATTAATCCATATTCCAGGTTCCTTTCGGGAGTTTACGGGGTTTAGGTAAGCTCGTAGAGTTCACGTAGGAGCATGATTATGTAGTAATCATAGTCTTTGGGATTCCCGAAGATCTCGAATCCCTGAACTCCAAACCCCGAACCATGCACCTTGAAGCCTGTACAAAAGAGCCCTGAACCGGGAAGACTGTGTGCCGAAGAGAATCCCAGCATTAGAAATCCCATCGACACCCCCTTCCGCCCTAAAAGCCGGTAGTCTGGAAGTGGGATGCTACTGGAATGCTTTCGGGGTGGCTCTTTCACTGCCTGGGGTTATGCTTCATGAACTTGGAAGGAAAGCTTTTGCATAAAGTGGTCTTAAGAAGTAGTGGAAGTGCCCACACAACAAAAGCCTGAGGCAAAAAGCTAGGTCTTACCTCGGACGAAGCCCTACAACCTTCTGACGACAGCTGCAATTGCTGCCATTGAACAAAACACACAGAGCGATCGGAAGACACCGAAATCCTAAGTGCTCAACCCTGAACACCTGGTATCCCAAAGCCCTAAACCCTAAACAGAGCTGCAGGACTCCATAATGACAAAGATGCACATGATGGAGGAGGCCATGCAGCGGCACTTGGAAGCCATGCAGGCGCGCCCCGTTCTTTACTGCTCTTAGGAAGTATGTTTCATTTTCTTACAATATAACTGGTTGCCGAACCATGAACCCCAAACCCCTGAATCATAAACCCTACCCCCTCAACCCTAAACCGCAAGAATACTATTTTTCTTCTGGTTCTAGAGGGCGATAATATGGATCCTATTTTTTAATAGGGTACTATACTAGGGTCCCCCTGTTTTCGGAAACTCCCACATAGAAAAACATGCGCCATCCCAAAAGTCGGAAAGCTTCCTGGGTCCTTGACCTTGAAACCCACAACCTCCCGCTCCAAGCTCTACACGAGGGGGTTTGGGGGTTGGGGGTTTAGGGCGATTGGGGTTTAGGGGTTTAGGGTGTAGGGTTGTTCAATATACCTCTCCTCAGCACCGCCAGAAAGGCAGCTTCGTTTTTTTGGTTGGGCTTCCTTTTTTTTGAAAGTTGAAAAGAAGGCATACACTCTTTGAAGCACAAGACCCTGGAACTACGTTTAAAGCCTTTGTCATAGTTGGGTAGCATTTTGCATTCTTATGGGTACATAAACCCAATAAGGAATATCAAGTTGAATTTCTAATACTATCCCGACCTTGAACTAGAACCATCTGAAACTTTGTAAAACTTTAAAAGCCTTTATAAAGCACTATAGAGTCCTATACAAAACCTCATGAGACGCTATATAGCATTCCTTGAACGCTTTTGGGTGGTCTCAACAGTTAGCTTGGTCGCGGCCACCTTTGGGTCTGCAGTGCGGGGTTCCTCCACACGACGTGGGAGTTGCCAAAATAGGGGACCCTAATCTAGTACCCTAAATAGTAGGATCCTTATTATAATAAGGACCCCAAAATAAGGTACCCCTAATTTTCGGAAACTCCTAAAACAATGAAAATTGTAAACCAAAAGAGAATCATAGTTACAAGGAAAAGCACGAAGAAACAGCACAAGTATTGGGTAGGGGCCTAGCTCATCATAAAGCCCATATCAGGGGCTGTAGAAGTTTGTAAAGCCCTTTGAAACCCCAAAAAGGCCGTGGTAAAATCGATATAACATCTCTCTCTAAAGAATCAGAGACATCGAAAGTCACAGCCCTTAACGCTTTGAACTTCGAATCCCGAGGCTTGGAAGACCCTCAGCACCTCAAATACCCTGATCCCTAAACCCTACTGCCGCTTTCTGCGCGCCACAAAAGCGCGCTGCTCCCCAGGAGGCAATCTCCCAGAGGATGGACTTCTCGCAGGCTACCCTTTTCTGATGCGTTGCTGAAAATTTGTCTGCATGGTGCTTTGACTCGTTCTCGTTTGGTGTTGTTATGCTTGGCCCGTTGTCTCGAGCTTTCATCACTTCACTCAGGGTGTGGCCTTTAAGAGGGCTTTAGTGAGATTCTGCTGGGATCTCAAGGGTCTACAAGCCGTTTGCAGGGTTTCTGTCTGAATTTCTGATTTTGGGGGGCTTGGGCTTTGGGCTGCACTCGGGGCGATGTGAGGCTGTTCGTTAAATTTGAGGGACTTTGTTTTCGGTGAAGGCATTTATTCCAACCGGAGTCTGCTTTAGTAACAACCCACAGGCATGGCATTCAAACCCTGAGCCCTAAAACCCAGCCGTACTACACCCTCGAAACCTACACCCCTCAACCCTAAACCCCTCAACCCTAATCCCCTAAACCCCTACACCCCATAAACCGCAAACCATGTTTTTCTTCGTAAAACTCTACGCTCCAAGCCTTAATTTCGAGCCAAGTCCCGAGTCTCAAGCGCGAAACAAACCGCAGCTATAGGGCTTTGAACAATCAGTAATATAGGGACCCTAATAATTACCTATACTATTTGGGGGTTCCTCGTTGTAAGTATAGTATTATAGTTATTAAGACCCCTGTATTAGTAATATGATCCCTTACAGTCCCTCGAAAACACGGTGGAGCGCTTGCGGGCGGGGTTCGCGTTCAGGGCTTCTGGGTTCAGGCTGTCGTGTTTTCTAAACCCGAAGCCCGGTACCCCAAACCCTAAACCCTAAACCCTGTAAGGATCCCCTTCCGAAGCGTTCCTACGGTTCCCTTGAACAAGAGTCAGGGAGTCAGGGACCCTTTCACACCTAAACCCAAACCCTAAGCCCTAAACCCAGCCCCTAAACGTTAAACCCCTAAGCCCTAAGCCCCAAATCCTATCTGAGAGGTGTCGCTCCTGCAGACCGTCAATGCTTGCCAAGTGCTGCTCCACAAGCTGGACTCCTCCCAGGCCGGTGAGTTTTCGATAGGGTTAGGGTTTAGGGTTTACGGGCCTTAAGAATTAGAATAATGTAGGGGTGCTATAAGGGGTCTCCAGGGCTTATAATTACCGAAACTGGGGTTTAGGGTTCCTTTAAAGGGATCTATAAGGGCTACTGTTACTATAAGGGATCTATAGGGGGGCCTTAAGAATTAGAATAACAGGGTTCCCTTTATAAGGGGATCTTTAAAAGGCTTCTATATAAGGGGCTACTGTAAGGATACTATAGTATAGGGGCCTTAATAACGACCTATACTATTTTTTTGTGTGTGGGGGGGGGGGCGCCTTATCGTAATTATACTATGGTGGGCACCAAAACCAGAGTCTAATCATGAAGGCCCCTGTATCAGGGCTCTCCAGGCTTGTGTGAAGGTTGTACAGGGTTTCATAAGGGCCTGTGTCGTGTCGTAGGAGAGTATTATAGGGCTTCAGAAGCGTTGTAGCGAAATTTTCGTAGTGTCCCCTAGAGTTGCATCGGGGTTCTACAAGGTTTCATCAGGGCTCCTTTGGTTCTAGAGGGTTTAATGGGGCTTTGTCAGAGTTCTTTGAGGTGTTATGGGGTCTAAACGGTTTTCAAGGGTTCTCTCGGGTTTTATTGGGTTTAGGAGCTATGCTTTAGGGCTTGGTTTTGACAAGAACGAGTGTTCGGTTTGCTCCTGACTAGTTCTTACCACCATGACTCCGAGGTCCATGACAATAATATCTACTGAACCTGCTTTGCTACTGCTTCAGAGCCATTGGCTGTCCCCTCAGTACAATGTTGCATGACCTCTACTATCCGCTCTCATCAGGAAGCTGTCATCCAGAAGATGGACACTCAGAAGGCTGTGCTGGGAGTCTATGAGAGACCTCGGTTTCCGGACGTCAGTGGCAGTAACGGCACAGAACAAGCAGCAGCAGAAGCAGCAGCAACCGAAGTAGAAGTAGAAGTACCAGTAGCAGTAGGAGGAGCAGCGGTCGCAGTCGGAGCAGTCCTAGCATTCGCAACAGTCGTAGCAGACGTGACAGTTGGTGCATTTGTAGCAGCAGCATCGGGTGCCAGCAGCGTCAGCAGTAGCAGTCGGCATCGTTGTGGCAGCGCAGACTGTAAGAACCAGGAAGACAGTCATTGTCATCGCCATCATCTCCCTGTTCACCGGCATTTCACCATGACAGAAGCACCGTCATTCTCAGGATCATCACCATCATCAAGACCATGCATTCATTCACATGAATATGCAAAAGCTGAACTCACCGGCCCGCCACTCTCCTCGCAGCCGCTCGTTTCTCGCTCACGGGACTAGAGGGAAATTTCGGTTGAAGACCCTGAGTCCCCGGGGCCCTGCCTCTACTGTCGGGGCCTTAAAGGGTTTCGGGGGCTCCTTATTACAACTATAGTATAATATACCCCGAACCCTGTTCTGACTGCTAAGGCCCCTAAATTACAGTCCGAAAGGCCCAAAACCTCTAAGCCCTGAAGCCCCAAACAACGGGCCCTTTGCAGACCTTTCCCACTGCTGATATAACTTGCTATTATTAGTACTGCATTCGTGATGACTTCTGTTTTGTTCTATCATCCTTCCCAACCCCTACGCCCAAATAATCTGCTTCTGGCCAGACGACGGTGGACCAAATGGTGAATTCCTACGGCAACCTGGTGACCAACATCGCAGGTCCCGAGGAACAGAGCAGGTCTGTAAACAGGTTCAGAGTTTCAAAGGGGAAAAGGAGGGACCCTTAATGGGGACCCCTATCCCATAATGGGCTATAATGGGTATATAGTAGCTATATTCAGGGTATATACCTAGGGGTCCTTATTAGGGGTCCCTCCTTTTACCCTTGGAGAGTTTAACTCCCTTGGCGTTTAAGGATTTGAGCTTACCCAAAACGCCGAAAACAACGAAATGATTTGACGCACTCAAGTTCCACGCCGAAGTTTGTTCTAAGCTGCTGGGATGTAGGGTTTGGGGTACAGCGCCTGGGGTAGTTGATACAAGGTTTGGAGTATAAGGAGCAGAGTACAGGGATTCAAGCGTTGGCCCCACAAAGTCGACGGAGAGGAACCCAGAGATAGAATCCTACAGGCGACGGAGATTCTTGAAACTTGAGCCCGTGGCACATGGGCTACATGTCCTTGTTTTAACTAGTTTTTGGTGTCGTCATCCTTTTTTTCTTTGCTTCCCTTGGGAAGCCCAAACCCTAAGCCCTCAGCGCCTAAGCCTTGTTGAGCTCGAACTGCCCCCGCACCTCGGTCATGATGGAGGTTCAGCCGCCAAGGGGATGGATCGGCGAAGGTTGCATCAGCCAGACGTATGACAAAAGTTGTCCCGAGTGCGATTCTTGAGGATATCGTCTACACCCAGGCTGCTATGCGGAGGTTCAAGCCTGCTTGAAATAACGGCCGTCGACGTGCTCCTTTCTCCGGTTGAGGCTGCTGTGATGCCAACCTCGAGCAAGTCTTGGTCGAACGTTGGTATGCAGTGCTCTTTCAAGGCGGTCGCTGGGTGAAGGCATATTATCTGCCAGCTGCTGTTGCTGTCGCCGCTGCCCCACATCCAGTGGAACGGTCACCTGTTTGATGGAATTGGGCTGCGGGACAACTTGAACGTGAGAGTGGACTCACCAAGCTTACCTTGGGTTAGTAGGGAATGGAGGAATGGGGTACAATTATAACTACTATCACTACCATCATTCTTCCATTCCCTAGTAACCAAAGGTAAGTAAGGTGAAGACCCAGAGATCAAAGGCCTTTGCCATAAGCCGGACATTACACGAGTATGCAGAGCTCCTTAGCAACCCTTCCCTTTCTGCAGCATATCACTACTGGTTTATTTGATTCAGACCTCCATTTTGAGGTCTCCTTTTGATGTTGGGCTGCCCAGAAGCGTTCATCACTAGGACATTCGGAGATAAGAACCCTGACAGGCCCTAAGCCCCTAACCCTGAATTAAAATACAACCCCAATAAGTAAATGAACCCTTGCTTGTGAGCCTCTGATTACATGCTAATAGAGCACTATAATCAGAGCAAGTCAAGGAACCCGTATACAAGCACCCATCGGCCTGAAGCCCGAATCAGCTAAGTCGACAGGTGCCAGCGAGAGCACCAAGAGCGCACTTCTGGACACGGCACCCCGCTGAACTTAAGGTGGTTCGCGTTTAGCGGTTCTGGAGGTTTTAAAGGCATGTATTGGATCTTGCAGGATTTGTTAATGGCCTTCGTAGGGTTTCAAAGACGATTTGGAACAGGTTTTGTCGGGCTTTGCAGTGTCATGTTAGCATTGGGGCCAATCTCCTGCTTGCAGAGTTTGTAGAATAGGTTGGAAGTTTCGGGGTGTTATCGGGCTGCTAAGGGGGTTTTGCATCTGCTGGGGACTGGCACGTAAATAGAGAGCTCAGGAAGCAAAGCATTTCAAACAGCAGAGCATTTGGGCATTTTTATGGCATAGATCTTCTCGGTATTTATTCCGACCGCTGCATTTGCAACGGGATGTTGGTGTCCAGGCTTGATCGTTGGCGGCCAGGTTTTGCATCCCAGGAGAATGCCAATATGGAGCAAGACTAGTTCGAAGGTCAGTAGTCACCTGGATACTGATCAATGAAACAACTAAGCTATGGGTGAAGTTTCCGAAAACGGTGGCTGCTAACGTATGATTCCTAACCGGAAGCCCAAATCCTAAATCTATTTTTATGATAGATTGCAGCCGTCAAGGTCAACACCTCCTCCTCTGCCCTCCTGAAGAAGCTGGATGCCACGCAGCAGGCAACCGCGGTTTCAAATTCAGCGTTCATGGATTAGCCCAACTAACTCCTACACCCCAAGACGTCAGGCAGGCGTTGCTTACCTTTGGTCAGTAGGGAATGGAAGAATGGTAGTAGTAGTAGTTATAAGTGTACCCCATTCCTCCATTCCCTACTAACCAAAGGTAAGGTTGGGAGTTCTCGCGGTTTTGGCGGATCTTGAAGGCTTTGAGGGTTTGGGCCGACGGCGCCTGCGGTTTGGGGTGTTAAAAGGGGGGATCCTTTTCAGGGAAACTCGGGGGTTACAGTGACTGCACAGTGTACTGCGAGGGGGAAATACACGGGTTACTCCAAGGGTTTAGGGTTTGGGGGTTTAGTGGTTGAGGCTCCAAGCCTGGGGTTTAGGGTTAAGGTTTGGGGTGAGTTCGCAGCGCAGATTATTTTCACGTCAAAAGTAAGTTTTGCACAAGTTGCCGACAATCGGAAAGCAGACGCAGTAAAAGCTCGATTGCTAGAATTTGAACGCTGAGAACCCAAACCGTGATATTTGTGTAATTAACCCTCGAGCCTTCAAGAAGGAATGGCTGAGGGTTCTGGAAGCTTTACTCGCCAAAATCCTCAAACTCCTCAACCCTAAACCCTAAACCCTAAACCCTAAACCCTTAACCCTTAATCCTAAACCCTAACCCTAAGCCCCGAAGCCTGAACCGTGAACCCTGAAGCCAAAATACCCAAGCCCCTCATGTCCTGAACCTGACCATGACTAGGTCCTAGGTAGGCCTGAGGGTCGGATTTACACACATGCTCAGAATGTCTTGAGGGGGCAACCTAAACCCTACCCTAAACCCAAACACAAAGCCCCGAACGCTAAACCCTGAAACCTCGTTCCAAGTATTCAAGCGCCTATAGTTAAACCCTAACCCTGAACCTCTCCATGAAGTGTAGGACCTGCTGAAGCAGAGCCACGAGTCGCACGCCGTGCTCGAGGCGTGATGGGAGGAGTTTCAGAGACAGCTTTTGGATCAGAACGCAGAAACAGCCTTTATTGCCTTCCTAAACTTCTTGAGGGTTTGCGCGATCATGACGTAAAACCCAGTGCCACTAACCCCACTAACTTCTGGGTCGGAATAGTTGATTAGCATCCCCCTGTACATCCTACGTACTTATGCCATGACGTTTCCCAAAGCCCTTTTCGAATGAGTTATTCAGGCTGTAATGTTGATCTCTGAACCCTAAAGCCTAGACGACAAGTGCAGGGCGTTGCGGCCAGTCAGACCACTCTTGCAAAGAAGGTCGACTCAGGCAACTCCCGCATTTGGAGTTGAATGGTGGTGTTTAGGGTTCGGAGGAAGGTGCACTTCATTGCTGGGGATTAGGGCCCAGGTGAGGCAGGTGCTTTCGGCCACTTTGGTCGGTGATTTCTTTGCAGGCGTTAGAAGGACTCCAGCTCATTTTTCGCTGCAATGTATATGCCTTGTCCTAAAGCCAACACTCGTTTCCGGGAGACAGTTCGGAGGCACATGCGGGTAGTGTGCAAGGAGCCGAGGAATCATAGCCTGATCTCTGCCACGGATTCATGTGAGAATCTTTAGCCATTTCCGCCTTTACTACGATGACTGTCCTGTTATTGTTTGCTGTGTGGTGCTCCTTCTGTGGTCACAAGCGGCATTATCCTTACCGGTAGTGTGGCTAGCAATCACAGACCTTGGTTGTATCACTCTCAAACACCCAAGCAAATTCTAAATTCGGGTCCTGATGCCCTTGGGGTGGCAGCGACAGTCTGTACTATCAAAAGCATGGTTATCGTGACTCCATCACCTGTGTCGGTGTTCACAATGACAATGAGACAGCCACATCCAAAGAAGCAGTGACCGCCCGAACTCTGTCTCTCCCTCTCTCGCTCTATCTATCTATCTCTCTCCCTACATATATATATATATATATATATATATATTTTTTTTTTCAGCACACAAAAACAACTTCTAAATTTCTAGACTGAGCACTCCAATCCCTAAGCCCAAGAACCCCAGCCCACAAGCTGAACCCCCTAAGCCATGAACCCCGAGACCTGCCCCCTAAACTCAAAGTTGTCCCTAAATTTGCAAATTCGTGCACGCAAAACCTTCATCCCAAAAATGAACGACCCCCGGGCCCCAATCCACGCACGCTACGCCGAACACTCCCAAAAATTAAGCCCCAATCGATACCCAAAGCCCTGATCCCCCAAATCAGATTCCAAATCAACCCACCAATCCACACGCCCAAGACTCCAATCCGGAAACTCAAAGCTCCCACTTGGCAAACCGTTCTGCGACCCTGATCCCTGCCCTCTTAACCCCCGTTACCAGAGCCTGATTCCTTTGGTCCCTCATTACACCCTAAACCCTAAATCCGAACCCCCAACTGGAGTTAATTCACTCTTAATTGGCACCCATTTGGTCGCCAAGTGTTTCGCTTCGTGACAGTCCGCATGACCGATTGCATATAAATCCGAACCCCCACACCCTGATGTCTAAACCCTAAACCCTAAACTCTAAACACTCTAACCCTTAAATTAAGAAGCCCTTGTCCCTAATCCCCAAACCCTTAGCCCAGAACCCGCTAATCCATAAACCCACTAAAACCCTGAACACAAACCTCTGTCTTGCTTTCAGGCAACGAGTTCACCCAGCGCCGCCTTGTTGACATGGAGGCTGGGCCCCGCCAGTAGTAACCCTATAATACCCAGGCTGTTCAGTGGTACACTTGTTTTTGCTTTCAGGTTTCTGGGTTCCTATTATAAAATAAGAAGCCTCAGAAAAGTATATACTTTTTCTGAGTGGGTTCCTGAACAGCCTAGATACCCTTAAAGGGGACCCTATTATGGAACCCTATATCCTCAAGGGTGAAAGGTTTAGGGTTGAGGGCCAAAGTTGAGGGTTCCTTAAAAGGGGCTTAGAGGGTTTAGGGTTCCTTTGAAGGTTATAGGGTTAAGAGGGTTCCTTCAAGGGTTTAACAGAGAAGCTCTACGGCTTGCTTCAGGGTTCTACGAGGAATCTGTGCGGGTTCTAGGAGAGAGGAGCCTAAGTAATTAGTAACACAGTAGTACTCTTCCTCTGGGTTCCTTCTTACAAAAATACTATAAGTTGAACTTACCCCAAAGCCTTATTCCAAGCATGAGGCTCCGAGGCTCCGAGGCTGTCTCTGTACACTTTTCCTGGGTGCTCCGTACCTTAAACTACCAAACCCTACTTTTTTGTAGGTTCTTATTATAAACCCAATATGGAATTTCTAGGGACCCTACAAATAAAGTAGGTTTTGGTAGGTTAGGGTAGGAATGATGTTCCTTTTCGGTTTTGACACAAACCCAAGGCGTCGCTAAGGATAATGTTTTGACTCTTGGGCATTAGGGCTTAGGCGTAAGGGCTTCAGGGTTGAGGATTTACGATTGTTCAGGGATGGAGGAGGCTTCGGGGCGCTTTGGCTTAGGGTTTGAGGGTGAGACTGTAGAGTTCAGAGCTTAAGGGGGGTGCCGTCCAATGGGGTGTAGGGTTGGGCGGAGGTGTGTGCAGCTGCACTGGTGTGCCCTTACTAATGCTGGCACCTGCGTCTGGGTATGACGCACTAGTATGATATCCGATATCCTGTGTCAACGGTAACACCGCTTCTGTGCACGAGCAGTCTTGTTCGAGTGGATGCAGAAATGCGTTCCACGTACTTACTGACTTGTGGCACCACGCATGCACCCAACTCCACCCCATCGTCATTGGAACTTGCTTTACTGCAAGAGCAGTATGGAGCCGCCAGCCCAAACACCACACCTAAACTCTGTGTGACGGGCTTGGCAGCAAGGCTCCACTAAAGGGCGGGTGGTTCGTGCAATAGGATGTTGGGATATTATAGCATAGGGATGTAGGGACTAAAACGGACAGTATTGCTAATGCAGATCGCATATGTCACCTGCAAGGGTTCTTCGCAGGCTTTCATGCTCATCCGCAAAGCATCCTGACCCATGCGCCACAAGCCAAACCCCTTCAAAAAAGTTTCAAGACCACAAACTCCAAACCTCGGGCCCTAAACCCTAAACCCTGCAACCCTAAATCCTAAACCCCGGAGCCCAAAACCCTAGTAAACCCTAAACCCTGAAACCCTGAAGCCCTAAGCCCTAACCTCGGAGCCTTAAACCCTTCGGCAAGCGATCTGCAGACTCGAAAGCCCTAAAACCCTAAAGCCCTAGAGCCCAAAGCCTTAACTAAACCCTTAAACCCCACTAAAACCCTTAAACCCTACTAAACCCTACTAAACCCTACTAAAACCCTGCTAAAACCCTGAAACCCCACTAAAACCCTGAGACCCTCAACTCGGAGCCCTGAAGCCCTACGCCCAAAGCCCTCAAACCCGAGCCTCGAAGCCCTAAAACCCTGAAACCCCCAAAAAAGCCCTGAAACCTTAAACTAGCAGCCAGAAATCAAGGCCCCTGTATTATACTACCCTCATAGTAGCCCTTATATGGAACCCTTTTAGGGGGACCCTAGTCTAATTATTACAGTAGAAGCCGGAAAGTTGGAATATCATTATCGTAACCCCTTTAAGGTAAACTATAGGGGATCCTACCATTAATCCCATTAATCCAACTTTCTGGAGTTCCCTTTAAACTCGGAGCCTGAATCAACCGACCACGACCAGGGCTGCATCGAGCGGAAGATGAGCGACGTCAGCGACAGCCTCTCGCGATCCCAGACGCAATGCACCTCGGCCAGGGTTTAGGGCTCAGGGTTTAGGGGTTTAGGGTTTATTCTTCAGGGGTTTAGGCCGTCGGGTTTTGGGTTTAGGGTTGAGGGGTTTAGGCTTTAGGGTTTAGGCCACAATGCAGCTCGGATACTGTAGAAGTTTGTTTGCAGTTTCTTGCTTTGCGGGTTCCTTGCTTAATTCATAACCGCTATTCCCCGTACCCAAAACCCTAAAACCCTTAACCATGTAGACAAGCTTGAGCTGCTTTTTGGGCCCGGCATTTTTACATTAGGAGTCCTTGGCTACCTGAGCCCACCAAAACCTGCTTTTTTTGTTAGGGCCCCTATAAACCCCATATATAGATGCTTATAGTAAGAACCGACAAAAAGTAGATTATGGTAGTTTAAGGTAGGTTTATGATTTCGTCAGAATCGACCCCAAAACCCTATCCTAACCATAATGGCCCCTTTATGAGGAGTTTTGCGGGTTTCGGATCTGAAGCTTCGGGCCTCTACGGGTTTAGGGTTTAGGGGGGATTTACGATCAGGCTGTGCGGGATAAGTCGCAGGTTCGGGCTTGGTGTTTAGGGTGTAACGGTGCGCAAGAATCAGGTACTAGTGTCAGTATACAAGCGCCTGGAAAGGCCTACTGACCTTCACACTCTGAACCCTTAAACCCAGGACCCTGTCTCTGCACCCTACACCCGAAGCCCTACACACCCTAAAAGCGTTTACAAAACACCCTCAAGAGGGCCTTAAACCCCTTTGCACCCTAAACCCAAATTACCCTTAACCGGGCCAAACCGCGCTTGGAGGTTCGGACAAGATGCACCTTAAGCCTATAAGCTCTAGAGCCCAAAACCCTAAGCCCTGAACCCCTAAAGTAAAAGCCAGAAAGTTGGAATAGGATTATCCTAAACCCTTAATGGTAAATTATAAGGTATCCTACCCTGAAACCATATTCCAACTTTCTGGAGTTCCCTGTATCCACTCTGAACCCTGAACTCCGCTTGGAGGTTCGGACAAGATGCACCCTAAGCCTCTCAACCTAAGATTCTGAACCCTGAACCCAAATATAGAGTCCTACTTTAGATCCCCAATAGACCCCTTTGAAGCACCCCTTTCAAGGAACCCTATCCTAATCATTGAACCCCGGCTTGGAGGCTCGGACAAGATGCTCTCCGCCCTGCGAGGGGACTTGGCCACCTTGCAGGCTCAGGCCCTCCTCTCTGATGCAACCCGGAGATTCCAATATCCCTTAGTTTATAAGGAATATACCTTAAATCATATTAGGATCCCTACTATAATTTAAGGTATGCTCCTTAATTAAGGGATATTGGAGTCTCTGGGAATATGGGGGGCCTTTATAACTACCTACTCTATTTTGGGGGTTCCTTTGAAGGGGTCTATAAGAGCTACTACAAGGGCTACTATGAGGATACTGTAATATAGGGGCCGAAACAATTACCTGTGCTGTTTTGGGGTAGCGGCCCCAAAGCCCTATTCTAAGTATTAAGGCTGGTATGTTCGGGTGGCTGAAGCGGGGGGTGGAGGGGAAGCCGAAAGCCCAAGTCCTGCACCTAACAACCGAAACCCCAAAATCTAAAACGCCCAAGGACTATTTTGGGGGGTTTATCATTGGGGTTGAAACATTTTGTTCTACTATTTGGGGGCTCCGTATTATTCTCAAACTCCCCAGTCAGCCCAACCCCTGAAGAAGCTCCCGCCTGACGCAGGGCAACGCGATGGCGGTCGCCACGGAGAAGTCCTCCAACACGCAAGAGGCTCACGATGCTTAAGCCAGAAACCCTAGGCCCTAAACCTTAAACCCAAAGTGATTCCTGCAGTCGCCTCATCTAAACAGGTGTCCCAAAAGGGATCAACCTAAGACTGCTCCCCTGGGTTTTCCCTGACAACTCGATTAAGGCCCCACATTATATGAGGGTGGGAAACGAGGACCTTGGGATGAGGGCGTTCGATGTGAAGGGTTTTGGCTTCGGCCTCTGGTAGCTGGCAGAACATGGTCTAGGATTTAGGGCTAAGGTCTGGAGTTTATGGTTTAGGGTTAGGGTGTAGGGCGTAAGTTTAGGGTTCAGCGGCAGGGTCTGCTTGAGAACCCCAGTGAAGACCAGCGATGCAACTCTGCCATCCTCCCCCCAATACCCCATATCCTACACCCTAACCCTGACCGTCAAACCTGAACCCCGAATCTAGCCCGAAACCCCCGAAACATGCAAAGAAGAGTGGTTGAAAGCCCGACGTGGTGTCTGCAGCGCGTCGAACAGGAGCGCATGGCTGATGTCCGCCGTCAGAACATGCGGCCTGGTTGGCTGAGGGCTTCCTTAGAAGGGGCTCACAGGGTTTGGGCTTTAGGGCTCACAGGGCTTTAGTGGTTTCATTGTTCTTCTCAAGCCGGGGTCTTGTAGGACTTGCTGAACTTGTAGGACTTGAGGGCTGTCGAGGGAGGAGTTTAGGACTGCAGGCTTTAGATTCGTTTGGCTTTCCCGTTTTCCGTTCCTAGACGACCTTCCCTGCACTTTGAAATCCGATCCCCACCTTCAGCTGCTAATATAGGGGCCGTAGATCAACAATGAGAGTAGTTTCTTTTTTTTTGGGGGGGAGGCATTTTACTATATTTACAATAAGGAACCCCAAAATAGTATTGGTAATCATTTAGGCCCCTTCTTAATTGCCGGGTTACCCGGAAAATCCGGTCGGAGCTTCGAGCTTCTGAACATCCGGTTGCATTGCTACTCCAAGCTTCATGGGCGGTTAGGAGTATAAACCCTAAACCCTAAAACCCTAAACCCTAAACTCGAAACCCTAAACCCTAATCAGGTGTGGGTTTTGGGTTTCCGAGTCGGGAAGGCCTACAAGTAAAGCCTCTTTCTGAGTTACTTTATCCCCTGGTTCTTGAAGCAGATCACCTTCATTCTTTGCAACTTCGGATACTTTGTGTGAGGCAGCCCGACACATGCTACTGAGGAGTGTCTCAGGACCCGAGGTTCTCTTAACACAAAGGCCATAATTACAAGTATTGCACTTCCTGCAGTTCAAGATTGATTACATTGTATACTCTCTTTGATAGCCAGCCTGTACACTGTTCGGTCGTTAACCCATTGGATCCTGCAGGTATTTGGGGACAAAACATTCATCGCTCGTCTTGCATTGCTAGCTAGTGTCCCGCTTGCTTCAGTCGTGACGTTGTTATCGTCATTGGCATTGCTACTCTTCGTGGGTGAGCACTGCGCCTTGCAATAGTTTCTCGTTACAGGCTGATGTGGCATCCCGAGTTGAAGACTTACAGCTGATAAAATCCCTCGCTTTGACACGAAGCTCAAGATTTTGGAATCTTGTATCCTGGCAACCAAGGCTTGAAAAGTAGGGCTCCAGGTCCAAATCTAATAGATTCTACGGCTCTGTATGGGATGTTTTGCAACACAAGGATTATACACAGGCAGTAGTTCAAGCTAGTGATGGCTCGATGCCAAGCCAAGGATGATCATGGACATGCTGACGAATGCACAGGAGACTGCTGCAATATTGGGGTCGGAATACATTGTAAGAGTTTCCCCTCAATTCCCCAGAAACACTGTAGTACAACCCTTCAGGCCCATTTTCTTGCATAGGAAACGAGCCCTAAGCCCTAAACCCAAGCGGCGAATCTGACTCTCAAGGGCCCAACACTGTAGCAAAGTTACCAGGGTGCCGGGCCGACGATCCGAGTCTGGGTTCTTGTGAAAGGATGTAAATTAAGTTACCATGATAAAGAAACCATACGGTTTACTATAGATCCCTGGTAACCTAAATTAAGTCTCTTAACAAGAGCCCAGTAGTCTTCCAGTGTTCAGTGTTGATAATATGGGAATCCAAAAGATTGCCAAAACTTTTATGGTGGTTGCGTATTATATGTATGGCATAAGATACCACCTATTCCGATTAGTAAGGCCCCTAGATAAGTATAGATCCTTATCTCTTTAGAAAGCTCTGTATCTTCGACCACGGTAAGGGGTCCGGCCTTAGAGCTTTCATGGCATATAAGGGCTTGTGGTGCTACGGGGCTACCTCCCCGGAAGGGTTTTGAGAATGTGAGCTCTGTTTATTTGAGAATGCCGAAGGGTACGGCATTCTCATAATAATCTAGGCCACGAATCCGCCCTAGAGTTTTTTGCATATCGGCTGAGTGCGTACGGTTTTCGCTCTGGAGTCGCTGTACAATTTCAGGCACCCCCAGTACAATTCACAGTTTCGATGAAAGGGACACTAAACCCCCCACTTCAAACTTTCTCTCTCTCTCCTACGAGTGCTCCACGCCAAAGCGGGATAGTATGTTCTGTCTCTGTTTGTGTTCTTGTCGAAATAATACATAGAGGGACTGTAAGCCCCAAACCCTCAGCAAACCCTCCCCTAAAGAGAGGAAACCCCTGAACGTGGGGGTACTTAGACATGATCTTTAATTTTTGGTCATTATAAATCCTTAAGAAGCAGCTAGAACTGATTCTTTTTTGCTGGGGGTCTAAGTTCAGTTTAGCAAGCCCTGAGCCTCCTTTCGAAGAGAGGAGACGATGCACTCCAGCGCCGAGAGCTTGCAGAGCTTCACGCGCGCCGTGCCCTGGGCGCCAGAGTTTCAGGGAGTTGGGATCTGTAAGGGCGTAAAAGCTACAGTCTCCTAGGAATCATTGTTTGTTGTTTTTTTTCGGTTCTAAGGGGCGAAAGGTTGAAACATCAGGAGCCAAAGAAACCCAAACATAAACTTTCGGGTGGAGATATCCTAATCTTGTAGGCTTAGTTAAACAGGGGATTATGGGATATCCCAACCTTGTGGTTCTGTTTGGGTCCTTTTCAGGGTCCCAGGTCTTGTGTTGGGGTTCAGGATTTTGCGAGGGCAGGGTTGGAGTTCACTCAAGAGCTGGGATTCCTCTCAAGAAACGGAATTGGACAGAGCCGTGTGACGCTTTTTGGGGCCGTTGCAAAAAGTCGCGTTGCTGTCGTAGAATCACCGACGTGCGCTTATCTTACGACGCAGGGACCGAAAATGTAAAGAAATCCAACTGCGAAATCCGAAACTGCTAATCCCAAGCCAGGGGCTGGGAGTTCGGGGCATACAGTTCCCCCCCCTTCCCCGCCCTGCGGTTGAGGAAGTTTCGAGCGGCTACGCGATCTCTTTGGCTTTACCAATAGTGTTTTGGTGGGTTCCTTATTATAACTACAGTATAATGGGCCCCAAAACCCTATTCTAATTATAACGGCCCCTGTATTTTAGGCTCTACACGGACCAAGGAGATCATGCGAGATTCCGCCGCAAACATGGAGATGCAGCTGCGTGAGGCGTGGCCTGCGCTGTCTCTCGGTCACTACCAATGCTGCTGCTGCTGCTGCTGCTGCTGCTACTACTACTACTACTACTACTACTACTACTACTACTACTACTACTACTACTACTACTACTACTACTACTACCTTCCTACTACATACTACATACAACTACTACTATGCCTGCTATTAGTCGGAGGTACCTTAGGGCTGGGAAGTTTTGCAAGATGAGCGCCAAGGCTCCTAGTGCCTACTTTTACAGTGGCTGATGGCAGGCAATGGCGGATATCCTCCTGTAAAGAGTGACCATCACCGTCCCTCCCTTATTCGAGAGAATGGCGTTCACCCAGTGAATGCCAAGAATGGCGATGCAATGCCAGATAACGGCGGAGAGGTTCTAGAAGAGTGCTTACAGTAGCCCCACACCGGAGGGCTTTAGGATTTGAGGTCTTTAGGACCTTTAGGATCTTAGGGTTTGGGCTTGTGGGCTTGGTGGTTTCTCAAGATCAGGATGATCTCTCAAGAGCAGCCCTCCACCTGGCAGCTGGAACTTCGGAGGGACCGAAACGACTCTAAAATGAAAAAACTAAGAAGAATAACAATAATAATAATATAACTCCGCAAAGCCCTAAACCCTAAAGCCGTGCACATCAACAGGCCACTCCTTTGTAAGGCTGAGCTCTTGCTATGATGCCTAGTCCAACATGGGGCCACAGGAATCCTAGGGCCCTGTTTAGGGTTTGGAGTTTACGGGTTTAAGGCTTTTCGTTTAAGAGGTTCAGGGTTTGGCGCTGAAGCAGACAACATTCTACGATGCTGGTTATAAGGACCTCCCCGAAAGGGAATCCCCTGCATTCGGAAACTGCGATGTGGAGCTTTCCGAAAATAGTGGAACCCCAAATAAGGTTCCCCGAATATTCGCGAACCCCCATATGTGTCTTGAGTTCGCACCTAAGACGCAGATGAGAATGTTGATGAAGGGCATAGCAGCAAGACTGTTTGGCATTGTATGGGTTCTGGCTAGCATGCCTCTTCGAAAAAGACCCATTATACTGACTTTGCCAAATCTGCAGGTGATTGTCAAGCAGATGAACAACTTGCAGGCCACAGAGATGTTGCTCTCAGCCCCAGCCTCACACAAAGCCACATAAATCTTTATAAGTTGTCCTGTATATATGGCTGCATAGTACTTTATATCATATCGGCTATACTCTTTCTACATTACCATGTATCGCCGTAGAGGCAGTTGGTTTCCTTCAAGACACAGAGGCCTCAAGCCCTCAAGACCGGGGCCACTCCATCCCTCCCCGAACCCAACAAGACCGTGCAAGATCCTACAGGGAACTCCAGAAAGTTGGAATATGGTTTGAGGTTAGTATACCTTATAATTTACCATAAAGGGTTTAGGATAATCATATTCCAACTTTCTGGCTTTTACTTTAAACAACCTCGAACCCAAGGAGGGAACATCCTATCTGGGAGTTTCCGAAAATTAGGGGTACCTTATTGGGGGGTCCTCATAATAAGGATCCTACTATTTGGGGTACTATATTAGGGTCCCCTACCCTAGGAAACTCCCATATTATATTGGATTACATCATAAGGTTATATCGTAGAATGTATATTGTATTACATTAAAGACACCCAACCAGGGTTGTCACACCTGAGCAGTTGCTGGCCTGTTGAAGCAATCAAGGTTTGGGGTTGAGTGCTTGGGGCTCAGGGTTGCTGCAGCGACAATCGCCTAAATCTTAGTGTACGTAAAGGCTCGGTACTGAGAAGCAGTGGCTCAGGGTTTCGAAGAATTAGTTGAAGGAGTTGATGGCTCGTTGCAAGATGCAAGTAAGGCGAATTGGCGGGCAATGGCTTCAGACATCCACGCTTGCCCTGCCTCTCATCCTACTTAGACTCGCACCGCCAAACCCTAGAAGACCGTTTGACTAAATCCTGAATCCTAAAGCCCTAAAACCCCAAAACTCGAAGCCTGTGTGCCTTCGGGTCGGGCGTGGGGGCACAAGCTCATGTGCACAGGTCTTGTTCGCTTCAGGGTGCAGAGCTTACTAGTTTGTTTGCTGCTTCGGAAGTTTGCGCTCGATGGTTTCGGATCTTGCCTTTATGGTTACGGAGACCCTAAACTAAACCCGGTCAGCGGCGCCCTCGGGCTTGCCGCTACTCGTTACGCGGTCCCTTTTGTTTTCAAGAGTCACTACTGGGCCACGATGGTTGCGGCAGACAGGCTGCTTGAGCTGGTTCCAAGTTTCCCAACTCCGCGTCCATCTAACGTTTCCGCCGCCTTCGTTTCGCTGCACAGGTGCCTCTTTGGGACCTTCTTTTACGCAGCAATGTGTGCGGGAGAGCTCGACCTTGTGGTTTACAAGCCTATGAGCCAACAAATCCAGTGGACCTTTGTGCGCCACAGTGGAATGCTACGCGCTGAACCTATCAGCTCTGAGTTTTGGGAGGCACCAGTTGTCTCTTTCTGGAGCGTGAAGAATCAGCGCATCGCACCCGTAGGTGGTGGCTGGCTGGTCCACGGGGCCATCTTGACTGCCGGACACGTGTATGACTCCATGAGAGTGCTCGGCCAACGGCTCTAAGATATACGTTGGACGGTGCAACCGCGAGGTTTGCAACGTTAACGGTCTTTATGAGTATCAGCCTGCCCTTGTCGACAGACCTTGCGCCAAGGACTTGGCGAGGCACCCAATTGCAGGGGACTTCGCCTTGATTTCTGCGCCCAAGAGCGTCGCACAGTTGGGTCTCAGGGTTGGAAGGGTTGGTTTTGCTGCTAATCGTGGCGATGTTGTCAGTTCCGGGCACTACAAGCTGGTTGAAGGCAAATGGGTTTTTCACCGAACCTTTGGTACGTGCCAACACGGCATTCCTCAGGTCTTGGGCGAGGGCCATCGTGGCGCTTGCTTTTGGTCTGGGGAGTCGGTCCCGTGCGCTTCGGGGTATCCCCTCTTGAGTGCTTCAAAAGAGATTGTGGGGATCAATATTGGGGCCCTCGAGACGGAGAATCGGTCTGTTGCCATTGCTGCTCGAGCTACCTCGGTTTTTAAGTATTTCATCTCAAGGAAGGTGACGTATTTTTCAAAGACTAGGTTCGGGGTTGTGCCACAGCCTCCTAAGCCGACCAAAGGCGAGATGCCAGAAGCCGCACCTTACAAGCGTCACTCTTACAGTGATGATGATGAGGACGCGAACTGGAGCTCTCCTTCAGAGTCGGAAGACGGAGAGTCAGTGGCAAACTCCCAGGACAACTTCTTCCACTTCTTCCTTGCCCTCTCTGGTGTGGCCGTCCGACGTGGTCCGGGATACAGTCAACACTAATCTCGTCCATGATGGGCAAGTGGACGTGGTGGAATTGGCTCGGAGGTTGTTGGAACGAACAAGGAGAATGGTCCACGAACAGAGACTTGTCGTTGCGGCGCTGGAGGAGACATTGGAATGGATTCAAGTGCCCCTCCCAGCTGTACCACTTAATGTCGGCCACGCTGCTCGCCAGGTGATGAACGTGGCGCATCGGGAAGCAGTCCATGGAGCTGGGCCCACCACGTCCTCGACGAACCAGACAGTGACTGACCCTTCGGCCCTACTACAACCTGACTTCCCAGGGTCCGTGGAAGAAATGCGAGCCATGATACCAGGTACGGCTGATCACGTGCTGGCAGGTTACAGACGTCGCGCCTGGCGAACCAATGCGAGAAACCTGTTTTTGCAAGAGGGCCTGGATGATCCACGAGGCAGATGGCCAGCGGAGGACGATCGTCCTCTACCTCATACAACGTGACGACAATCAACCTGTTGGCAATTGGCCGATGGATACTCCTAGGCCGTCGACCATTGGTGCAGGGCCAGGGAGTATGAGCAGGAGACGTAATCATGCCCGTCGGCCTCCTCCTCGTTTTGGGCGTCCTGAAAGCTCTGGCCACAGTGTAGCCTCTGGTCATCATTCTCTCTCAATGGGAAGTGGAAGTGTGCCTGGTGGTGTGCCCTCGACTCTACAGCCCCTAACTGCTCCTGGCGAAGTTCATGTTCCTGTGGGTGATCCTGCTGATGTACCAGGGCATGTTGCAGTATGGCCTGATGATGGTTCTCCTGTACAACAAGCCTGGGATGAATCGGCAGGAACTGCAGATATTCATGATGATGTCGGTGGGTCTGAGTCTGGCGGGATCGTTGTGGATCGTCGACGTCGTGTGTTGGCTTCAGTGCAATCTGATGATCACATGAGTCGTGAAGCTTCCAACCGAGTGCACCCGCGGGATCGTAGTCGAAGTCGTGATCCTTGAAAGTTGACTGAGATGTTGTCGAGATGGATGGTGACATCTGAGTGTGGGTTTTAGTGCAAGCCTTTATGGCAGGTTCGAGATCGTTCTGAAGGGGGCCACTGCACGTAAAAAAAAAACCCTAAACCCTAAAGCCCTAAAGCCGTAAACAAAAAGCCCTAACCCCTAAACCCTGGAGAAGCCCTGAGCCCTAAACCCTAGAACAGCCCCAAGCCCTAGAGAACCCGAAGGAACCCTAAACCCCTAAACCCTAGGCCCTGAACCCTAAACCCTAAAAGCCCTAAAGCCCTGAACCCTACACTCCAAACCCTAAACCCTAAAAACCCCAAACCTTAAGCCCTCGGCCCTAAAGAGCCCCGGCTCGTGCAGGAAGCTTTCCTCGGCGAGGGCGATGAGGGAGCCAAGTCAGGCTCCTTCAAGGCGGGAGCCGGGTGGCCGCAACAACAATGGTAATCGTTTATACAAGGAAGAATAAAAGAATGAAAGTAATAATAGTAATAGTAATAGTAATTGTAATAGTAATTGTACTTGTAATAGTAATACGAATAATAATACTAACCGTAAGACTATCTGTAAAAATAACAACAACTATGAGACTAAGAGCAATACTATATAATGCTATAACAGTCCCCAGAGCCCCACTCAACCATTTTATAATCAAAACTCCTAGATTCGGGTAATATGGGAGTTTCCGAAAATTGGGGGTACCTTATTTTGGGGTCCTTATAATAAGGATCCTACTACTTAGGGTACTATATTTGGGTCCCTATTTTCGGAAACTCCCATATAGGGCCTGAAAAACTAGAATAGGGTTTTGGGGAGTATGTTTTTCGAGACTTGTAATAGGGACCCCCCCCCCCAACAAAAAATAGTGTAGGTAGTTAATGAGGACCCTATAGTACTCCATGAAGGTTGTCATCAGGGTTACGTCGTGGCTTTATGTATGGCTCTGCAGTGAGTTTCCAGGAAAAATTAAGGGTGCCGTCTTTTGGGGGTGGCTTGTTGCAAGCATCCCTGTATTTCTGGGCTCCGGCGTATGTTACGTATTGGGGCTCAGGGGCTCAGGCTCAGGGTTCCTGGAGCTTTGGTTTAACCTGAGGGTTTTGGGGTTGGCGAGGGTTCAGGGTTTGGGACGTGTGGCTCACGGCTTGGATCTAGGGCTCAGGTTTTGTGTCTCAGGGTGCAGGTTCAGGGCTCTAGGGTTCAGGGTCTGGGATCAAGAGAATTCGGCCTGCTACATTTGGCGATGACGGTTCTTAAGTTTATCGCTCAGGACTTGGATTAACAAGAAGTGGGCTCGTCAATTTTTTGTATATGATGTGCTTTGCGTTTCGTTGAGGGGAAGGTTCGGCAGACGCATGGATGTGGGAAACTGGGAAAGTCTTGAGGCGCCCGTTTGCAGAAGCTTCTTTTCACGCTGGCATACCAGCTATTTTAAGACGGCTCCGCATGAAGAACTCGCCCTATGTCCAGATATGCCAATCTGCACATGACAACCCTGCTGGTCCAACTACGTGGTATTGCATGGCACAGAAAATTCCGCTCAAGATCCCCTCCGGCATGGCCAAGAAGATGCTCACCCATCTGAAGACACGGAATGTTGGGAAGCTTCACGGTCTCTTGAGAGCTGCCCTTCCTTAAATCCCTCAAGCCCTAAACGCCTAAACTCCTAAAAAGCTTAAAACCCTAAAAACCCTTGAATCCCTAAAGCCCTGCAAGCTTAAACGCCTAAAAAGCTTAAAACCGCCAGAAAACCCTTAAAACCCTAAACCCTAAATCCCTAATCCTAAATCCCTAAACCCTAAACCCTAAATCCCTAAATCCGCAAAGCCCTAAACCGTGCGAGGCGGCCGTGGGCTCCATGGTGGACCGACTGGAGGTCCCTCCTGGCTTTAGGGGGTTACTTCGGCTTCTAGGGGCTTCATTCTTTGAGGGTTTTTAGGCTTTCAGGTTTTAGCGGGTTTAGTTAGGCTTTTAGGGGCTTTAGGCTTTGAGGGGTGTAGGGTTTTAGGGGGTTTAGTTAGGCTTCTGGAAACCGTTTAGGGTATTAGGGTTTTAGGGGGTTTAGTTCTGGTTTTAGAGGGTTTCGGCTTTTAGGGGCTTGTAGGAGTTTTGGGTTTTTAGGAGTTTAGGCTTTTAGGGTTTGCGGGACTTAGGGTTTTAGGCAGGCTCTTGGGGCTTTAGGCTTTCAGGGCTTGAGGGACTTAGTTAGGGCTTTAGGGTTTTAGGTGTTCAGGGCTTTAGGGCGTTAGGGATTTAGATTTAGGGGTGTATCAAAAAATCCGGTGTTTTTTGTTTCGCAGAAGGGCTTTCCGGGGTTTAGGGGCACAGTCGGATGTGTTTATGGTACTTTGTGGGATTACCCTAAACCCTAAAGCCCTTCCTGGGTTTAGAAAGGATCTTGTTTGCGAAGTCTCAGAGGCTTCAGAGGGCCAGCATAGCCTCCTGTTTTCGTAGCAGCTTGCGGCGGCAACAAGTACCGCAAAAGCCGGGACCGCGCCACAGGTTAGCTCTAAAGGGTCTAGGGTTTAGGGGTTTAGGGTTTAGGGTCACCAAAACCCAACTCCCGAGCCCTAAGCCCTAATCCCAGAGGGGCCTCGGTAAATGCCTTTCTGGAGACAGGGCTGGCAGACGTTAAAAAAGGAGCTGAAAACGCAAAGACCCTAAACTCCTAAGCACAAACTCCAAGCTTTGAAGCCCTGAAATCAAAGAACCCTAAGCGCCGATACTGGAAGGGACCGTAGCGTAGAGCGACGCCCCGCTCTTTGCAGGAAGTGTCATCTCGCCTGGAGTTGGCGGCCTGCCTGGAACTCTTAGTAGCAGAGTAGGTAACCTTTAACTTGTTGGGGCACTAGAATCCCTATATGACCCCAAAAGGTTGACCTTTAGTTCACGTCTGGTAGACAAGCAGGAACTAGATGGCGTTGTGAGGCGTTATACAGCGTTTTGTGTCAGCAGGATGTCGTTCATCGGGCGCTGTAGTCTTTCTGGAAGGTGGTTACGGCTTCTTAAAAGACCTCAATGGCTAGTAGTAGCCTAGTGGCTAGTGGCTAGTAGCAACAGGAGAAGTAGCAGAAGTAGTAGTAGTAGTAGTAGTAGTAGTAGTTGTTGTTGTCGTAGTAGTAGCAGCAGCAGCAGAAGCAGTCGTAGTGGTCGTGGCAGTGGGAGCTGGCTGCTAGCTGGCTGCTAGCTGGCTGGTAGCTAGTAGCTAGTATACCCCCGAACCCTATTCTAATGGCCAAGAGCCAAATATCAAACCGTACTGCGCCAGGAAATGTTCTAAAGAGCATCAGAAAGCCGCATCTTTGTATGCATGGGTAGTCCTGAAAAGTTGGGCTTTCTTACCTTAAGTCCCAGGTGTGGTAATGCACCCTTTTAAACAGGACACCAGTTCAGAGAACTACCCATGTAGCACCCTGATAGTACCCTTATAGAGGCCCAACAAAGATCCCTTTAAGGAACCCTACAAGGGACTACCCAAATGATGATGTTACGTAGAGGCCCAGGGGACGTAGTAAGTTAGTTTTAAGTAGAGTCATAAGTACCCTGAATGGAGTTACCCCAATCATAGCCCTAACTATAACCCCAAACGATAGTAGTTTTGAGATATAGCCCCAAACCCTAAACCCTAAATCATATGAATTTTGAGATATACCCCCAAACACTGAACCCTAAATGACATGAATTTTGAGATCCCTTCCTCTCCAGCAGAGGCCTCTGCCGCCAGCAACGCTCAAGCTGACTCAAAAGGCCTCGTCGGGCTTGGAGGGGACTTCAGGTTCCTGTACTTGGAGGGGTTTAAGGTTTATATATATATATATATATATATATATTATTATTATTATTATTATTATTATTATTATTATTATTATTATTATTATTATTATTATTATTATTATTGTTATTGTTATTGTTATTGTTATTATTATTATTGTTATTGTTATTGTTATTGTTATTATTCTATATCATCGTATACTATATGGGTGGTTGTCAAAATTATGGTCCCTTTTTGGGTCCCTATTATGATACGGCACCTATTATTTGGGGTAGCCAAGAAGGGGCCCTAATTTTGACAACCACCCACTTGGAGGGTCATGGTACTTAGTAAGTCAGGATATAAGTACCTTAGGTGGGTTCTAAGTTATGAAAAGTATAGTGACCTTAACTGTAACTGCAGTTACTAAGTCCCATTGGTAGGTTTCGTGTGGGTTCTTAGGTCGTCCGACGAAGGTTTTAGGGCCTGAGGTTAGCGTTTCAGGGTTTCGGGTTCCTCGGGCACATGCTGGTGATCCCTGTTCGACGGGTTTACCTCCCCTCCCCCCCCCACCCAAACCCTGGCGTCTGGGGTTTAGGGTTTAGTGTTCATCCCTTAAACCCCCCTGAACCATAAACCCCTGTACCTCCAGACGGCTGAGTACTTGGTAATAAGATTCCCTTAGTAGTTCATATGAGATCGGGGTATTCGACACCCCACAACCCTAGTCAGGCCCTAGTCTAATGAGTCTAATAGTGAAAGCCCTTGTATATTCAACCTGTTTATGAGATGTAAAGCATGCTAGACCCCATATTATGACTCTGCTGGCCCTCATATTGGCAGGGTTGACGATGCGACCTCGGGGTACGAAATGGGAGTTTCCGAAGACAAATGGTACCTCATTTTGGAGTCTTTTCATACGGATCCTACTACTTTATTAGGGTATTATATTAGGGTGCCCTATTTGCGGATTCCCCATTAAATGAGGCTGCTCGACATCAGGCTGTTTTAGGGTGTCCTTCCATGCAGCATCCTACGGAATAAAGGTCTGAACAATCGACCAACAACTGCACCCTGGTCCAACTACTAAAGCTCTTGAATTACATCCCGGGGTTCCCTACTGCGGAAACTCCCAAATGAGAGGTCAAGGGTCCAGATGACGTAGGGTCCATGCGGTCGTTTTCCAGCGGGCGATGCAGCTTCCTGGTAAATGTTGCGCCAAGTAAGTCTGCGTTGGACAATTGTGCAAGATTCTAGTCTTGGGTTGGATATCTACTACACAAGCTATGTCGGGCAAAGGCACGCAAGCGTCTACGGTGCTCCTACCTCGTCATGTCTTGCTGCAATGCTGTGCATATGTCATGTACTTCAAGCACAAAAAGAAGCGGTGAAAAGTTCTGACAAGGAGTCAGACCCATCCTGATGCTCGGTATGCAGGTCTGTCGCGGGTGGCCGAAAGTCAGATGATCTCGAGACTGAGATAGACTGTCACGTAGCAGTAATCAATGGGATTTGCGATGCTGCTTACGGCAAAGAGCCGGCTCTGGGTGTACACACACACACACACGGGATGCCCAACGAGTTTTGAGTATGCCATGAAAGAAACACTGCCCGGGCTCATAATGGTTTCGGCTCGCTGAGCTCAAATGAGACGGCTTTTGCCACAAGATTATGCAGCTATACCTGTGCTTACTGAAAGCCTTTTGTAAAGACAAGCAAGCTTCCGTAAGCTTCCGCTTAAACTGGTCAAAGGCTGAACTAACCACAACTCGGTGCAAACCTTTGTCGCTGTGACGCGGCATGACTGCGTCAGTTGAAAGGTGGAGCTAGGTGGACAGGTGAAGGGTGGCAGGTTAGCCAGTCCAAGCATGTCGAAACTAGCACGATGAAAACCACCACAAAGCCTGCTCGCAGTCCGTGGGTTTGACATTACGGCTCCTTGTACGAGAATTTGCTGCATGGCATTGCGAGAGAGCCGCCGAACCTTTCACCGGGTAAACAAGTTTTTGCTCGGAATCTTCATAGCACATGAACAGGGTGCTGCATGGACAATCACTGGTCGCGGAATGCTAAAGTTTGCATGAGTCCATGTACAGGGGTGGTGCGACCGTGTTTCCAAGTTCAGGTTCAACGCGTTCAGTTTGCTGTTCCGTTGCTTGGAATGTCCACTAAGTAGGAAAGTTCGACTGCCAGGATCCTAAGCACCGACTCTTTAATTTGGTTTCATCAGAACGTTGCTTTTGCCAAACCCTCGCAGGAGGCAGCGTTGAAATGGAGGCAACTCGACAGCACGTTGATGTACACGCACATCATGACAATGTGCGAACACGAACCAGCTGTGCGACGGACCTTACACGTCCAGGCACGTGGTCCAAGATGTTCGATCCTATATCGTCTACTCCTACCAAGCCCAAAAACTCTTCATCCCTCAACCCATCGAGAGTTGTTGGTTCCGGAATGCAAAAGTTCTATCCGACATCCTGCAGAACGAGAGGCCAAGCAAAGCTGCATCTTGAAACCGCATTCCGTCAATTCATAGGTCCGAATAATACTATTTTGGGGGGTTCCTTATTATAGCTATGGTAAAATGGGCCCCAAAACCCTATTTTAAATGTTTTCGGCCCCTAAATTATGGTCTCGAGGTCTTGGAATCCCTATATTATTGTACCATAGTATGCCCCAGGACCTTGAATGTGTTAAGTTTGGATTTTAAACCCTAACCCAAGGCTTCGAACGTGAAACCCCGAGCAGTGAATCCAGGCATGCCATAAACCCTAGACATACCTTGCCCCAAGACTCCACGCCCCAAAACAAAAAAGACACCTTCATCCCAAAATCCCTAAACCCGGGCGATAACAATCCTTTCAAAACCCTTATAAACTTAAACACCATCACATCGTGGACACCGTGTCCAACCCTAAAGCCGCAGCTGACTTTCTCACCAACCTAGACCCTATAGCCCATATGGGGGTTTCGGAAAATAGTGGACCGTAAGATAGTACCCCAAATAGTAGGATCCTGATTATAAGAACCCCGAAATAAGGTACCCCTATTTTCGGAAACGCCCATATAGAGCCATGTGCAAACCGTATGAAGCCCTAAGGAGTTGATCCGTCGGGAGCTGGCTGCAGTGGCCATGGCTCTTTCCCAGCAGCAGCGCGAGCCACTGGAAGGAAGTTGGAAGTGCTTAAAGTTCTCGTTTGTTGCTTGTACTACGTCTCTTATACACGTTGGTCTTCTGGCTTTAGAAGATTGTACACGGCTTCAACAGGGTGTCATTGGGGCTAAGGGTTCCTGAGCCCGAAAACAAAACCCTGCGCTGAGTCAACGGGGCGAAACTTACCTTTGGTTAGTAGGGAATGGAGGAATGGGGTACAATTATAAACTACTACTACTACTACTACTACTACTACTACTACTACTACTACTACTACTACTACTACTACTACTACCATATTACTACCATATTACTACCATATTACTATCATATTAATACCATATTACTATCATATTAATACCATATTACTATCATATTAATACCATATAGCTACTATTACTACCATTCTTCCATTCCCTGCTAACCAAAGGTAAGAGGATCAGGATCCACACGGCGGGCTCGTGTGATCTTTGCCTGGGTCTGTTTTTCGTTGTAGCTCCCCTGCGAATTTCACACAGTGTGTACGTGCGCAACTAGCAATATGTCATGTATATATGTATGTATATGTATATGTATATGTATATGTAGATGTACAAAGCAAACAAAAAAGAAGAGGGAGAGAGAGAGAGTGAGACACGAGAGCGAGAGCTAGAGCCACGGAGGGGGAGGGAGAGAGAGAGAGAGAGAGAAGGGGAGACAGACAGACGAGAGCGAGAGAGACCACAGCAATATCAACTTGCAGAGACATGGAGTCCCCTGACCTATTCATTTACGCTTGTGCTTGCGGTTCACGCCATGCTATGTACTGCACAACGTATCATGAGACGGAATGCATATCAAAAAAGCCGCATGTGAACTCCTGTATTCGTTTTATGGCTCAAAACCCCGAGCCCCAAATTGGATCCCCAGACCCTAAACCCTGTAATATAGGAACCTGATGAGGGAACTCTGGGTCTTTATTCGGGTTATTTATATGAATGCTGCTACTCTTGTGTAAAAGGGCATGGTTTTTTAACAGGGTTCTTACCTTACAGGCCAAACCCCAAATCGAGAAGCAGAACCCTAAACCCTGGGGCATCCTAGACCCTGCCCCTGGACCTTGAAACTGTTCGGGTGGTTGCTTGCGGTATCGCGTTCTACCGCAGGATACAAAGGAGATCGCTTGACGCCGAATATGCCGCCACCCAGAAGCCCTGGTGTGAGGTGGCGCCATCTTAGCAGCTTAGCATCGACTATCGGCCACTGCACCAGACCAAGAAGACGCCCTAAGCCCTAAACCCGAAGCCCTAAACCCTAAGCCCTTAACCCCTAAACCCCGAACCTAAACCCTGAACCCTCAACCCTAAACCCCAAACTGCAGACCCGAGTCTCCCATTCCAAGGACGGCCCAGGAGAACTTGGTCCAGGCGCCTGTGACCCCGGATCACCGCGTGCACATCGGGGGGATGGGGGGGAGTTAGGGGTTTAGGCATTTAGGGTTTGGGGTGCCTTAGTCTTAAAACTAGGGTAGACTTTCACCAGCTGGGAATCATCTTATTTACTAGTTGCTTACGCGTTTTGTTGCTTGGGCTTCGAGTAAGTCGAGTCCGGGGGGCTAAGCTTTGGGTTTCTTGGGGTGGAGGCGTTTAGAGTGTAATATAGGGGCCGTAATAACGACCTATACTATTATGGGGTTCCTATATTATAACTCCAGTATACTAGGGCCCAAAGCCCCATTCCAATTATGAAGGCCCCTATGTTGGAGTGTAGAGCCTATGGTGTTTGTGTGTGTTTTGGGGGGAGGCGGGGGAGACAGGGGGTCCAAACTCGAAAGCAACTCTGAGCCCGGAAACTTTTTCCAAAAACACGCTACAGCAACTTAGAAACACCAAAAGCGCCCTTGACCCACACGGTGGACAACACGCACATACACACACGTACAAAGCCTCTTGAATGCCACACTGAACCCAAAACCCTAAGCCCTAAAACTTTGACCAACCGAAGACCGTGAGAATCCAAAGTGGCGCCGAAACGTGAACTTTGTCGGTGTGGGACATCCCTACTTTGCTGGCTTACTTAGAGAGAAGACTATGCGATACCCCAACCTTAACCCCTTAACCCTTCAACCTCTGAGCCTTATGGTAGTTTTTCGGGTTCCTGTTTGGGTCACTACATTTTGAAATTAGAGTATGTAACCTTAACCTTTTTGGGGTACTATAATAGCCCCATATAACCCCAATGTATTCCTTTTTTATTCCCGTTTTACTCCGAATATAATCCTTATACAGCCCCGACATAATCCCAATATACTCCCAAAGCTTAACCTTTAGATTCCCGGGATATGCAGAGACCCAAATATCATTTAATTAAGGAACATTCCTTACGGAATCGTAGGATCCCTAATACGATTTCAAGGATATTCCTTCATTAAGCGATGTTGGAGTCTCCTAAACCCTAAACCCCATAGATCAGTTATGGATCAGTTTAAGGAACCCTAGGCCCTAGGTATTCCTTACGTAAGGGGTATTGGAGCCTCTGCTGAACAAGTAATATAAGGCCCTACATAATTACCAACACTATTGGGGCGCCATGATATAAGTATAGTATAATGGCCCGAAAAATTTTAAGTATAGTATAATGGGCCCCAAAACCGTATTCTAATTGTTAAGGCCCCTGTAGTAGGACGTTTCTGGAAGTCCCCGAGCAGGTTGGGCAGACGGTTCGCTCGGAGATGATGCCGCTGAAGGCGCCCCGGGCGAATAATGTAGGGGGCTTGAAGGGTTCCGTTAAAGGGAACTCCAGAAAGTTGGAATATGGACTAATGGTAGGATCCCCTATAATTTACCTTAAAGGGACTACGAAAATGATATTCCAACTTTCTGGCTTCTACTGTAAAGGGGTCCTGCAAGGGCTACTATAAGGATTACTATTGGGGGTTTAGCGTACCTTGATGATCAGAACAAGGTTTCGGCGGTTCCTAGTAGCTGAGTAGGTAACCTTTAACTTTTGGGGTTTGTACATTGAAGAGGTTAACCCTTTCTGGACTAGGGAACTCAGCCCCTCGGCAGGGCAATACCATTTTGGGCGATCCTTACTATAAATATAGTGCAATATGTCCCAAAACCGATTCTAATCATTAAGGCCCCTATATCAGGCTTTTGGGTTTTTAGGGCTTGGGGTTGAGGGCTTCGGGTTTAGGGTTTTGGGTGTAACCTCAAACCCTCCCCACCGGGCAGGATGCCACGATTTCGGCTGCCGGAACGGTGGATGCCAAAGTCAATGAGATGAACGAATCCTTGAGTCTCCTGCTTGAGCTGAAGGTTTGGAGTGACTTTTGGGGTTGGGGTTCTGGGCTTAAGGTTTAAAGGTTTCCGAGTTGTGTTGTACGGGTTTTACGCGCTTTTGCTTGACTCAGCATGTCTTCAGACGGGCGCTTTAGAGCGGTTCAGCGGTTCTGGGCCTCGTGCGTCGCGATTCGAAGACCTCAGGCCTCTGCAATTCAGGGATGAAGGTTGGGTACTGCCCCCACTCAGTAACAGTTGGATAATATTCATAATATAGATATATAAGGCCCTTAATAGTAGCCCTATTATAGACTGTTACTGTATGGGGGCCGTACCCAAGATGAAGGTGTTAAAGGTGCACTCCTGGCGCGGCATATAGCAGGATCCCGGTGTAAACTGAACCCCATATAAGATACCCCTAACTTGATGAAGCCCCCCCCCCCCACAGACCCTTCATAAAGCAAGCTTATACAACCCGTTCAAAACCCTGAGTTTTTTATCCAGGGAAGTGAAAGAAATCGAGGAAATAAATGCCAGCCATGTGGCGTTGAAGGAAGGCGGTGATATCTCTTCAGCTGAAGCACTCACGACAACAGTTCAGGTCCAGACCGGGCAGGAGACCGGTGTTTAGATCCGCCTGCTGTCGACACTCCCATGACAGATAGGTCTATCAGCCTGGACACTTGAGCCTTGAGCCGTCTCTAGTATAGGGGCCTAACTAATTGCAAAAGGGCTGTTTTGGGGCCCACTATGCTATAACCAGGCTGTTCAGTGGTACACTTTTATACTTTCAGATTTCTGGGTTCCTATTATAAAATAAGAAGCCTAAAAAAGTATATACTTTTTCCCAGTGGGTTACTGAACAGCCTAGATAATTCTAAGATGGAACCCACAAAATGGTATAGGTATTTCTTCAGGCCCCTATAGCACGTCTTTCAGATCTTTCCAAGAGTCAGTTCACTCCCGACCTGCGCCCAAGGTCAGAGCATGACGCGTTTCGAACTGGGCATCGACAAGGCAGGCTTCTTACCATTGGTTAGTAGGGGTTTAGGGTTTAGGGGTTTAGGGTCTTGCAATTGGTTAGTACGGAATGGAAGAATGGTACTAATAGTAGTAATAATTGTACCCCATTCCTCCATTCCCTACTAACCAAAACTAAGGTTTTCCATAGTCTGTGGGGCTTACCTTTAACCTTGTTGGGGGTACGGTAATCCCAAGTTGTTAAACTTGATCCCAGAGGATACTGGACAGGTAAAGGGGACTGTCAATCAATAGAATAGATTCTGAATAGATGGTTTGATGTTATTTTTGACTGTGTATTCTACATTACATGAGCGATAGGGGGCTTTGAGTAGTTAGAATAGATGTTTTACCTGTGTGTCATAGGGTCGCGCCAGAAAGGCCTAAGTCATTGCAGTAGGGCTAGGGCTGGGGTGTTTGCTTGAAAAAATATCCGGTTTACAAGGGGATGATATCATCAGACCTTTGTGTTGATTTCCCGCGGACCCGAATGTCCGGCAATAGGGTTCCCTACTGGTCTGGCGTACGCTTGAGAAATCTTTTTGGAGATGTTGATCGGGCTTGTACATGTTTAGAGACTGCAGTATCCCTTTATTGAGATCATTGAGGTTCCCTTACACGGTTCCTTCTTACGATGTGCAAGAAGTCCTTGACTACAGGTTCTGAGTTACTCAGACTCGACGATCCTCGGTGTTCTATGTAGAGGTTCGAGGTTAGAGTATGGGCCAGAATGCTGGAACATTTCTCATCTCAACCCATATCATTCCCGGGTCGATACCCTTTCTGGGGATTCTGATGATTCTGTTGTCTGGGTCCTTTATGAAGAGCTTGGAGGGTCATGGTACTTAGTACGTAAGGTTATAAGTACCTTAAGTGGGGTTAGAAGTAAGTATACGTATAGATGCCTTAGTAGCCCCGCTTACTAAGTCCCGCGACCCTCTAAGAGGTTTTGGCAGGCATTCCAGCTCTTAAGAAAGAGAGAGAGAGAGAGAGAGAGAGAGAGAGAGAGAGAGAAAGAGAGAGAGAGAGAGAAAGAGAGAGAGAGAGAGGGAGAGAGAGAGAGAGAGAGAGAGAAAGAGAGAGAGAGAGAGAGGGAGAGGGAGAGATAAGAGTCATGCAGTTGCGCCCCATATCCAACACCAGCTAACAAGAGCGTCATCCCCAGCATCGATGTCGTTCTCTTCAACTCACTATCATGATTGTCCTCGTGGTCGTCATCGTCATCATAAGCCAGCAGCATCCTCGCCGTAAGCTACTTCACTCTAGCCTTTGTCATAGTTGGGCAACATTTTACATGTTTAAGGGTACTTAAACCCAATCAGGAATAAAAATGTAAATTTTCAATCCTATCCCAACCATGAACTAGTAGCCTCCTCTCGGATCGTCCTGGCTATCATTGCTTGTCTCTCCTTGATCTTACTCTTGCGATGGCTCGCCGAAGGCTTTGCAGACGATAGCCCCAGACCGAAAGCCTTCAATCTTCGACGTAAAACCCAAGACCCGAAACCGTAAACCCAATACCTTACACCCTACTATAGGGGCCTTAAGAATTAGAATAGGGTTTGGGAGGGGGATTAATTATACTATAATTATAATAAGGAACCCCCCAAACCCTATTCTAACTATTAAGCCCCTACATGAAACGTGAAGGTTTTGCAGACAGTCGACTCGGCCAAGGGTGCGAAGGATGAGGCACAAGGGGGGCACTGGCCTTGCTTCTTCATGACGTTTGGGGCCAGGGGGGTGGAGGGGGTTTAGGGTTTAGGGTTTGGGGACGGGCGGGGTGGAGGGGGTCAGGGTGTTCTTAAAGTCAGATCAAGGGATGGAGCATTCGAAGTACGCTGCTTCGAGCTCTTAGCTCGAAGGGGAGCGGACAAGTGTGTGTGTGTGTGTGTGTGGTGCAGGTATGTATGTATGTAAAACATATATGGGCTCCTGAGGAATAGTAGGGAGTGCACATCTGTGGAGATATGTTGTAATAAAATCCGTACTTCCTATGGTTTCGGGTTAAGGGTGTACCATGGTTACGTTGACATCAGTCGTTACTTGAAATGCAAAACTCAGTACTCTGCTCTGAAAGGTCTAAGTTTGGCGTTCGTCCGGAGATGGCAATGCAACCGGGAGGGGAGGAGGAGGAGGAGGAGGAGGAGGGGGAGGAGGAGGCATGAGGCATGAGGCTTTTAGGGTTCAGGGACTTAGCATGGTTTGGGGTTAAGAGGTTGCAGGCATATTCGGGTTTAGGGTTACTCACAGGGGCTCTTGCAGGCTTCCCTATGCAGGCGGTTGATTCCATGATTTTAAGGCCGAAACTAGGTCACTCTCAATGCTGCTGCCTCGTTGTGGGCTACACGCTGAGACTTCACCTACACATGGAGGCAATACCCTTATCGAGGAAGATTCGCTACGCTCAGCCTCAACTTTAGCCTGCGAGAGCCCTTGCAGCAACAATCCTTTCAACTGCAGCTACGAAGGGCTTGGTATACCGAACCCTGCACCCTCAATCCTGAACAAACCTTACGTCGGAGTTATAACAGGGCATTGACATTCCTCCAGTTGTCCCTGGACCGATGACTTTTATGCTCAAAGCGGCAAAATATCCGTCCCATTTCGCTTCGAAGCGGCTGCTCCAAATCCTCCCTAATGTCCCCTAGAACCCTACACTCCAAGTTCTGAGCCATGCAGCGCTGTTAAGGGGGAACTCCACAGAACGCGCGTCCCGACGGCGTTCTGAATCCGTCAAGCTAAGGGGGAACTCCACAGGACGCGTGTTCCGGCAGCATCCCGACGGCGTTCTGAATCCATCGAGCTAAGGTGGAACTCCACAGGAGGCGTGTTCCGGCAGCCGTTAATGGGGAACTGAACGCGCGTCCCGAACCATCTCTAAACTCTACAGGAAACTTAGCCTTAAACCCTAGTGATCCCTAAACCCTCAACTCCAAACACTAAACCCACCCGTCATCGAAGGTCAGGCTCTAAGCCCTAAACACCCCCTCCCATCCTACCCGCAGCCCTCCTGGTACCTAAACTCCTAAACCTTCAAAGCCCCTTTTTCCGCAGGGCAAGCGCGGAGGCCGTGGAAGCTCCGACCGTGGCTGAGACCTGAGAGCACTGGAGACCTGCACCAAGCACGAGCTTGGTCACCATGCTCCATCCCAAACCCCGGGGAGGAAGCCCCAGGGTGTAGGATCCAAACGTAGGTCCATGGAGAGTCTTTTCTACAAAAGCACTTGAACGGCTAGTTGCATTTGGTACCAAATCGGGGGTTTACTCCTCGCCCGGTTTTGGGATGCTGAGAAGGAGTAGCAGGATTTGAAGCGCGCTGGGCTTTGGCTGTCGACGTTCGCTCCTTGGAATATTGTCACATGTCAAACGTCGCCACCCTCATCATCCGCATCCTAAGTCGCTGTTTCATCGTTGGGCTGAGCCTCAGTTTTAGCTTTCGAAGGACACATTGCAAAATCAGTTTGCCCTATCGTTCCATCCTTGCCTTCATCCAGCACTTCAGTGCCCCGTGGTTGTTCGCAGCCTGGTTTCGACCCCGCCGCGCCTGCATTTTTGATCACGGCTTGCCATGTGAAGACCACAGCAGTGCAGTCCAATTCGTGCAACTTGTTTCAATTACTGCGAACATCCTGAAGAGAAGTGTCCCTGAAACCTACACCCGCTCCAAGCCTCAACAGCTATCCCAGTCCAGCACCGATCATATTTCCCGCGGCCGGCACCCGAAAGCCCTACAAACTCTCACAGCCCAGAACCCTATATCTCTACCTTCACAGCAACTCTCATTCATTCAGTACAGCAACCCTCAGACCCGAAAACGCAACCGCGGATGAAGCTGGTGAGCCCTGTGTTGTTTATACAGGTTCCGAATCGTGGAGTTTCAGAAAACCGCTGACCTCAATGTCTAACCGAAGGGTCGGGGGTAAGGAGTAATCAATAGTCGCCCGATTGCGTCCCACATATTTATATATATATATACACATACATACATATATATATATATATATAGATATATATGTTTATGAATCGTTATATATACATACATATCTATATATATACAAATGCTTATGCTCTAACAAGACCCAAAACCCTGTTTGAAGTCCCCAGGCCCCAATATCGATTTCCTGCAGCGAGGTCCATGTTAGAAATCCTTTCGATCGCTTTGCTTACTTACTTCAGGTTTCCCATCGTTCATATGTCAGGAATCCTTTTTTTCGTTTTTCGTAGTTACTTGGGGTTTCCCAACAGTCAAACTCAACTTAAATTCCTCCCTCGCAGGGACTCAGTAGCAAGCGGAATCTCCTTATTCGGGTCCTGAAACGAGGCACCCCTTCTTTCACGAGCCCCATACGGCCCCCAAGCGGTCTTCTGTATGTATACATTCGAACTGACTGATCGTGACCCCCTCAACCTGGGCCGTGCAGTTGGGGTTTTGCGGAAACGGAGCTGGGAATGTCCCGAAACCCTTAAAGACTAGCTCCGTTCCCAAGTATAGTCCCAAGTACACTGCAGTAGCTTCTTTGCGGATCTAAGGACGTAGTGCCTTTTTGAGTGGGTCTTCGAGGACCCTTCAGGCGAATTAAACAATGGGATCCCGTAAAGGGATCTTGTACTATCTAGGCTTCGAAGAGCGGTGCCTGTCCTTTAAGTGGCCTACTGGCATGAGAACCATGCCAGTGCGGTTTGAACGCCCTCTTTTTTCTGGGATTTGTTGTTGGCAGACCCTGAGAAAGCGCTAGTAAGTACTGTGGCAGGTGTCGATATTGCGGAGACCCTGATCACACAAAAGGTGCAAGAGCTCCTTGCAGAAAAGAGGGTGCCATGGCACTTGATCCTGATCATCGCTTGCAATCATTTTTTTAAGCGCTCACGTGCCGCTGGAGAAGCTGCGAATGGACCATGACGATACACTAGGGCGCGAATAGTGAGTGTTGTAAATCCCCCCGAGCACAGCTACAGTATAGACTAAACCCTCCAGTCCCAAAGCCGTGGCAAGCTCTAGACCTCACGAGCCTGCGTGTTTTGTGTCGTTTCGATGAGCCACAAAGGATAACAGTGATACGATTACTGCTACTTCTACTAGTGATAAATAGCAGGCATAACAAAAGTTATCATCATGAGAACAGCAATAGTTCGAATAACGAGAGTACGAACACTTTTGGCAATAGTGACAATAGTACTGATGATAACAATCGTGGCGTTGATCACAAAAGCAGTAATGTCCCTAGGGCCTAAAACTCGTGTTTAGCGTTTCGAGTTCTTTGGCCGTGAGCTCTCCGCAAACTCCTCCTTGACGAGGACAAGTTCCGCCGCAGGCTCCCGCTTTCGCAGAGGTGTTAGTGCCTGTTTGGGAGTTTCCGAAAACAGGGGACCCTAATATAGTACCCTAAATGGTAGGATCCTTATTATAGGGACCCCCAAAACAAGGTACCCCTAATTTTCGGAAACTCCCGTTTGAGTCCGGGTATCTGAGCTCCCTTGAAGCATCCTTATGGGTTAGAAGCTGCCCCCGCCCTGTAATAGTGGTATAATAGGAATATAATAGGGCCCTAATATAGTATTAATATAGTCCTTATGGTCACTATTACAGGGTGGGGGCAGCTTCTAACTTATGGGTTTCGGGTCTAGTTTGTTTTGTTGCAAGGGTTTCGAGGGTTTGGATCTAGGCTTGTTTCAGGGGGCTTCTTTGGGTTTAGGGGTTGCTTGGGGCTTTAGGGTTTATGTTTGTTTGGAACTTCTTTGGATTTAGGGGTCTCGGGTTTAAGGTTTAAGGTTTGTTTTTGTGATTTGGGGGGGGGTGGTTGATGGCGGTGGCATGAGTTGTATGTGATTGTCATCATCGTTATAAGCCATCATATCTTGCGACGGTCTGGGTTTAAAGTAGAAAGTTGGAATATGATTACCCTAAACCCTTTATGGTAAGTTATAAGGTATCCTACCCTGAAACCATATTCCAACTTTCTGGAGTTCCCTTTAGGGTGTAGGCTTTAGCTTCAGGTCTTTGGTTGCCTCAAAGGGGAAAAGGAGGGGCCCTTAATGGGTATATACCTAGGGGTCCTTATTCGGTGCCGGAGATCGAGCTTTAAGTCATGCCGAGCGGGAGCCTCTTAGAATTACAGGCGAGCGCACTTGCTACGCTCCAGCGTACTGTACCGGTGTGCGAAATCACTGAGCGCACCGAGCATCGGCGAAAAAAAGCGCACGAAAGCGAGCATAAGGAAGCCTGCCATCCCAGTACTTACTAGTCTGTTTCTCACCGCGTCTTTCCTTGAAAGAGTTTTGGAAATGCCAGTCATTTACGAGGACATGGTGCCAAGTTCCTACGACTCAAGGATTCTAGGTTCTTGATGAATCGGTTCGATGCGGACAACTACAGTGGCAGATTCTTGTATTCCTAACTATACTGTATCATATTATGTTATACTGTACTATATCTTAATATATTATAACATACTCTATTATATCAGGTTATACTATGTTATAAGATATTGCAGTACAGCTACTTGAACATGGTTAGTTTCATCCAGCCTTGCTTAGAGGCCCAGAAATATAGTAGGTTGTAAGTAGCGTTGCAAGTACCCTACATGGAGTTACCCCAATTATAAGTCTACTTGTAACAGACTTACTAAGTCGCCCAGTATAGTACCCTATAGAAACCCCACAGAAACCCTTATAGATCCCTTTAAGGAACCCTAAAAAGGGACCCCTGATAACAGACTTACTAAGTCCCCTGGGCCTCTACCCAGAATTTCGGGAGGATCTGGAAAGTAGATCCCCTAATTTGGGGCCCTATACTACTAAGGGTACTTTATAGGAATCCCCATCAAGGGATCTACTTTTTGGATCCTTTCGGGGTCTGGGTAAGTGGGCCTTCAAGTCGGCCCCTGGTCGATGTGGGAGGGCGGAGGGGTCCGGGAGCCTCTTATTGGGCCTCAGGGCCAAGAGGCTTCATGATTTAGGGTTTAGGAGTTTAAGGTTTTTTGTTAAAGGGTTTAGGGTTTTTTTTAGGGGTTTTGGGGTTCAGGGTTTGTTTTATGGGTTTAGGATTTAAGGGTTGAGGGGTTTAGAGTTAAGGGGTTTTCGGGGCTTTAGGGGTTTAGGGTTTAGGGGCGCTGTGAGGTTGACGATGTGGGAACCCTGAACTCTAGACCGTAAACCATTTGATGGTTTTCAGGATTTAGGGGTTCGGGGGATTTATGGCTTTGGGGTTGTGTGACATCCTACTCCCGTGCAAAACATGCAGTCAGTCCCTTCGCAAGCCCTTTGAAATCCTCGGAAGGCTTTTGCACAACCCTATGCAGCGCAAAAAAGAAGCCTCAGCAACCTGTCATTCTTTTATGAAGCCATACGGGAGTTTCCGAGAATTAGAGGTACCTTATTTTGGGGTCCTTGTAAGAAGGATCCGACTATTTAGGGTACTATATTAAGGGCCCCTGCTTTCGGAAGCTCCCATACAGCAGTAGCGTGAGATCTTCCAAAGCCTGTTCTCATCGTGTAGCCTCCGATGTTCAACGCTCGCCAAGGTTGCTCACCGTGCTACAGCTGCGCAATGGAAAAGATTCCTTGCCTGCCTGCTGCAGAGCTCTTGTTGTTAGTAGGACAGGGCAGTAGCAAATTGTGTGAGCTGCCACTAGAGGAGAAACCATAAGGCCCAAACCCTAGAGAGGGATTGTGGAGGAGCTCAACATGCATTCTTGGCCTAGGCAACATCCCAAACCGCGAACCCCTGCAGCCTTAAGCCCTTAGCAACTAAGCAGGGCTGAGGGTGTAGGGTGACATAATATGATAAAACGCGATACAACAAGATACCATATCATAAAAATGCATGAGGTTTAAGATTTGGGCTTTAGGATCTCGCACGATCATCAGTTTCGGCAGCATTGCTTCTGGCTCAAAGAGCGCCAAATTCCGTATTCAGGGGTACGGAGGGATGAGGACATCTTGGGAAAGTATTCCTAAACTCCTTGGACAGCCCGCTCCTCAATGACCTGCGGGGTCTGTCTTAGTCAAGGTTTGGGGCGTAGGGCTTTATGGTTTGGGTTGATCCCTACCGCAACATCCCAAAACATATCAAGGGCTTACAACATACCCTATTTCTAAAGACCCCGAGCCCTCCCTAAACCCTAAATCCTAAATTCTAAACATATCCTATGTCTGAAGTCCCCGAGCCCTCGATCTTCTAGCTAGCCATGTTGCCCTTCAGCAATGACCCGTCCTCCGCAGAGTCCTACGAGGCATCGCGCTTCTGGGGGGAGGGCGGGAGAACCCAATGGTTTAGGGTTCAGGGCTCAGGGGGTTAATCGTCGAAGCTGTAAATCACGAGCCGACTAACCCAGCAGGCAGGGGGGGGGGGGGGGGGGCTTGCACAGAATTCCTGCCGGGGCCTACCTACCACCGGCGGAGGTGTACGTTTCCCTGCTTGCCTTAAAGCAAACCCAACCCTAAACCACGGCAGAGGACTTCCTTCGTGGCGAGCTGGTGTCCCTCGCAGACCGGCTGGTTTCGAAGTACCAAGCGGCCCTGGATCGAGGAGCAGGCCCTGTAGTCCATCCCTAGGCTTCCTTTAAAGGGGTCCTTTAAAGTGGTCCTTTAAAGGGGTCCTTTAAAGGGATCCTTCAAAGGGGTACTACAAGGGGAATTCTGGGGGCCTTAAGAATTAGAGTACAGTACGGTTTTTACGGCTTACTATTTAGAAGTAGGGTTCTGAATAATTCGAATAGGGTTTGGCGGTATGATGATACTATAACTTTAATAAGGAGCCACCCAAAACCTACCTACATTAGACTGAAGCTTTCAGGGTTTATAGTTTAGGGTTTGGGGAGCTGCGAACGAGAGACGCTTTTTCAAGAATATAGAGAAACATAAGAGGTTTTGTTCCAAAAGCAGGAAAAGGCACGCTACCCCTCGGCAGGAAACTACAGAGCTCTTCTACCGTGCAAGCCTAGTCGTCGCGGTTTAGGGTTCAGGGTTGTTGAGTGCCTGTAGTGAAACCCCAGCCGTTTTCTCCCTCTTTCAACGGTGCAGACAATGGTTAGACCCTTTTTTGTTGACCCAAAACAGTTTTCAGGTCAACTTTCTTTGTTTTTAAGCCTTTGTAGATCTGAGTAAACTCCGAATTAGACCCAAAAAATTCGATGGGGGCGGTTCACATCTCGAGGTGGACTAAACGACTTTGGGGTTCGTTGATCTTATGCGAGATCGTCTCGCGGAGTTTATGAAAGTTATATTCTATTAGAGAGTTTATACCCGTCCAAGGTATGCAGCGAGTGAACGAGAGAGTCGATCCGAGTGTGAGGACAAAGACAAAATTTTAGGGTCTAAATGTTAACTAAAGGTATATAGTACCGGCGACCCCATTTGAATTTTAGGGTAGAAATACACCAAATGCGTCGGTATACAAGTCATATACAAGTTGTTCAACCATCAGTCAATATGGCATATCCTTAAGCAGTATAAACTCCCTATTTGGATAGATCTTTTTATCTAGGGGATTGCCCCATGGATTAACATCATATGGGTTGGTAGTAACTCCAGATCGTGTTGTTTACTTTCGACTGAGAGGATCGTTTATGGTTATCAGCGCCCTAAACCTAAACCCTGCACCGTAGATCTTAAACCCTAAATCCTAAACCCTAAAAAGCCCCTTGAAAAATGGCCACGGCTCAAGGCGTCTGTGTGGCTCCGTCGTCGGCAACTCTCTCTGCGCACCCAAAGTATCATGGCAGAATCTGCTGAAATGCTGGACGGTTTCCACAGACTGATCGGCAGTCTTGCCAGCGACAGCATCGAAAATGCCTTTTGTACCAGGGTGGCCACCGTTCGCAACTGGATCGTGGCGGACCTCAAGGCCACTGGTTCTGGCAGTCCTGCGTGCATTTCTTTTCCATAGCTACCTGCGCGTACGGCACAGCGGCTGCCAAAACGCTGAAGGTGGAGAGACGCTCGAAATTCAAGGAATCAGCTATCCAGCTGATGTCTGCGGCCAACGAGCCCTGGACCAGTATTGCTGGGAAAATCAACGGCTTGATGCCGAATTCGGCTGCGGCGGCACTGTGGGAGATGTGTCTACTCATCTACGGCCTGTAACCTCGCTGGGTATTATAATCCCTTAAGTAGGTAAGGGTTCCATCTGGGCACTCAATACTTCGAGTATGTCGGCATGCACCTAGGTGCATGCATATCTGCATACACATTTGTACCTATGTATATGTGTTTTTGCATGCTTTAGCAATCTCAGACAGAGAAGCGCTCAACAAAGAAGATGGGGCTGCCTTTTACATGCTACAAGGTTGACGGGCAACGATATGCCAGAAGCCCACAATTCCCCAGTCGGCATTCCAGAAAAAAGGAGGAGAATAATGAACACTAGAAGTTGTGCAATGTGTATCGTGGACGTGGTTGCGCAACTGTCGGGGTTGCTACATTGTCAAACTGCAAGTTTCTGAGCCCGCACTCCAACAATGCTACACAAATATGTGTATATATATATATATATGTATATGTATATATGTACACACACACATGTTTATGTAGAAAGATGTGTGGTAGCACATACATATACATACATATGTATATATATATATATATGTATGTATGTATGTATGTTCATGTGGTCATTTACAACCAAGCATGCCTTCCAATCCTGGCAAGTTCATGAAATCAACCGTGCCGCTGTGAAAGGAGCTTGCAAGGGTCGAACAAAGCCTGCTTAAGGAAGTACAGTAGGTTTAGGGTTTAGGGTTTAGGGTTTAGGGTTTCAGGGTTTAGGGTTTAGGGTTTAGGGTTTCAGGGTTTAGGGTTTAGGGTTTAGGGTTTAGGGTTTAGGGTTTAGGGTTTAGGCTGCTTAAGGAAGTACAGTAATGTAGGAACCTGATTAAGAAACCCTGGGCCTATAACCCCCCAAAAGAGTAGGCTTCATATAAGGAACCCTAATAAAGTCCCAAGGTTCTTAATCAGGTTCCTACATTACCCTGTTTAGTGTTTTAGGGCTTAGGGCTTAGAGTTTAGGTCCCCTATAGCCCTAAGCAGTACCCCGTTTTAGTGTTTCAGGGTTGAGGGCTTAGAGTTTAGGTGCGTATAGCCCTGAGGGTCCCTATGGCCAAAGGCACCAGAGGAACCAGCGTCTTCTCTACTGCTTCCAGTACTGGTGAGGCCGGGAATCTGGGAGCTCGAACGACTCGGAGCAGGGGGGGGGGGGGGGCAGAATTTCAAGCTATTTTGGGGATTCCTTTAGTTATAGTATGATATGGCCCCTAAACCCGATTCTAATTACTAAGACACCCAAAGTAGTGTTGAAATGTCAGCTTAGAATCGTGCTGCCTTCCGGGCAGATTTTAACGTTAGTTGCCAAGCAAGGAAGGCTTAAATAATTACCGATACTATTTTTGGAGGAGGGGGACGTCTTATTATAGTTATAGTATAATGGGCCCCAAAACCATATTCCAATAATTCTTAAGGCCCCTATAGGAGCGAAACACCCACAACGATCCAAAACCGTGTCGCCAAAACCCTAAACCCTAGACCGATGCCCAACCTATACCCTGAACCCTCGAGCCTCGAATCTAACAAAAAATCTAAGAATCCAAAACGGTTCGGGTTTAGGGTTTAGGGGAAAACTGCTAAACCTAACCCCCTTTGATGGATTTGGACTTCACGGTTTTGGGTTCACGCTGCGGAGCTTCCCTACAACCCTAAACTATGGCTCCAGGTTTGTTCCCATTTGGGGGCTCCTTCATGAATGTACCGGGAAGGGACACAGAAGACCAAGGAAGTCGCGCGGTTTACTTGAACGTCTTTTCCTATATCTCCCAGTGACAGTCCAGTGAGCCCTCTATAAGACTATTCACTTCCAAAAAATGGAGCCTTTGTCAGCACTAGGGATCCTAGTTTGTTTTGCCTGGGGTTACTATAGGGGCCTCAACAAATAGAATCGGGTTTTGGTTTGGGGCCCATCATACTATACTTGTATTAAGGAACCCCCAAAACAGTATAGGGTAATTTTTAAGGCCCCTATAGTAGGGGTTAGGCTTAATTTTGGGGCCCATTACGCTATATTTATAATAAGGAACACCCAGAATAGTTTAAGGCCCCTATACTAGGGGTTACTAAGATGGCTTAAGGGGAGCCCTTAGGGGACGAAGTGCATTCCCCGATCCCCGGGAGGATCTAGAAAGTAGATCCCCTAATTTGGGGCCTTATACTACTAAGGGTACTCTACAGGAACCCCCATTAAGGGATCTACTTTTTGGATCCTTACAATGGTCTGGGTTTTGTAGGGCAGAATGGGGCTTTCGCGCATTTTAGGACTTTAGGACGCAGGAGCCTCCGAGGTGAGAGGATCTCTGTTTCTAGAGAGCTCCTTTTAATAGGGTTCCTTTTAAAGGGACCATTAGAATCGGGTTCCTTTTAAAGGGAGTTATAAGGGTTACTATTAAGGGATCTATAAGGCGTTCTAGAATTTAGGGGCCTTAATAATTGGACATGCGCCTTCTCTGAAATCCCCGGTTGAGTGGCGTAGGTGTTGCATGGGTTCGGGTCTAGAGGTTTTGTGGATTTTTGTAGCTGACAGGGAACTCTTGGTTTCGACCAGTTTCCATGTCGACAGAACCAGAACCAGAAGCCCGAACCCCAAAATCCGAGAACCCCGAAACATCGTGGTGGAGCGCTTGTGAATATAGGCCGAAACACAAACCCTGCAAGCCCGAACCCCGAACCACCCGAAACCGGCAAATCCGGCCAGCCCAACATCCTGCAAGCGCAGACACCCGACGCTTGGGACGAGTTGAGCTAAATCAAATCGGGTTCAAGTTAACCAAATTCGCTTACGTTTAGTTTAGCAGGCCTGTGTTAAGCTGCGTTAACTTAAGGGATTTGGGGCTCAGGCGTTCCAGTGGGGTCTAGGGCTCAGGCTTCCGGGGCATCCCTAAACGCTAGAGTTACGTGTAGCAAGGACGATAGTGCAACCATGACCTGCTGAGGATTAGGGACCCAAGAAGGACATAAGCATAAGCATGTTATAGGGATGTCCCTACCTTATTGGGCTTCATTATAAGGTGGCTTATATGGGATTTTCCTATCTTGATGTTTGCATATGTGCTTTTGAGGGCCCTAGAGGAAACATCCAGCCGACAATTCGGCCAACCGTGGACAACACGACTATCGCAAGAGTGGTTGTACTTAGTCGCAATGGTAAGTACCGCAGTACGACCCGCAGTGGCAGTCGCCGAACGATACTTTCAATCATGAATCATGGTTGTGGTTGGGACAACCTTGGTCACTTCTTCGACGTATGAATGTGGATGCCTGCGACAATGGAATGGTTTCAGTCATCTTGTGGTACCAACATGCGGAACGACCTATCTCCGAGCTCAGCACCTAAGCCCTCAATCCTACTCCAAACCTAAAGCCTAAACCCAATCCTCAACAGTCGGATTATCGGAAAACCCTGAAAAAGCGTCACATGCCGGAATTGCAGTCAGACAGATAAAAGGCCCCGCCGTTGGAGCTTTGCGGTTTAGCAATGGGGGAGGCTTGAGAAAACAGGGTCCCTAAGATAAGACCTCAGTTGACCCTAAGCAGCATAGACTTGTTTAGGCTTCAGGTGTTAGGGTCTGGGGTTAAGGCTTTCAAAATATAATTACCACAGCCGCAACGTCAGGTTCCTTAGCTTCAGGATGCAATTCATAGTTTTCTAGGTATATACCCTTAATATAGCTATGATATACCCATTATATAACCATTATATAGCCCATTACAGGGTAAGGGTCCCCATTAAGGGTCCCTCCTTTTCCCCTTTGATTTTAGGCGGCAGGCTTGAGAGTTGAGGGTTTTTGGATCAACGGTTTTGAGCTCTTTAGGGTGTTCTGGCTTAGGAGCTCTTTTTGCAGCCTCGGCGTAGAGTTTCGCCCGGGGGGCGGGGGCGGGGGGGGGGAGCTGAGCCGCTGTTATTTGTAGCTTTGAGTTTAATCTTTGATCTCCTTGGATGTTGGGGAAGCAAGCTACCGATGCTAGAAGTGAACTCCGAGCACCTTCATTGTAGAGGTCAGAACAGCTAGTACTAAACCCTAAGAACAGTTAGTACGGAACTCTGAGCCCTGGCTTTGAGCAGGTTTTGTAGAGAGATATTACTTAGAAAGGGCCCCCACCCTGTAATAGTGGTATAATAAGAATATAATAGGGCCCTAATATAATCCTTATAGTCACCATTACAGGGCGGGGGCAGCTTCTAAGATGTTACATCTGGTCCCTTGCTGCCTTGAAGCGGATCCTCACCTCTTCTTTGCGAACTTTCCAAGGGGTACTATATGAGCCTTAATGGCTGGAACAAGGTTTGGGAGGGGGGGTATATTATGCCATAAGTGTAGTAGGGAACCCCAAACCAGTATCGGCAATTATGTAGGCCCTTCCGTTAGCCCTCTTGGGCGGAACCACAGGTGGGTGGTTGTCAAAATTGTGGTCCCTTTTTGGGTTCTTAATATAATGCGGCACCTAATATTTAGGGTACCCCAGAAAGGAACCATAATTTTTGACAACTACCCAGGTGGAGGAGGAAACAAGTAAAGATGCTCCCTGCACTTTCGTCGATGAGCGGCTGCTGGGCTGAAGCCGGTGTCGATGCTTCAGGGTTCAGAGTTTAGGGGCCGTTGTGGTATGTTGAGTCATTGGGTTGTTTGTAGCGAGAGCTGCCCGAGCCGTCTAAGTGGGCAAATTTCATCATCAGCAGCAGTATCGGCAGCTGCTGGAGGAGGAGGAGGTGTAGTAGCAGTCGCGAGTTTAGGGTAGCGCCCGTCATAGCAAGACTCTTAATCCCTGAAACCCCAAAACTCCAATCCACGAAGGAGCAAGCCTTAGACCCCGAGCTCTCAATCCAAACAACTTTCTCCAAGAGACCAAAGAACGTCTTGCATTATTTAGGACTTAGGGTTTAGGGTTTAGGCTAGAGGTTTAGGGTTTAGGGTTTCTAAAACCTGGAAGAAACGGTCTGCTTTGAAGCCCTGTTGAAAGACAATAAAGAGGAACTCCCCCAAGGTGGGCAAATCTGACCTTGAACCTCATGGAGGCCCAAATGTACGGTTTAGGCTAAGGCTGCAAAGGTTCAGGGCTCTTGGCTTTGGCCAAAAGCCATGCAAGGAGCGTAAGATGTTTGACAAGGGAAGGATTGTCTAGCAGCTTCGAGGGTTGATAAAGTTTTAAGGGCCCTATAGCCAGGGGTTCAAGGGGTGTTGTATGCTGTTTCAAAGTTTCTCTCGGGGTGTGTATTCTTCGTGGGCTGTGTTTGATTCGGGTATCATGTTTAGGGCATCAGCAAAGAGAATCATACGATTCGGCTCTTCACTGGGATCTATCATCTTCTGAAATTTTCAGATAGCACAAAGACAAGGTCTACGTTTGGGGGGGAGGGGGAGATATGTTTGCAAACCAGGAAGGGTTTTCGATGCCCCACTTGGATGCATGTTGGAGCAAACAGCCTTTGGGGCGTAAAGTTCAGAGTTCCTGTTTTTGGGCTGAAAAACCCTGGAACATGGGACTCCTACTTAGAGGTCCAGGGGACTTAGTCTTGTAACTCTACTTACAACCTACTTACTAAGTCCCCTGCCCCTCCAAGTAGACCCTAAACCCAAAACCTCATAGATCCCTTAAGGAACCCTGTAGATCCCAATAAGGAGCCCTTTAAAAATCACCTACTTACTAACTCCCCTGGAACATGGGACTCCTACTCTTCTTGCGAGGGGCTTGGGTGGCTTGGTTTCTTCTCACGCCGCTCCGTGCTGGCGGCATCCTTCTAGAGTCTGATAGCTAATATACCGTAATTAATTAGTTAATATATATATATATATATATATGTATATATATATATATATATATACATATGTTTACATATTGTATACATATATATAAATATACATATACATACATATCCTGGTGTATTATATTACTATAAACAGCCTTCGTTGGTGGCAACACCAACTGGATCACTCCTAACCCTACTTATCACGATGCAGGAGCAGGACGAAGTTGCCGGCAAGCAGTTTGTTGGGCATGTCCTTCTGCTGCACCCGAGGGGGCAGGGGGTCATATAGAGGCCTTAATGATTAGAAAAGGCTTGGCGGGGTGTTATACTATAACTATAGTATAGGAGCATTATACCGTCAGGATCCGTTAGGGGTATGGGGTAGCTTATGATACCATTGTGTGTTGGTGCAAGGCATGGCTCCAAGAAATGACATCTTGGCAGCATCGCATGATTGCTTGTAGAAGTAGAAGCAGTTCTACAGCATTGTGAGGCATGAAGTATGGTCAATTTCTTGCGGGGAAGGGGGGCTCCTGCGGCTTCCAAATCTCTCAGAGAACTTCCGATATTTGGTGTTATAAGTGTCTTTGGTTCTACGGAGTTGCATAGGGCGTTGAGGTTGTGCGTGAGTTTTACAGCCGCATTCCTGAGTAAGGGCTTAGGCGTTGGGCGTGCCTGGCAAGGCATCCTTACTTCTGGGAAAGTGGACTTCCTGATTCAGTCACATGGAAGACCACGGGACCCCGTAAACAAGTTTACAATCTCAACCCTAAACCCTAAACCCTGAACCGTTACAGTCACGGTTCATCCTGAATTGTAAACCCTGAAATCCACTTGGCCCTATTCGGATCCGAAGGCGACGTCACTGTCAAGATAAGTCTCTTGAGGTTAGAGACTTGGATTCGGGATTTAGGAATCCGGCTTGAGGCTTTACAGGTGACCTACCATATTACTGCCCACCCTGCTCTCACAGGTTGTCCTAGCTCGTCTACTTCGATGGTTTGGGGAGTCGAGTTTAGGGTTCAGGGTCTAGGGTTTAATTAGGGTTCAGCATATAGGGTTTAGAGTTTCGGGATGTTTATCCGTCCTCTCGCTGTCCCAGACCCCGGAAACTTGCAAAGGGGTTGAATAGGTACTGTAACCTGAAACAGCTAGTTGGGCATGTAAACCCCTAGCATAATCAAGAGGTCAACCTCTTTGATGCTAGGGTACTCACCCCTTAAGTGAAGGATCTACATTATAAGAGAATCCTACAACAGCTACATGGAATGGATAGTGCTGGGAAAGTGTTGTTTTACGACCCAGCGCTATGGTGAACTCGTACCGCCACAGTACAAAAAGCTCAGCTCAGAGGTCATGATCGGAGTTTGAGATGGTCCCCACCTCATAGCTGCGTGGGTATCGGTCGAAGTTCTCAGAAATAATTCCGAGCCCTGAATGTTTTTCCCCCAGACCCAGCAACCTGGAGACCCAAAGAAGCTCCGAAGCCCTCAACCGACCTGTCGAAGGTGATCAGCCTCAGGAATATCGATCAACAGGCCCAGCTGAGTCTTCGAGGCCCAAGAAGGAGGGTTTAGCGGTGGCGGCTTGTCGATTTGAGAGATTCGCCTTGTCGAGAAAGTGTGAGGGTGTATATGGTTAGGATTTCTGGGTTTGGGGTTTATCCGTTTGGGGTTTGTGGGTTTCGTGTGCGCGGACCTACAGCTTATCGTTGCTGTTGGCGTCGTGCCAACCGCGCTGGCAAGCGCTGTATTAGGGCATGATGTTGGCAAATGTTGCTTTCACTACTGTCGCTGGAGGATATCATTGGCAGCAGGAGGTCACCCTAACTTTTCATGCTCAACGGGTTTGTAGTTTGGCGACGGCTGCTGCAGCTTTTGCATCGCTAGTGCTGTGAGTGTCCGGGCTTCAAGCTTGTGGTGTTTTTTGCCAATGACAATGTGGCCAGGGTGGTTACAGGACGAGGCAGTTTGCATTTTGGGTTCTGCTGCTTGTTGAGGGGATCTCCCAAAAATTAGCTTTTGGCTTTACGTTCGAAGAGGATAAGGGACTTCGCCCTCAAGGAAGGAATCCAACAGCTGTCAAGAGAAGTTTGAAATTCGTTGGCTGTCATAAGGGTGAGGTTGGCGACTGAGGGTCTACACGTCCTCAGCCCTTCAAATCCCCAAAACGCACCGAAAGCCACCAGCAAACTTCCCCAAACTGCAAAGGGAAACCCCAGAACCTACACTTTGAACGCGGTCCACAACATCAATTAAAGAAGCTTGAACCCTGAACCTTCAAGTTCCATCTTAAACGTCTCAACGCCCCAAACCCTAAACGACCCTAAACCCTAACAGGAGGTTCGATCTTCCATTTCTCAAAAACCCAAAGCCTTAATAGACCCCAAACTCCCTGAACCCTAAACCTGGAGCCCTAAATTCTGTTTAAACTTTAAATCCTAAACCCCTGAACCCCTAAAACCTTACACCATAAACCCCCCCTAGAGCCTTAAACCCTAAACCCCACTAAACCCCCTTTCACCCCTAAACCCCCCAAAGGCCCCTAAACCTTAAACCCCCTAAAACCCGTAACCCCGCCGAAACCCTAAACCCCTAAACCCTAAGCCCTTACCGCCCCAAAAAAGCCCCCTAAACCCTAAACCCTCAGCTAAAGCCCCAAAAAGGCTCCTGGCAGTTCTCCTGGGCCGAAGCGCGTCGCCTCGGCCGCCAGCGGACGGCGGAGAAACCCGGGCCCACAAGGCGGCGCGTCACCTCTGAGGGGAGGGGTCCTCCAATATCCTTATAATTAGGGAATATAGCCTTTAAGTCATATTAAGGACCCTACTATAACTTATAAGGTCTATACTTTATAAAACCCTTGTTGATCCCTCTAAGGCGCCCTTAGGGGCAGATTCCTTAATCTGAGGGAGGGGTCCTCCCTTAATGGGGGTTCCTATAAAGCCCCTGCTCCTACTAGGGATCCTTAAGGGTTCCTTTAAGGCATCTATGGCGTTAAGGGTCCTTAGTAATTTCAATAGAGTTTCGGGCCCCCTTAAAGTATGGGAGCCCCCCAATATGGTATTAGTAATTATTTAGGCCCCTTTATTAGGGATTTAGGGGTTTGGTTTAGGGTTTTGGGTAGGGGTTTAGGGTTTAGGGGGTTTTGGGTTTGGGTTTGTTTGGTGGTTGTGGGGGTTAAGGGGGTTTACGTTTTAGGGTATTTAAGGGGTTTGGGGGGTTAAGGGTTCAGGGGGTTCGGGGTTTAGGGTTCAGGGTTTAGGGTTTAGGGCTATTTCTGGTTCCTTTCACCCCTAAGAAACAGCAAAAGTTCATTTTTTGCTATGGGTCTAGGTTCAGTATAGTCTGAGCGGAGGGGGAGGGGGATGTGTGTGTGTGTGTACATGTGTGTGTGTGTATGTATATATATATATACATATTTATATATTTTTGTTTATTTATTTGATTTACTGATTTATGTATTGATGTATTTGTTTGTTTGCATGTTTATTCGCATTTGCTGACTTATTCGTTCATTTATTTGTTCATTCATTCGTCTCTAGTTCTTCATATGTTCTTCATTTGCAACACTTTATCTATATTCATACACGAGTTTTCTGAAGAGGTTTCTGTAGGGTGTCAAAGGAGTTTGGGGTTTTTGGGACTGCTTTTCTTGAAGGTTCTTGTTACCATAGTAGTAGGGGTCTATAGTGCATAGTATATGGTCTTTCGCTTCACCGGAACTCCGGATTTGAGGCGTTGGGCTTCTGAGATTCATTCCGACAGGCTCCATTATTTGTAGGAGATTCAGGATGTTGGGCAGAGTCTGGGGGTTCTGGCCGGGGGGGTGCTTGGCACCGAAGGGCCAACTTTCAAACCATTAGCGGCCACAAATTTATTTCCCTTCACACCGCAAGCCGCAGAAGGCTACAGTAACCGGTTTAGGGTTTAAGGGTAACCTAGGGGTCGGACTTTTCCTCATTAGTGTCCCTTGTCGTCCCTGTTGAGTGTTTACGAAAATGAACATCGAACCCGAGGCAACGACACACAGGACTTTCGCGTGTGAGAGTCTCAGGCTACAGTCATTCTGGCATACCAGAGTCTGATTTCTCATCTGGAAATGTGTTTCAACATATTGGTTCACCGCACGCTTTTCAGGTCTACGGCTTAGGTTTGTTGGGATTCGAGGTCGTGCCAGAGGAATGCAGAAGTTCATAGCGTGGAGCCTGCGACCAGAAGTCTCTTCATGTGGTCCTTTCCATCTTCTTTGGAGTGCAAGATTTAAGGTTTAGGGTTTCGGGGTTCAGGGCTAAAACGACGAGCAGGTTCAACGATGTGGTGGAGGATGACTCCTGGCTCCAGCGGTTCGTGGTGGGCCCGGAGAGCGCTATCCAGTGTCCTGGAAAGAACCTCACAACCCTAATCTTAAAGGGGAAAAGGAGGGACCCTTAATGGGGACCCCTACCCTATAATGGGCTATATAATGGGTATATAATAGCTATATGAAGGGTTTATACCTAGGGGTCCTTATTAAGGGTCCCTCCTTTTACCCTTGGATAATCGAGGCATCCTAACATCCCAGAGACTCCAATATCCCTTCATTAAGGAATATACCTTAATTTGTAGTAGGATCCCTAATATAATTTAAGGAAAATTCCTTAATTAAGAGATATTGGAGTCTCTGGGATTGGCCCTCAGGCATGACAGCGGCAAATCCGAGAGCTTGTGTTCCCGATGCCTCAACCATAAGGGAGTTTCCGAAGATTAGGGGTACCCTATTTTGGGGTCCTTATAAGAAGGATCCTACTATTTAGGGTGGCATATTACGGTCCCCCTTTTTTGCAGAAACTCCCATAAACACCCACGAGCTTATCGTGTCCGTAAGCGCATAGCATATCCGAAGCGATTTTATAGGATCGGAAACAAGGAAACTTCCAAGTCTGAAATCCGTATTCGAAGGCCGCATTTTGTCAGAACCCCACAGGTAGATGCTCGTATGGACATGTGGTTCTCTTCATCGTGTGCATTTTTGGGTGGTCCTAGCACTCAAGATGCCACTGTATCGTCCCTGCTTTCCAGAACACTACGACATGTCAAGTCAACACACCAAGTGCTGATGTTGGGTTCGGGTACTTGGATTTGGATTTCAGGATTTAGCGACCAACAGAAGAGAATCGGCTCCGAGCTGTGTTAGGCGATGATGCAGTAGCCTTATCGACCTACTGATCCCTTGTTCTTATTGGCTATAAACTCAACTTTTCAACTTTTGGGCTTCTTAGAAGATAGTCGATTCTGACAGTTTCAACTTTTGTTTCCTTGGGTTTTGAGCCAGTGAGCTGTTCATGAAGTTGCTATCCAGCTTGCTTTTTGGTATCAGCGTTTGCTTTTGTTGTTGCTGTAGCACTGGCGGCACTGGTGCTGTTGGTGATGGTGGTGAGATCGCGGCTGGTTCTCAAGTTCCGCACCGTAAATCCGAAGCCCTAAACCTCCGTAATACAGGGCCCCAACAAGTACCTATACTCTTTTGGGGGGGGTCCTTCTCATAATTATAGTACAGTGGGCTCCAAAACCCTATTCGAATTGAATATTAAGGGCCCTTATAGTAGCCCTTATATAGACCCCCTTCAAAGGGAACCCTTATTCTACTTATCAAGGCCCCTTCTCTCGAAGCCCCGACCCGAGTCTCCGGGTTTAGGGTTTTACGGACACCAGGCTCTGCAGCCCTGCGCCATGTGGGTGGTTGTCAAAATTATGGTTCCTCTTTGGGTCCTTATTATAATACGGCACGTAATATTTCAGGGTACCCAACAATGGGCCATAATTTTGACAACTACCCAGGTTCGTGTGGGCGCTGCTGGCCACCCTCTTTATTGTATGGGATATGGCGACCATTCCCCTGGAGAGCTTTGCTAGCACTGGCCTCACAGTTTACGTTCTTAGTGTGCCCAAACTAGCAGTCTGTCAAGTTCTGTGGGCTCTTGGCATTGCTACTCTTGATGGATAGGCGGTTAACCTGTGCTTGCTAAAGAAGCGCTGATGACACTGCTGGAAATAGACCAACTGCTGCGTTCAACACACGGAAGTTCAGGAGGGTACGCACCACTGGCTTCTACTACAACTTCTTCTAGCACCCCCTGTACTGCCACCACATACGGTTCGACGACGACGACGACTGCGACTTCTGCTGCTACTCGTGCCAATGCTACAACCAGCAGCTACCATTCCTGCTGCTATTGCAAGCATGCGAGTACTACTGCGCGACCGCGGTGATTTCCGCAAAGTGAAAGTCTGGCCGCTATGCGCTTACTAAGTTCGTAAAGATAGGGTTCCCTTTGGTTGTGTGCAATCTCTGGCGTGACAGCTACTGGTCAACCTACTTTGTAGTCACCGTGAAGTCTCAAGTCCGTTCCTCCTCAGCCAACCCCTGAACTCTACTCCACAAGTCCCTAAACTCCACACTTCCAGACCCCAAGGCATAGCATGGAGGTTTGAATGTTTGAATATTTAGGAGTGGAGCCCATATACTGTCAAGTTTCAGGATAGTAGAATCGTAAAACAAAATGATATCATATTCTAAGTAATCAGGCCCACATGCTATCCAGCCGTGCTTGGCAAGGATCTTCCCCATGGCCGGATTCAGCAATGTCACCTTTGCGGTGGCTGCCGTGCTCGTGTCAGAAGTTGGCATGTATCTCATTATAGGGTTTCTGGTGGGGTGTATGGTGAGTTAAAGGCTGCTTTTGAGGGAGAGCGGTGTGGGTCATATAAACAGAAAATGAAACGCAATCATCGAGATACCTAGCAGCAGCTGCGATGACAGCAAGAAGGGGCCAATGGGATAGCGGCAAAACTGCAAGAGTTTAGAAGTTTGTTGCGATCATAGCTATGACCATGACATCCGCCCGCCCACGTCGTAGCTTTTTCCGGGTTCGCATCGTTTCCAGTTCTCAACTCCCGATGATTGCGAGCACGGGTTTTGTGGGGTTTGTAATATTGCGGCGTAAGTAGCTACCTATACTATTTTGGGGGGTTCCTGCTTAAAGCCACAGCATAATGGGCCCCAAAGCCTTATTCTAATGATCAAGGGCCCTATATTATCGGGGCATCAAACCAGAAAGAGCTTCGAGGAACCATAGTCGATGTTGAGGTGAGGGTTCCCCTTCTGCTTCAGTGGTTAGCAGTCCAGTTTAGCAGAGTGTTGTCCAAGTACTTCCTCCTTTTGGATTGGTACCTAAACGGTTTAAAAGTTCCTTAAATTCCCCCCAAATCCTGAAAATGCCAAACCGAGTTCAACTCCAAAAAACCTTCGCCCTGACACAGTTGTTCTTAAAGGATTCCGTTCAGAATTCCTAATGTAGGGGCCTTAGTAATTGGAACAGGGTTTGGGGAGCTTCATTGTTATACTTATAGTATAATATACGCCCAAACCCTTTTCTAACTATCAAGGACCCTCATACTATAGTAGCCGCATAGTGGCCCAAATATAGAACCCTTTAAGGATGCCTTTAAAGTCCAAAGAGCACTATTCTAATTATCTAGGCTTCGTCATAGTTGGGTAACATTTTACATGTTTATGGCTACTTAAACCCAATCAGGAATAAAATTTAAATGTTTAATCCTATCCCAACCATGAGCTAGTAGGCATTTGTGGTCCCTAAACCCTAAACCCTACACCCGAGCACTATTCTAACTATCCCGGCATTTTAGGGTTGTTGCTTGAGGTGTCTTTGGCCTTCTGGGTGGCCGACGTACCGACACATTTCCTTTTCGGCTCGCAGATCCGCGGGATCATTGCATCCCGGCCGATTGGGGGTTCATATGGGTGGTTGTCAAAATTAGGGTCCCTTTTATTTTTGGGTCCTCATTATAGTACGGCACCTAATATTTAGGGTACCCAAAAAGGGACCCTAATTTTGACAACCATCCATATCAGTCTAACTATTGGGATCGTTCATTGTTGGTTCCATTACTCTTATTCTTCTTTCTGGTATGATTACTGCTATCATTACTATTATCGATATGAGTGGCTAGGGATTGAAAGGGTCTGTAAGTGGCCTTAAGGAGCATTGTAGCGGCTTCATAAGACTCTGTATGGGGAGTGTAGCGAGATCGTATAGAGGTGGTGTAAGGGGCTTTACAAGGTTGCGTGGGCGACCCGCCACCTACAACAACCAGTACTGGGTTCTGGTGAAGGAATTTGAGTTACCACAATGGCGATCTATAGCAAAAAACATGAGTTTCCTTTGTATGGTAACTTCATGGTAACCTATTCAAGTTCCTTAACAAGAACCCAGATTAGTACAAAACAACCCTGAACCCATAGCCTCAAGATACCTCAAGGCTATAAACCATGCCAAACCCCGTGCGAGCCCTCGGCAGGCTCCAACGTGTTCTGACTGACATGCAGGCAAACAACAGCAGGCACCTCACAACCCCCCAAACCCCCGCCAAGGGCGTCTTTGTTGCTCTTTGCTTCCCTTCGCAATCCGACACAACGACGACATTTCACAGCAAAGCACAGCTGAGATGGATTGGTGTCGGGTTGGGGGTCCTCGCGGCCTGAGGGTCGCTCAAAGTTTACCTCCAAGGCCCAGTTTTCGCACCCCCAGCAAGACCAAAAACACTTGAATGATGAGGGGTTTTTGGTTTTTCTTTACTGCATGACGGCAGAGAGGTCATTCGCGGGGCGGCGTCGCTACAATCCTTGTATACCGGGAGGTTTTACCCTCCTTCACCGTTCGGACGGGACGCTCGGCCGGGGCCCTCGGTCGGAGCCTCGAGCGCCCATGCAAATCGTCAGCGGCGCTCTCGGCAGTTTAGTCTTTTAGGGTTAAGGGGTTTATGTTTGGGGACACATTCCCCAGATGAGCAGTACAGCCTCAAGTCTGTTGGCTTTTTTGGGCTGATGGGGCCTTACTACCTGGAACTCACATGGCAATCTTACACAGGTGTCAGAGTGCTGTCCCCATTGTTACCTTACTTGAACCTTGAACCGCATACGTTTTCAGTTCTTCAAAGCCCAGGACTCTCACAGTTTGGACCGTAGCTTCCTCCCCGAGAGCTGGGGAGGTGTAGTATTCAGTATGATGTGCCTATCCAGGTTACACGGCCTCTGGTGGCCCGCCAAAATCTGGTTTCTGAAAAGTCTCGCATGATGTTCATGTAGTTAAAATAATATGTCCCCATTTTTGAATTGCAATCTTTTGAGAAGCCCCTGGAACGTAAACCCGAAGCCAAATGCTTGTAAAACTTGGAGCAGGAAATGCGACCGGCGAGACTAGCAGCGCTGTATATGAAATCCTGGCTGCTTATTGACTTGTGCCACGTCTGCATAATATAGGGGCCTTAATAATTAGAAGAAGGTTTTGGGATTAATTATGTTATAATCATAATAAGGAACCCCAAGGACCCTATTTTAATTATGAAGGCCCCTACAGTAACATCTGCGACAAAGAGCGCTTGATCACTACATCTATTGTTGTAAGCTTGAAGCTACGGTTGTGTACCGTCGCTGTTGCACGGCATCTCAAACCGGGGTCTTGGCTTCAACGCAGAGGAGGTCAAGCATTGATGTTTACCGCGTTGGTGATCCACAAAAGCAACTTAGTCGTGGAAATAGCAGGAGCAGGAGTACTAGTTGCAGCAGCCGTAGTTGCAGTCGCCGTCGTCATGTGGAGGAGCAGGTAGTGGTAGTAATGGTAGTGGCGGTTGTGGTAGTAGTAGTAGTAGTAGTAGTAGTAGCAGCAGTAGCATTTGCAATGCAGTAGCACAAGCCCGTAAACACAATTGATAACTCGGTATTTACAACGAGTAGTACTACGACGACGATGACTGCGCAGACGGCGGCTGTGTGTATGTCTGTGGGGGTGCGGGTGTTTTTGTCTGTATCGAGATAGAGTGAGCTAGGGACACGGAGAGGCACCCTTTCTACTGTCGTGCCACGGGCAACTTTGTGTGTGCGCACACACAAATCCGAAAACACATGCTCACACACAACAATAGAAATGAAGATATGAAATGCAATGGCAAATAACCACACTGGACAAACTCCTGTCTGCACGTGTCGCAAGTGCAAGTGTACCCGTGTGTCGTACACACCCAGAAAGCAACGCAACATGCATACGTGTGTGTGTGTGTGTGCCTGGGTGTGTGTGTGTGTGTGTGTGTGTGTGTCTGCGCATGTTGCCTGCGCATGTGTTCCATGTAGTGCATGTAGCAAACTCATATGAGTCAAACTTGATAAGCCATATACGGCCACGCACCCGAAAGTGAAACGGCGCATGGAAGGATGGTGATCCTGGTGGATCTATCGCTCATAGCGTTAGAGGTCGTGCCTCATCTGCACCGCAGTTCCTGTCTAACCTCGATGCCTTACACCCCTCTCTCCTGCGAAAGCTGAAAATTCCTCGCTAGTTTCTGCACCGTCGGACTTGATAGAGCGGTTTAAACCTGAAGTGTTGTATGAGAGTTGCTTGCTTCAAGACGGGGCTTGGGTGCAGGGTCTATTGTTTATGGTTCCAGGTTTGAGGAGACAAGGTTTACCATATACCCCAAAACACTATCCTCGTGCTCAAACGTCAAAGTTAAGAATGCGAAGACCCAGATTCCACGACTGATAGCCGGAAAAAGCTGAAGTCGTGAAGCCTGTGGCCTGAACCCCGAAAGCCCCAAAGCATTCAGGCCCCGAGAGCATAGTACCTAAAAGTCAGAGCGCTAACTCGCAAAATCCCAAGAGGACATGCCTGGGGATTGGGTTTGAGAGTGAGTGTCTTCAATCGCGATCACGAGTTGCATCGGTCATACTTCCTAGTTCCGATTTGCATCAGCTGGTTGAAGAGCAGGCGTTAACGCCGTGGGGAGGAAGCGTGCGATGATTGGTGCTTACAAAAACAGTACAGGCTGTTCTCTTCAGGAATTAGAATGACGAATCCGCGGGAAACGGCAAAGAAATCACAAGAACAAGACTCTGACACGGTGTTCTTCAAACGAAGATGCGAAGCTCGGTTTTTGCAGTTTGTTGGATTTACGTGTTAATGAGGGTTTAGAGCTCAGGGCTTAGCGTAAGATTTTTGTACGTACGGCTTGCAAAAACCCTAAACCCTAAACCCCTAAGCCCTAAACCTTCTCAGATACGGGCTTCCGACATGAACCCACTTTTCCGCTCCGGCTACTTCGGCCGCACTGACATGCTCGTGCTTTGGAGTAAACTAGGGTTGGTATGTAAACCAGACAGGCCCCAAGTTCTAAGCCCGAGACCCCGAAGCTCTAAGGCCCTGGTAGTTCTTGAAACTCCTACTTGGTCTGCGTGTGTGTGTGTGTGTGTAGGTGTGTAAAGGGAACTCCAGAAAGTTGGAATATGGTTTCAGGGTAGGATACCTTGTAATTTACCATAGAAGGGTTAGGATAATCATATTCCAACTTTCTGGCTATTACTTTATGCAGAAGAGAATGTATAGAGAGAGATACAGTGGTAGATAGATAGACAGACAGGTAAATAGATGGATATGTGTGTTGTGTGTGTGATGTATTTGTCTGTACGTATGCATGCATAATTGTATGTGTTTCTATTTGTATGCACACATATACACACGCATATATGCATATATACATACAGACATACGTACATATGTACATACACACATACATACACACATAATACATACGTACACTCATACACACATTCATACACACATACACGCATACCACATACATATGTACATACATACATACATACATATGTACATACAGATATATACATGCATACGTACATACATACGTGGATGCATACTTTTCGGCTTGGCATTATTTCTACATTTAGACCTGTACTATATTATGCATGTATGTAAATATAGTTATGTAAGCACATGTTTCCGTTTGTGTTGTGCAGCGGGCATGTGTACAGTGATATACAATAGTGACAATCGTGGTATGGAGTTTTTCGGATACCGTCTGCTCGTTGAGACTCCAGGGCTGTAGAAGTTTCTTCGGCTCTCCGAATGGTTTGCCAATGTGGGTAGTTGCCTAAATTAGGGTCCCTTTTGGGGTACCCTAAATACTAGGTGCCGTATTATAATAAGGACCCAAAAAGGGACCCTAATTTTGACAACCGCCCAGTTGTGTAGTGGCTTGCGCTAAGCCTCTCTAGGCAAGCAGTTGGAGCTTAGGGTCGGACAGCCTCCAGTCCAGTGTGGAGGTTTCCGGGTTTGGACTTGGTTGTTTCAAGCCTAGCGGCTTGGCCTTGAGACATGCCAAAGCGAGCGAAAGACTTGGGCAGTTCTTCAATGTCAGAGGTTCTCATTGCCTTCTGGCCAGCTACCTGTTTGGTCTTGCGGTCGTCTTCGGGGCTCACGTCGTCGTGGTTCTTTTCACTGCATCCGTTGCTGTTAAGCTTCCCTCTGTCTATTGACGCTCAAGGCCTAGTCAGGCTCAAATATGAGATGCAAATGACTTGGTAACCCTGAGCCCCAATCCTCGAGGGTTTTGTGACGTGAACTGAAAGGATTCAGGGCTCATGTAGTGCTTGGTTCGAATCTCAGGGTTCCCGCCCTCACTTTCCAACTGTGCATCATAGGAGCAAAGCAAGAACCCAAATACATAGCATCCGGACGCCGTCTTTCCGAAACCCTCAAAAGCCAAACCCTGGAAAGCATGTGTTTTCCAAGACACGCGGCCTACTATAAGGAGATGTAGATCAGGCACGGACGCATCAACGCGCAGGGTCATCAGCACCGAAGCGACACTTGCTTTGACGACTTTGTCAAGGAAGTGGTGACGCCCGGGTCATGGGCCAGTGCACTGGAGTTATATGCCTTCTGCGAGGCATGCAATTACGAGGCCTGGGCTCGGAAGCACGGGTCTACGTGTTCAACGAAGGAGGCCAGCAAGCTAACCTTTTCCTGATGCCCGAGGAAAGTCATGATGACTTCATGAGACGCGCTGACATCCAAGAATGTCTCGCAGGGCATCGGGCTCAGATGGAATATGAAGAAGGTGGTCTACAGCAGCCGTTGCTTCGTGGTGCAAGCATGAAAGTCTCCAAGCCCTGAAACGTAACCTTGAGCAGCCGAAAATCAGAACTCTATCACGCAAAGAAACCGTGAAAAAAAAAAAAAAACGAAGCCCGGAGAAACAGGAAGAAGACCAACCCTTGACCCATAAGACCTGTTTGGGACCCTAAACTGCAACCCTAAAGCCCCTAAAACCCCTAATACTATAAAGTCCTCAACACTACACCCTCTAAATCCTTCCAGCCCTTAACCCGAAGGTCCTAAACCCTAAACCCTGAAGACCTAAAGCCTAAAAGGCCGCTTCCTCCGTACGATCCGGCTCGTTCGGCTGGTGCGGCTTCTCCGCGTAGGCAAGCTGGAAAGGCCAGGGCTCATTTAGAGCTTTGGGGGTTTGGGTTTAGGATATTGGAATTAGGGTTTTGGGGTTGGGGGCTTAGGGCTTATATCTGCTATCTGCAAATGTAGGATGTAGGCTTTTTGGGCTCTGAAAAGAGGGTGCTTGTTGTGTGCCTTGTGTCTAAAAGTAGACTAAAAGGGTTGTCGGGTGTTGAAGGGGGTTGTCATGCCCTGAAGACATTTTTCTAAGAAAAGGAGCCATCGAAAACTACAGTACCTACCTTAATTTCCAAACCCTCAGCCAACATTGCCCATCTCTGCTTCTGACTGCTGGACAGCTGGCAAAAAGATGTTTAAAACGAGCAATCATTACCACCGTTTAGAGGCAGGATACCTTTCGGGGCCCGAATGCTTTTGGATTGTTTGAGACCGGGGGTTTAGGGTTTGGGGGGGCCTTATTGAAACAGTTCTAATTGGGTAACTCCCTTTAGGGTACTTATAAGAATACTTATGACCTGCTTACCAAGTCCCCTGGCTCTCTAAGCAACCATAGTCCCCCCCTCATAGAACCCTCATGGAAACCTTTTAAGGAACCCTTTAAGGAACCTTCCTACTTACAAAGTCCCCTGGGCCTCTAAGTAGCCATAGTCCCCACTTAGTCTCCCCTTATAGAATCCTATGGATCCCTTTTAAGGAACCCTTATAGTACTTTCGTTATAGTAACCCTTTAAAGGAACCCTAAGTCCCCTGGGCCTCCGGGATCTGGGAGGCAGATCATGGTCATCGCCCACCGGCTGCTCTCCACGTACTCGCTCATGGCACTTCGCCTCCTGGCTTCCTTTCCCAGACCCCCTTTGGACGATCTAGAAAGTAGGGTTTATGGTTTAGGGTTTTAGGGGTTTAGGGGTTAGGGGTTTAGGGTTTAGGGGTTTAGGGTTTAGGATCTAGAAAGTAGATCCCCTAATTTGGGGCCCTATACCACTAAGGGTACTTTAAAGGAGCCCCCATTAAGGGATCTACTTCCTGGTTCCTCCCGGGGTCTGGCGTAGGGAAAGGCTGCTTCGTATAGGGGCCTTAATGATTAGAATCGGATTGTGGGGTTCCTTGTGATTGTTATACTATACCCCCAAACCCTATTCTGATGATTAAGGCCCCTAATTAGAGGATCAGGGAACTTAGTAAGTAGGGCTTAGAAGTACCTTAGTTGGGGATATAGAGAGGATCAGGGGCCTGAGTAGGTAGGGTCTGGAAGTGCCTTAGTTGGGGATGATATAGACCTTCGGCACAAAACCCAGAGAACCCAATACCCCTTAATTAAGGAATATACCTTAAATCATAATATGAATCCCCTTATGATTTAAGGTATATTCCTTAATTAAGGGGTATTGGGTTCTCTGGGAAGTTGCCTTACTTATCTCCCTACTAGCGGAGGGTTTAGTGGTTCAGCTCCTACCAGGTCCTACCGTTCAGATTGACTCATCAAGGGACCTGAAGTAGGCTTTATTTATCGAAAGGAGTTGGTGCTGAGTGTATATTTTGGGATGATTGTGGGAGTCTGGCAATATGGCCTATATACCAACTGAACCAGGTGCGACGGACGTATCTACAGTATCGTCTCATGTAGGGTAGACTTCCCAGTCCAGATGCCCAGATCCCCGGGAGGGTCCAAAAAGTAGATCCCTTAATGGTGGTTCCTATACACCCTTAGTAGTATAGGGCCCCAAACATTAGGGCATCTACTTTCTACTCCGGCGGGTCTGGGTGTTTGGTCCAAAATTCACCAGAGCTGAAAACCCTGAACCCCAAAGCCTCCCAAAGCCTCAAGACTCAAGGCTGTACTTGCTGTGAAACTTGGGGAGTTCAGGGATCGCGCTTCAAGATTTAGGCCCTTGCGCTTTGAAAGTGGTTCGAAAGGCCTTCACAAGGGTTCTAGCCGCTCGATAGAGTAGCTATGATGCTCCTCCAAGAAACCTTAAACCGTAAAGGCTAATCTTCAAATCCCTAAAACCCTGAAGCACTACACCCTTGAAAGACAGATCTGAGGGATATCCTTATGGGTAGAAAGTGTTGGATCTTAAAGTTTCAACTTGCCAAGCACACTAAACCCGGCTATCCCGATGGGATTCCATGAAGACCTGCAGATCGGGCTTTAACCGACCACGGTCATGCTCGAAGCGGTCCGAGGTGTCGTCGGGTACCTTTCCGTGATGCTGGCGATGAATCACCTCATCGCTTGCTGCTGGTGGCTCGGAACGGAACTGGCTGCGGCAATCTAGAAGTTTAGGGTTTAGGGGTCTCAGGTCTCTTGAACCCCTATGCCCAGACCCCTCCGCCCCGAAGTGTTTAAGACTTCTGAGTGCTACAACTTCGGCTGTAATATAGGGGCCTTGATAATTACCTATACTCTTTTGGGGGGGTTCCTGATTATAATTACAGTATAATGGTCCCCAAACCCTATTCTAATTATTAAGGCCCCTACATTACACTATCTGGGGTTTGAGCCTTGGATTTCAAGGCATCGGGTTTTGAGCGTGTGTGAGTGTGACGGTACGGGATTGTCGATTGTCTAGTTTGGCGGACTATAGTCGTGTGTGTTATGATTGCTGCTGATGCTGCCGCTACTGCTGTTGTTAGTAGAGGAGCGGCAGTAGTAGGAGTAGTGCGAGTAGCAGTAGCCGTAGCAGCAGCAGCAGCAGTCGTCCCCCAAACCCTCGAAACCACAGCTACGGCTCAAGCGCGGCACTTCCCAAAAAGGTCCCTCCTTCCCGGCCTTTTTTTCCCATCAAACCACAGCCATGGCCTCCAGCAAGATGGCGATGGGCAGCATCGGAGTGGCCGCCCTCGGAGGCAGAGTCTGCCAACACTTCAGGGTCCCAGAGACTCCGAGATCCCTTAACTAAGGACTATACCCTAAATCATATTAGGGATCCTACTATAATTTAAGGTATATCCCTTAACTAAGGGAGGGACATTGGGGTCTCTGTGTTCAACTACATACTGATCTTGTCATTAGCGAAGCTGCACTTCTTTTTCGTATTGAGCGCCCTAGTTGAGGTACTGTGAAGTGTAGTTTTAGCCACCTTCAGGGTTCGGGTTCGAATTCAGGAGCTTATTTAGAGCAACCGTTAGTGTTCCGGTGATAAGCGTTACAATTTCGCAGCGATGGTGCAGACAGCGACAACAAGTATGTGTTCATGTGGTCTCTACTACCGTAGCAATTCCTTTTGGACTGTGTTGCACAGCCAGCAATCCTTCAGAAAGCACTCTGCTGGATTCCTGAGACATGGCATGGCTTCTAAACTAAACCCTACCACCTATTCCTTCTCTAGGCAGAGGCAAACCCTAGATAGTAGAATCCTTACAAAGACCTCAAGATGTGCTATCCCTTCTTTTCGGAAACTCCTTCATAGGGAGAGGCGATCCTTTTCAAAGCAAATCACTCTGAAGGCGTTGCCTTCCTCGGGCCTTCCGTGACATCAAACCGAGCCACAACCTCGACGTCGCTCCGGCAAAGGCCTCCCTGTGGTCGACTCCACTGGGGGTTCTACTATAGGGGCCTAAATGATTACCTATACTATTTTGGGGGCTTCCTTCTTATAACTAGTATAATTGGGCCCCGAAACCCTAATCTCATTGTAACGCCCGAAATAAGGGTTCGAGAGTTCAGGGTTTAGTTCGGGTCTAGGAGTCTGGGGTTAGGATGAGGAGTGTGGAGTTTGGGGTTTCGGGTGCTTTTGGAGAGAGGGGCTAGAGGATTTAGGGTAGTTCTTGCGTTGTGACCCAAACCTGATGGGTATGATATGGACCTTTGTTTTGACCTCGTTATTGGAGCTTAAAGTTGTATGGTTTACAGCCGGCTTGGGGTGGTAGGGTTGGAGCTTTGCCGCATGGGGGCCGCCCCCTGAACCCCGAACACATGTCGCGTTTGGGCCTCTGGAGCAAGCTTGACACTACCGCTTTAGAGTTTAGGGTTTAGGGTTTAGGGGTCTACCTCGGACAGAGTTCAAGCTGTTAGGCTTGATGGGCTTTGCTTCTTCTTTTCTCGAATCACGCCCCCAGGAGTATGCCCTAACAGGGAATAGGCATCCTTGGCAGGGGAGCCTGTGTTGGGAAGTGCCTGAAGGATCAGGGGCTCAGTGCTAACTATAGTCTCCTCAGGAAATCTACTACTTCTTACTTTCTGTTCATATAGAACCCAACAGCATATTTAGGATGTTAGTTTCATTGTGGTTCTGAGGGGGGTGCAGAGTAAGTAGTGGTAAGATTGGAGTAGCCACACCCGCTACTCATGACCAGAATTCATTTGCTAGTAGCTTTGCATGGAACCGCCCATGATCCTTCAAGTATCTTACTCCTAAGTCCCAGACCCGAAAACTCTAAAACACCGAAACCCCTCGAGCCCTCAGAGCCTGAACCCTAAACCCCTTATTCAGTACCTCATAGTAATAGTACCCTTATAGTACTCCTTGCAAAGTACCCTTAACCTTACAAGCCTTAGTCTCTAGCACTGCCAGGGGATCGGCTTCCGCGCAATCCACGACCGCTGCGCCCGCCGCCGCTTGCATGGCGGCCGCAGGGGCGGTGCTGGCTACCCAGGCCAGAAAGCAATGCGGTTTTGACGGATGTATGGGTTTGATAAGGGCTTCCAAGATGCAATCACAGGGTGTTGTAGGGTTTAGGCAGTAGGGCTTAGGGCTTGGAGTTTGGAGGGTTTGTGCGGTTCAATACGATCAGGGTTTTGGGTTTAGAGTCTTTTGAGGGTTTGTGCGATTTCATGTCTGGCTTGTTGATTTCATCTGCTTAGAATCCCAATACGGCTGTAATGTAATACACTGCAAAAAGCTGTTAAGGTCAGCAATTTGGGGTTTAGGACTTTAGGGCTACTGCAAGGTTGAGGGTGCATCACGCAGATCAAGACTCGCCTAGAACTTATGGGCCTGAAACCTGTCAGCTTGCCCGTGATAGCATCGAGCCGTTAAACAACGGGCGAAAATCGAGGCCCATACAGTGGACGGAAACCGAATGTTGAGCTTGTTTCCTGCGGATGCTTACGGGGCCTGGGTCTAGGACCCTACACAATATAATGTGGTAGTATATAATTGGAGGAGTTTTGGTGGATTTCGTCAGGGGTTTGTTGATTAAAAAATGAGGCGCTTCGGCACCCAGACAGGCTGCTAACCTCAAGGTTGTCAATATGTTATCAGCCCAGACTGAAGCAGGGTAGTCGCTGTTGTTCTGTTCGCATGGTTCAGAGCTTAAGGTGCTAGGTTTTACTCCTCCTCAACAATCGTAGGTCCCAAACCCGAAGCCCTAAGCCCAGAACCAAAAGTCTGGTTGGCTTGGCCCTCTGAGGTGTTTCTTGAAGTTGCACTCGGCAGTTATGTAAAAGGGGAGCTGCGCAAAATCAGGGCTCCAATTTGCAACTTCCTGGCCCCTAAACCCGAAATCAGACCCTATAGAGCCCCAGCTATGAAGCAAGTTGTACCAGTCATACAGCACCGTAAACCCCTTGTGAAGGCCTCTAAGACCCTTGCAACGAATTTATGAGCCCCCGTCTTTTGAAAAAAAACAAAAAAACAAACCCTTCATAAAGCGTGCTTTATGTCGCGAGTGTCCGGCCCTTCTGCCTAGTAGTAGAGTAGGTAACCTTGAACCTTTTTGAGGTAGCAAAAACCCCTATATCAGGGTTTAGGGTTTTAGGATTTAGGGTTTAGGGTATAGGGTAACCCCTACAAAACCAAAAAAGGTTAACCTTTAGTTCGCCGTGATACCCGACAAGTAGGTCTGAGGATGCCACACATGTTCCAAAAAAGGGTTTAGGGCTTAGGGTAGGTTTATGAGGCCGTTACAGGAATGTTCGGGGATGTATTACAGGTTCGTATTTTCCAAGGGCTCTGCGGTGTTGGATGCTTTTAGGCTGTTTGGGTAGGGGCACGCGAACTACAATCGAAAGCTTGTGGTCGCATTTGGAAAAGGCATCTTGAACAAGTACGGGCTCCCTAAAGCCTTGAAGCCTAAACACCTATTGAAGCCCATCACAAACGCCCTTTTGGAGCGCTGGACCCTAAGTAAACCTTGTTTAAAACCCTGAATCCTTAAATCCTAAAACGACGAACCCGCAAGCCCTGAACCTGTTACCCCTTAAAATGTTAAACTCCGAACCGTTAAACCCTTCAACCCTAAACCTGAACCCCTTAACCCTCAACGACTATAGGGGCCTAAATAAATACCTATAGTATTTCGGGGGTTCCTTATTCTAGTTATAATACAATGGGCCCCAAAACCCTGTTCTAATCATCAAGGCCCCTACATTACTAAATGGGGCCAGGTGAGAAAGGCGCCCACTGTCTCGACCAAGTTCACTGCACTCCAGGCCTTCGAATCGGAGCCTCGGCTGGCCACGAACAGCTTGGGATGTTCAGTCGTCATCGTAGTAGTAGTAGTAGTAGTAGTAGTAGTAGTAGTAGTAGTAGTAGTAGTAGTAGTAGTAGTAGTAGTAGTAGTAGTAGTAGTAGTAACAATGATAATAATACTAACAGTAACAGTAACAATAATAACAATACTAATAACAGTAACAATAATGGTATTTAAAGTGACAGTAGGGTTCCACAAGGCTAGGATAAGAGATTTAGAGTTCAGTTGTTCGAAGGTTTCGGTCGGGTTTGGGGGGTTCTACTGGTACAAAGTTTCGGCAGGAAGTATAGAGTTTAGGCAGCCAGAAGGACGTGAGGATAGAGTTCCCCAAGACGGTCCTTTGCAACTACATGGGCCAAGATACTGTACTCCTCAAGGGCTCTGAGGTTTGTCGGCCTGGGAAAGTATTGTCAGGGTCGACGAGATGATGCACTAGAGGTTGGGGGTTGCCTCAAAGACGCTTCTTTGAGCCCCACACTCTGAAACCGGGCCTTAAGTCCTAAACCCCAAATCTAACAGAAGGGTCGATCCTGGGGCCTGCGTTTGTGCAAAAGGAGTTTTTGAAGTTACCTAGGCTTTTGGATAAAACTAACCCCCCAGTTTTCACCCGACGCCAAGGAGCTCGGCGTGCAAGCTCCGGTCGGATTTTGGGATCCCCTCGGCCTTGCCAGGGACGGTGATGTGGAGGCCTTCATGCGCAGGCCCCGTGGTTCAGGGCTCTTGTGGCCTTGGACTTTCCTGACTTTTCAGGGGGTTATGGGGTGTTAGGGAGGTTTTGGGTGCAAGCGTGTAGATTTGCGGTTTTAGGGCTTTCAGGGTTGTAGGTTT